GCTTGAGAAGCTCCGGACATTCTGTCGATGTTTCTCCTTTTCAAACTGAAGACGCGAGGGTACTCATCATCATCCATCCGAAGGGGAGCCTTTGGGACGATCGAAATACATTTACAGAGAATTGGCATGACCCCTGAGACTAATGTGGAAGCGACTGCGGCTATGCAACCTACGAGTGACACGAACGCCAACACTTCGACGCAACAAAGTCGGGGTATAGCAGGGGTGCAAGGGACTCGTGTTGCTATGCAAGGACAACCCACACAAATGGCTCAGGAGCAAAATTACGTTGACGGCACAGAAGAATCGTCGTATGTCGTATGTGATAATTAATAGGATACTGCGGATTTGATCTTCATTTTGTTCATCGTCGGCCGCCGTCGCACTACTCGCCAGGTGTTCTGGGCAGCTGATACCCCGGGTCAGTATCCTTTCCTTCTCTGCTCAAGCCATACATTCTTAAAGTCCCATCATTATCAACTGCACGGGCATGTCGAAGCCTTGCCTGCATCATACCCTTGCAACCTCGTTTCCTGTCTATATCGCGTCAGAATATACAATGCGCTATATCCGCTGATCACCGATTTATTATTCTAGAATCCTGTTTCTTGACGTGTTGCGGAGCGCTCCAGGTTAAATCGGTACATAGTATATGCCATTATTGGATCTTCACACCTTTCTTGCTCCGTTTGTGCCTACAATTTCCGGATCCATGATTACAAGTCACTATCGAGGAGAATCAGGAGATCAGGTACGTTAGAACCACAGGTGCAGGGTACTGCTTATTTACTGATTTATCTGCTGGTATAGTAGAACATAGCTGCTGGTTTTTCAAACCAAAAAATCAAATTTATTGTCCTTTGGGGGTTGAAGCTGAAGACCATATGTCCGACACGGCTATTCGAGTGTGGGGAGTAACGGGATCAGGTACCTGACATAATTACTTATTATTAGTAAGATGGATGGTGGTGATAAATCGACTTAGCCTAGTAGCGTAAGTACAGGTTAGATCTGGAACGCTGCAGCGCTCAGTGATTGGCAACATTTGTTGCCTGATGGCCCCAGATATCGATTATATTGAACTTTGTTTCATTTGCCGCATCAGGTGTTTCGAAACGCACTGCGGCTTTGCATAAGTGACCTACTGACTGACTATATAGCAGACCTCTTTATCACCTTCAATGTTCGTCCACACTCCCAATTATCAATTCTGTGCATTATTGGTCGTTGCAACCCACTTTCCGTCGACCCACTTCTGTCTGTTATAGCACGGTGTTTATTCCAAGACGTCCTCAGTCGATATAATGCCACGCGAAGAGGTCGGTTCAGGCACGTTGGAAGACTGGACGGACTTTCCAACACTTGTTACACCTCCGATAAGCGCAGAGGATCTACCTCGCTATGGTGTACAGCACTTCCAGGACGCACTCTGGAAAGGTGAGCCATCGTATTGTGACGTCCACTAAGTAACCGACCCAACAAGAAGCAGGCGGGAATGAAGCGCTCCCTCCTGGATGGCTAATGTTCCAGGTGTTGGATGACAAACCAAAATATCAAGATGCTACACTCATGATGGCTTCAGAAAAGCGACCTTCACCAGGAGTCCGACTGGGTCAGTGATGAATTTGGCACTGGGAGTGAGTAACTCACAACTACATATAGATGTACCAGGAGATCTTGTCACTGGGTACGAATGGTACATCTCACCGCTCGGTCGGTCCTACTTCGTCAACCACAATACCCGGACCACGTCGTGGAAGAAACCAACGCCAGAACGCCCAGCAGGAAGTTTGACACCAGAATACGTCATTGAGGGCCACTCCGCATGCATATGGAGCCTTGCTTGTTTGGGCACTAGTGGCGATATACTGAGCGCATCGTGTGATAGCTCAATTCGTCAAGCGGCAGAAGACGGAGGGCCTGGAGGGAAGCTTTGGCATGGCGATAGCGGGGTGGTGATCTCGATGGCACTGTGTCCAGATGAAACAATGCTCGTGAGTGGAAGCACAAATGGCAAAATTCAATTGTGGAATACAAAGGAGGGGAATACGGTCGGGGATCCATGGAAGGCTCATCGTGATGTAGTGAGGTACCTACATTGGTCTCCGAGTGGGGTGGAGATAGTAAGTGGATCGCACGACGGCACCAGTACGACGATGGAACCCGCGTACTGGCCGACAAATGGCACACCCGGTAGCTACCGGTCATGGTTGGGTGAATGTCGTTAGATACTCCCCACAGGGCGATAAATTCGCAAGCGGCGGTGCGGACAAGATGATTCGTGTATGGTCAACTGATGGCGAGCTCCTCGTCGAGATCAATGGGCACGACGACTGGGTATGGTCGTTATGTTGGTCTGGTGATGGTACACAGATATTCTCCGCATCATCGGATTGCACAATTAGGAAATGGCAATCGACTGGCGGTAAGGAGCTCGTCATCCTCCGGGGTCATACCAGCAGCATCAACTCCCTTTGTCTGTCCCTCGATGAAAGCCATCTCGTCAGCGCATCGAAGGACCGTTCAGTTCGCATCTGGGACCTTAAGACCAATCAGGCGGTCGGGGACCCACTCTTGCACGACGACCAAATTTGGGCTCTTGCCATGTTCCCTGATGGGACATACTTTGCCAGTGCTGGTGCGGATGCAAAGGTCTATGTATGGAGCTTGGACGCAGCGCTGAAGCAGCAGGATGGTAGCGTGCGTATGTCTATATATTTCCATACTACTAATTTCATTCTATCCCAGGGACGCGCAGGCGGCGCAGCTCGATCTAGACGGGTGCGTCAATCAGTTGGAAATATTCTTATACATTCTTCATTCATATTTTTAGGTATGTGACTCCTCTCCCGCATCCAGACAGCAGTCCTACAACAGTGCATTTGGAAAATATGTTAGTAATGTTCATTTTCCCTTAGCGCTTCCTGGCCTGACACTCAGTGGTACAGGGCAATGACTTCTGGGGTGATACAAACCTGATCCCACGCCGCGACTCCGCTCCAGTCGCAGGCACACCGTCTCGCCTTCGTCTACACAACCTGTTCAGTTTCCTCCGCCCCAGAACTAAACCTGTCAATGCACAAGAAATCCCGCTCAAGACCCAGCGCCGGAACTTCAAGTTCTTTTCTGTGAGAACCTCGATACGTCCTGTCGATGTTGCTCCGAGTCGCGATGAAGACGTGAGTCGCTCGTCATTTTCAATATTTTCCCGTCCTTGATATCACCGATCGACAAATCTTGCAGAGATACGGTATTTCCCCTCCGTCTGAGGCAGAGGTGGCTGCAGCTATGGAAAGCACGAGCGACAAACAAGCTGACAGTTCAACACAACAAGGTCAAGCTGTAGCGGGAGCACAAGGCTCTCAAATCCGCACTATACCAGCACCCATGGCTCAGGCAGAAAATTTTGGCGCTGGCATAGGTGAATCACTGTGCGTGATAGGTTGCTGTGGACTCTCGCTTCTTTGTCTTCGGCGCATTGGTGACTAGGTGGCCATCCTCCCTGTCACTGACTCACATAATAATCCGATAAAACGCACCTTCACGCCCACTGAGTGAAACCTGACATCGTATCGTTGCGCGCTCACATGTACCTATGTATAGATTCTATAGTTCCGCCTATGATACTTCCACTTAAGTACGCTATTTCCAATATATTTATCGATTCCATGCTACTATTAAATTCAAATTGGATCACGATTTTCACGCGATTTTCGAATTTTGTATCGTCTCGTAATCACACGCAGAATCGCTTCATAATCGTTTACTCTGACTACCACTATAGGCATCATTAAATTATTATATATTGATGTGTCGACGTCTCGACCCCTGCTGTTTGAACTTTATGTAAATTTGAGGTGCGGAGTTTTTGAATGTGTGCACGTGTGACGCGTCAACTGAGCTCACCACTCTGAAGCAAAAAAATCTCGATTCATGGCAAGATAAGCTGCAGCTGTGTACTGGCCACGCGCACTCAATTTTCGATCACCAGTCAAGTGGGCAAGTGCCACTCAACTAATCGCAGCTGCTATGCTACTCTTGAGGATCGCAACCCACCGTGCTTGTAAGGAGAGTCTAACGTGTTCCTGTGAACCAGTAACTTCGTGAGCTGTTCCACAATACCTGAACAGATATGCTGAAGGGAATCCTGTTGTTCACATTCGCTGAAGAGGTGCAAATAGTGCACATCGAGGAAAGTACGGACGTGGTGGACGTTAGACATGCAATAGCAACAAATGATTGGTGAGTACTTGAGTATCCGATAATTTCATGTGACACGTGTACATTAGCTACCCTTCGTTGGCAGTAACCACCGAAGTTCGACTCTCAGAGGCCCAGGTCGGCCGTGGCCCGCGTCACCAAGACTATATGGACCAAGAATATCTTCGAAGAAGTTCTGTAGCCACTCTCCTTCGTTCCGGTATTTCCGGAACTTCTACTAGGAAGACTTCTAGTAAAGTTGCACAGCCGTCTAGACAATACCCAACCCTACGCCGTAACGGCGCTACTGGCGTCGCGCTGCAGTGATTCGCATCAAGTGCCAACGTTTGGTCACTCAAGGTAAGTAACATCCCAAAAACGTTTCAATGCCGACAAGATATAGTGCGCGTGGCCTCTATCATTGCCGAGCTTGTTCAAACAAATAGCCGTCGTGCAAGGACGGTATCGCAAATGTCCGAGGTGAAAGGGCGGGTGTCGGCTCGTGTAACGAAAAGTGATCTTGTTCCTACTGGACAAGTGAAACCGGAATTGCGGCCGTGCGCTGAATAAAATGACAATGGCAGTCTCGGTACACTGGTCCAAGCAACGATCATAAGTCAACAAAATAACGATATATCAAAGTAGAACGAAGGACATACTGTTATGTCATTCTGGTCGAACGTTGGGTCGGGCGCTTGTCCCCTAAAAGATTCGCAGGCGGTCATAGGCATGCTGACATCGCGAAGTTCATTTTAAGTAATGACGGTGTACAATTGTTCGGTTTATCTTTTGTGCCATATGGGTTATAAAGCTGGCATGTATCTCTAACGCCCGTTTTCATTTTTTGCCCCTCACGAAAAGGTCGAGCATCATGAAGCTCGCCGCAGCTTCTCTAACTCTTCTGGTTGTTGCTGCCCTCCCCGAGCTCTGTGTGGCCGCACCTGCCAAACGTGATGATAGCAGTACCCCAACAGGTGAGTTCATTCCTTACCCCATTCTCCGTGATCTCATGTCATCGCGTTATCAGACATTCAAATTCTGAATTTCGCACTCACGCTTGAACACCTTGAAAATGCCTTTTACATACAGGGCTTGCAGAAGTACACCCAGCAGGACTTCCTCGATGCAGACCTGCCTACCTGGGCGCGTGGACGATGGGACGAAATCTCACAACACGAGTCGACCCACGTGTCGTTCCTAGAGAGCGTAATTGGTGATCAGGCGGTACAGCCATGCACCTACAGTTTGTGAGTAGAGGTTTTATGAACGTAATTCATAGCTTGCTGAATAGACTGCCGTTGCGTTAGCCCTGACACGGACCCAATGACTTTCGTAACAACTAGTTTCATGTTGGAGACGGTCGGCGTTTCAGCATATTCTGGTGCGGCGCAGTTCTTGTCGGAATCGGTAAGTTGTAAACAAACTCTATGGTTTAATTGATATCGTGACTGCGTGTTTGTTTCATCATGGTTTGCAGGATTATATTACGGGCTCGGCTGCTATTCTAGCTGTTGAAGCAAGACAATCAGCGTGGATTAATTCGGCGGTTTTGAAAGCTAACCCATGGAACACCGCGTTTGACGTATGTCACCATGCTGTCGCTAAAGATCGCTACTCAAATATGTCCGTTTAGACCCCACTTGACCTCAATCACGTGTGGACACTCGCATCGGGCGTCATCGTGTCATGTCCTTCCTCTAACATGCCACTACCTGTGAAAGCGTTCCCCGCACTATCCTTCCCTGCCGGTGCTCAGCCAGGCCAGACCGTCCAAGTTTCCTTTAACGCAACAACGACCTCTGAGCAACTCTATGTTGCGTTCATTGCTGGGCTCGGGGCCACTTTTGTGCCACTGAGCTCTCAAAATACAGTTGATATCCCATCAACTTTACTGGGTGTCGTGTTCCCTGTGATCACTTCCAGTAATGACACGGTGACTGACAACGTGACGATCGCTGGACCCGCCTTTTTGAGTTTTGACTTCAATTCTGACGGCAAGGACGAACTGTCACGGTGAAGTGCTTCTGTTGTGATTGTAGTGTAGTACGTTACTGTATATTTTTTTCGTTCTTTCTTTTTGGTTCGTGTTTAGTGTATCCATGGATTCTACTTGCAAGAACATTCCCTATAGTACTTATACGTACGGATGGACACATGTTGTTTCCTTATCTTGATGATTTCGTTAGAGCGTTCTGACAGTGACCCGTGCGGCCAACTCCGGAAAAAACATGCTCGGAGGACGAATTGCGAGTACCAATCCAATTTGAGTCTAAACATCCACTTTGGCGCTTCATCTCCACTATAATACTATCGATCTTCCTTATGATGAGCATCATAAGGCAGACCAGCCTGATAGTATCATAGAAGGAAGATAGACATTCATCGACATCAATGAATTCATGAGTATTCATGTCACTGACTTATACGTGCATGAGACGACTAACTCCGAGTCACCACTGGTTCCGAACCAGTTGGTGTTACCTCCCTTTCACTCTCTAGGTAATGCATACCGTCTTCTTCCAACTTCCTTGTGGTTTGATCAACCCACTGACGAAGCCTACAGGGAATCAATGCCAAATTTGAATGAATTGGAGGCTGACATGGGCTGACATGCCTACACATATAAAATATTCCTCTGGCATTCTTCATGATTCGTTTCTCTTTTCTGCTTTGGACGACTCGGATACCCATTTTATTTTATTTTAGCAAACCCTACGGTATACCCCTGTATTATTAACGTTTCACAATGAGGGCCATCTTCACGTTTCTCGCCCTCGTCATCCTTTCCTCTTCCGTTCTCTCCCTTCCCTCAGAGCGGCGCGACAGCGATAGCACGCTGACAGGTGATGTGATTTGCCCTTTCTCGAAGCTTTAAACTGACGAATATCGCAACAGAGATCCAAGCTCTAAATTTTGCCCTCTCCCTCGAACACTTGCAGTACTACTTCTACGAACGACTGCACCATTATGAGCCACAGGACTTCTCCAACGCTGGTCTACCGCCCTGGTCGCATGGGAGATACGCACAGATATCCTCCCATGAGCTTACGCATGCTCAGTTCCTCGAGAATATCCTGGGTGACAAGGCTGTTCAGCCATGCACATACAACTTGTCAGCTCGTTTCTTGTCTGTCTTTCACATGTGGGCTGAATGAACTCTCCGTCAGCCCCGACACCGATCCGAGATCATTCGTGAAGACCAGCAACACCGTGGAAGCAGTAGCATCCTCTGCGTATACGACTCTTGCGAAGTATCTCTCCGATCCTGTACTTTGATTTCTATCGCTCTGTGTTGGAATCCAACTCAAAAGTATTTTAGGACTATGTCATTTCCATCAGCTCTATTCACTCTGTGGAAGCGAAACACTCAGCATGGATCAACGCGGACGTGCGTGATGGTGCCGCTTGGAGTACGGCATTTGATGTACGTGGCATCCCATCTCCTTACATACATTCTGGGACTAATGATTAACAGGCGCCACTGAGTCTGAGTCAACTATATACCATTATGAGTGGCTTCATCTCATCCTGCCCATCCTCCAATTCGCTGCCGCCCGTCAAAATATTTCCTGCACTTACGTTCCCCTCCAGTGTTATGCCAGGACAGACTGTGCAAGTATCGATTTCGCCCGCAGCTCCGAAACGCGATTCACAAACGTTGTACACCTGGTTCATCTCAGGCTTCAAAGCGCTCGTCGTACCTCTCAATGCTGACATGACGGTCACCATCCCGGACACGCTGCAGGGTTTCGTGTTTTCAGTGATCACGAACAACAAGGAGAGTGTGGCAGACGATGCTACAGTCGCTGGGCCGGCATTCTTAGTCTTCGATTATGACTACCAAGGAAACGATCAGTCACTACCTATGTGAAGGAATCAATGATTTATTCAGTGTGTCCGAGTCGTTAAACTACATTGGTGTACATTTATTGCCGAAAACTGCTTCGATCTCCAATATCAGTATCGGAATGCTGCAGCTCCAGACTCTCCGCCTACTGCAGCGGTAAGGCTTGCTGCCAGCGACTCGGTCATGGCACCAATGTCAGAAGTGACATTAATCTACATGACGTAAAACAAGTTAGCTACAAATGCAGACTTTCAGTCAAGTGATCTCACTATGTCGAAGCCTTCCTCAGCACGTTTAAGGGACTGCTTTCCTGAGGTGCAGTAAATTGCGCTGGATCATAATGATCAGTAACAATAAAGTAGTAGGAGATTCAGGACACATGCTCACCACTTCTTTCCTTTCTTGTGTGCAGCTTCGAGGATATATTGGATGACAGATTCTACGTCGGGGTGTGGGTCGGGAGAGGGGGGGTGGGTATCCCAAGCACAGGGAAAGATCGTAAGGACCGATGAATAAGCAATCTACGACCAACGACACAATGAGATCATATAGCAATTTAAGTATAACCGAACTGACCAATGCCATCCACAGCGGCAATAGCCTCAACATTTTTCACGCCCTCCTTCGTTTCTATCTGTATCATAACAACTACATTTTCATTTGCAGAATTGAGGTACTCGGCGGCATTGACGCCCCAGGTGCCATGAGTGAACGGACTTCCAAAGCCGCGCCGGCCCCCTGGAGGGAACCGACTATCCGCCACGATCTCCCTCGCCTTCTCAGCAGTAGACACCTACAATGTCCAATAGTAACAACGCCCCAAACTCTCTGAAACCACCCACCATAGGAACAAGCACACCCCTTGCGCCAGCATCAAGCGCATACTTGATCTGCCACGACGTACTATTACTAAACCCCGTAGCCGGGATCCTCACGAGCGGACTCGGCGCGTTAGGTCCAAGACCGGTGATGGCCTGGATAGACTCTGCAGCGCCGGGCTGGAGCGATGTAAGGCCGTGTTCGCAGTCTATCATTACCCAGGAGAGGTGTGGGCTGGCTTGTGCGACTGCGCGTGCGTTCAGTACGCCTGGCAGGGTGATCCATGCGCCGAATGCGGGCTTGGAGGCTTTGAATGCTTGTAGGAGTGCGTGGGTTGTCATGGCTGGCGCGGGCTGGAATTGAGCGCCCGAGTCTGGAGATACGTTGTTTATGTAAATTGTTTTGAGGGTCACGATTCAAGTCATGAGGGGTACTGATTTGCGGACCGGTCGAGCCGCCAGGACCTGCATTTGAACTTAACCATGACATTTCGACCTCATCATGCTAGATAAACCTAGATTTATTGTCAAGTTCGTGTCATTCAATTTGAGAACTGGGAGTGTTCAAGCAGTCATGTGAGTTGACATCACGAAAATGTATGCTGTATATGCTACCTGTTCGCTAGTACACCGTGTTTTGAAGTAGAACTGCAACTTGGGCTGAACGTCCTCCCAATGCTAAGCGCTAAGTATCCAGGACGTATGATCATGGCTCTTCGTCTAACTGAATATCGGCGGATCTAGCTTGTCGATGCCTTGACTCTTGGCAGTGAACGCCCCAAAGCGGTGCACGCACCAACTGACCGGCTACGAGGCGGCGTCGAGAACCGAAGTCATTGTATTCTCTCCTAGGTGAATCAATAGAAGGAGAACAGTCGTTTACGTGGCCAGATACTAAACATTCCAGGACTACAAGTGAGCGACAACTTGAAGGTAAGGAAACAAACTAGTACTCTGTCCGAGTATATGATGCATAAGTTCAATAGGTCAAGAACCAGCACTGGTTAATCGCAGAGCATTAATTGAAGCTCACTTCCTCATCATCGCCGTTCCGCACCACATTGTGGCTACCTTCCATACCACGAATGGAAAATTCGGCTCAGAATACTTGGCTGGGGCAAGCTACAGTGTTCGAGCGAACTTTGGTCCATTTCCCGTTGTTGGACAAGCTGTTCTTCGAGTTGGCGTGTTAGCTGTTGCTGTTCAAGGAGACGGGTTTGGGCACTTTCGACCGCCCGTTTCGCTGCTACACTCTCGGCCTCTTTTGCTGCGTTGGACACCTTGACTTCCTCTAATTCTTTCTCTCTCTGCGCAAATTCTTCTTGCAAGCGTACTCGTTCCGCTTCCTCTCGAGCACGTTCCCTTTCCGCGGCTTCCATGGCGGACTTCTGTCGCTGCTGCTCAGTCTCTAGTACTGCCAGTCTGTCCCGCTCTCGCTTGACTTCTTCGGCGTGAGCAATATCGGCGATCTCTTTTGCGATGCGTGTCTTCTCCATATCGTCCAGAAGACTTTGGAGGTGCTTCTGGTGACTTTCTTCCGCCAGCACTCTTGCATTGCGTTCTTCTTCCAACTCGCGAGCGCGCCGTTCGTCCTCTGCCTGCTTGGCAGCAAGAATCTCGCTCTCCCTTTGAGCATGCATAGTTTCCTGTTCCTCTTTCTCGGTCAGGACTTTGACGACCTCGCCTTGAAGGTTCTCCAGCATCTGGAGTTGCTTCTGATGCTCGGCTTCCATCCGCAGGATCAGAGCCTCGAGGCGTGCGCGCTCGGCAGCAAACTCGGCAGCCATGCGCTGAGAGTTTTGCTCGATGCGCAAGCATTCCTCTTGCTTCTTCTCGAGCTCTTCCTGAAGCTCTCTCCGCATCTCCTCATCTTTGGCGCGCATAGCGGCTTCCATATCTGCTCTCAGATTACGGATCTCGTCTTTGTGCTGATCCGCTTGCTCGTTGAGGGCGCGCCTGAGTTCAGCGCCCGCAGCGGTCTCCTCGATAGACCTGTGCTCGTCGACAATTTCTTGCTGAATGCGAAGCGGAGCAGGTTGGTTGTTGACGAGATAACGAAGGATGGTATGTGCGGACTCGAGGGTGCCATGGTGACGGAGCAGCTGACCGCCCTTCTCAAGTACAGGTTTAAAGAATTTATCCATCCTCGCAAGTTCAGCCTCTCTAGCCTCACCAATCTCAAGTGTCACCTGTAACCACATGTTGGTCACGATGATGACGTTTTTGAGCGAGCTTTCTCCGCAAAGCTCGCGGAAGATCCTGAAGTTGCGCTTGGACGTGCCACCCATCCTGAGGTCAGAGATGCGGTGCATGTAGATGACGCCAGCAAGCTTGGCGCCATGCTCGTAGCTGAAGAAACGCAGACACTTAGCCTGAGGAAATCTTTCGATGGAATCACCTACGTCGTGGAGAGATATGCGGCGATCATGTTCAGAATGGTCGTATCACTTCGGTCCGTATCATCAAAGCCAGGCGTAGTCGATCAAGGTCACAACACGCCCGCTAACAACAAACTGGCCGTGAAGTTTGCACTTCGCTAGTGCAACTGTCGAGGCCGTGACCAACGGGAAGGTTCGACCCGCTAGCCTTATTGATAAACTGTGCCCGGCAAGAGTAGGCAACGCATAGTTCGGAACAAGGAGACTTTCCGTACCGTGGATTTACCACTACCTGTAGCACCCATGACGCTAGAAGGAGCGTCAGGATATCAACCTGAAGGCATTGAAAGGTACGTACGCAATCCGGATTTCTCTGTTTGGATCAGCCATCGTTGTAGCTCAGTGATTAGCGGATGCCGATCTATGCAAGAGGAGGTACAGTTGTATGCTGAGACAGGCACTACGCCGTGCAGGCACTTTGGTTGATGTGAGGAACGCGGGTGTTCAAATACGTCTGTGGGCTTATCGCTCCAGTACCCACTCATTGCAGCAGCATGGTCTTCATGAGGCGCAGCCCCTAACGTGCCTAACGAAATGTCGAGCCCTAATTCGTTGTTTGAAGCCTTACTTGGACATGGACTGATCACCACTGAATGAACCCCGGCGTGTTATCTGGCCCAGAACCAGCCTCGCTTCGTCCTTGCTGAGCGCAACATTAGTCCATTCTTGAGTGGCGTATCCCTGATAGGCTGGCTGACCAGGGTTTTGTCGGTTACTTACACAGTGATGCATTGATGGGTATCTTTTCGACATAACCGTAGTCCGTACTACGCTATAGGCAGGGAGTCAGGATTATCTGTATTGTCAGCCAAACGATCGCCAAGATAACTGAATTGCGCCAGTCATCCAGCAGACGCATGGAGTTGCTCTTCTACTATCCGAAGCTCTTGATAAATATTCGGATGCCAACATCGCAGCCTCGTTTCGCACGCGTAAAAGCTCCGCTTCCATCTGGAGCGCCTGCCAAGCGGCTTCCTCCAATTCTACTCGTAATTTTCCTGTGCTATAGTGGTTTTGTAGATTGTAAATGCACTGTTATCGTGAATGAATGAAGCCTACAGTTCAACACATGTCAAATGCATTGTCGAGCCTAAAATTATTACCGAGGCCTGTTTATTTGAGAACTGGGTGTTCAAGCAGTCATGTGAGCTGACTTCACGAGAATGTATACTGTACATTACCTGTTGATGCGCAACGCCATCACTTAGATAAAGAAACATACAACGATCGCAAATTCAATAGACGGAATCAACGGTTAATGTTTATGAAAGATGCAGAGTAGGAAGCGTGTCTGGCGGGTCTCCAAGCCTAACAAGCTGCTGCTCTAAAACGAAATCCATTACATTCGACTGGTGATTAAAGGAGCTGTGATTATGCGTGGTCAGCGGTAGTTGCAGGTTGCAAGGAAGTAAAAGTATTGCGAGGACGCCATTCACGCTCTGCTGTCCAGTATCGTATCCACCTCCACTCCTTTCCCGTCTTTTTGTGTACCTTCTCGATCGTCTTGAGGGCGTCCAACAACCAAATATTGGGCTTCTCAGCATATCTTGCCCTCATCGCGCTTTCTTGTGGAGCCTTGACAGGAGGTTTGTCTTGGACTTGTTTGTGGAGCTCCTCGTACAAGGCCTTGCCCACGACACGCGCATTTGCAGAATTATCTTTGAGACATGCAACGTAGAGCATGGAACAAGCAGCGAGGTCAGATGAAACAGGTGGGAGCTTGTAGACACCAAATAGAGCTGCGACAGTCATAGAGTCCGAAAGCGGGCGCTTGTCATAGACGGAGTGCAGCATATGTCGGCCGGCGAAGAGAGAGCTCAAACCCAGACCGTATTTCGAATGGTCTCCAAAAACCTTGAGTGCGAGTGTCGGGCATTCCAGTTCCTCACAGCGACCTTCGTTTATCTCAGCAGAGAACGGGATAGCGATAGGACGCTGGACTCACGAATGAAAGCCTCTGCGTGTATGGAGCGGAACTCCTTGCCCGAGTCTCTCCACCTCGGAAATAGCTCTGCTACCATTTCCAGCTGTTCCGACGATTTTGCGAGCTGGAACAACCGAAGCCACGCAGTTTGCCGCACTTGGCCGGCTTTGACAGCACGTTTGCGTCCCGTGCGGTCGGTCACATACTCCACAAGTTCGTAGAACTGTTGTTCTCGACGCGTAGCGGCGTCCTGAGATTTAGCCTTTTGGACGGTGGTGGACTTCGAAGCCTCCGATACTGGGGTTTCAGACGGAGTCGCAGACGAAAAGAGGTCGTCATCTCTGGTCTGTCGACCTGCATAAAATTTATTGAGCACTTGATGACACTCTACCGCCGTGCTCCTCACCTACAGCCGTCAGTTGAAAATTCCTGCGACACGCTGATCGATTGGTGGCGCTTGCCAAACGAAAGAGGGCCTGTGACCGGGTTAAAGAGAAGAGGCTGGCCATCCTACGGAGTATCATTCATAGCTTTGCGGCAAAAACATGAACTGAATTTCTTGTAAACATTGCCAAACAAAGGTCTAATATTATTATTCCGAAAATATCATTTTGATTCAGGCTCAGCGCTCAGAGTAAGAACTGGTCCTAGCCATATCTACGGTGAACTACTACACCTCTTCGCCCAGCTGTAATATTTTCTCTCCTCAGACGTATGGTATTTGACTGATTCCTGACGGGCCTCTCATCTGACTTCATTACGAACGCTTAATATCCTCGGAGAAACCGACTTGATCGGTCTGTAACACGAGATCCAGATGACTCTGTCCTTTTATACTTTCGAGGGTAAGAATAACACCGTACGTAGTTTCTCACTTGACTGGATCACTGACTTGTCTCTAAAATTAGCCACTCTGCACACTCAGCGAACTTTCAGCTCGTGCACGGAGAAGGCGCACAGCACCAGACTAAAATCAAGAGATCTCAAAGTCAAATCGTCACACACCGGTGTGATGACACCACTGCTGCGCTCATCTGACGGGCAGCAACAGAAGTCTTGCCTGAGACTGCCTAAAATTATTCATACTTTGTTTTTCACCTAGCTTCACGCATTTCACAACTTGCTCGCCGTCGATCGTATCTATGGCTCTGAGACATCGGTTCGAATGTCACAGATATCCTTTGGCATCATCCTGGGATATACATGATACGAGAGTCTCAGCGGGTGAAGTAGAAATACCCTTGCGTCGCTGGGGTGAAGAGATGGTGAAAAGCTGTATGAAATCGTTAGCTCGCATATACACGAGCTCGGTGACTCTTTCGTGCTTATTGCAGGCAAAGTTACCATGTGGCACGTGGTCAATTCTAACTGGTCTCAGGTTCAACGTTCAGGACTCGCCGGCACCACTCCTTCGAATGTGCGCGGAATACAAGGGTGAATTCGGACGTTCCAAACTTATTCCAAACTCCCCTAGGCAGACCACACACGTTCGTTCCTGAAATGTTGGGCTCCTCGTGTCGGAGCCTTTGTACTTCCAGAGCTGGTCAATGGTTTTAGCGAATCCACCATGGCGTATATATGATCACCCCAACGGACAGTTTCGAATGAAATACAAGGCGCCCGGCCTACCCAGCGGTCACATCCTGGTATAACAACGTCAGATCTTAAACGTTTACGTACTCACTTGCACAGGGTCTCATAGGACCTCACTGTTCTCACCAAAAATCCGAAATTTGAAGAGGGTATCAAGGCAACTATCGGTTGACGAGAGTTGAGAACGGTAAACAGATACGAAGGGGGACGAGGAGACGCGTGGATATTGAAGTAGTGGGAATTGTGGGAAATCGGTCTTGTAGATTAATCACATGATGTGGCACAACCATCCTAGACTCCTAGTACAGCTTGAGCATTATGGTTTATCACAGACATTGAGGTGCGTAAATTGACGTCGGAACTTCAGAGCTCTATCCCATAGCATCCTACCTATACTACACTGTTAGTGTTTGGTATTTTCACCTGGTCGTTCGTGCAGGTAACAATTCACGCTCGGATTATTATAGCTACGTATATATAATACCGCCACGGCGTAGTCGCCTTACATAAAGCATCATTCTCGAGACTCGAACGAAACCTTATGTTTTCTTCACACTCACACTCCACACTTTCGCAACGACACTCTCGCAACGACGACTCACCAAGAGGGTGTGGTGGAATAAGGAATTTGAATTTCGACCGGATCGTTTATTTCACCGACCAACATGAAGTAAACTCCGCTGCATGATATTCCCCTATACGTGAGGCTCCGTGTCCACTTTTGATTTTTTTAGGCATCCATACACCTCCCGTAGACTTAAACGGCGCGTGTTCGCGGTTCGAGCGTCGATGCAAGTCTACGGGAGTTTGTGGATTGGCCGCGTTGACTAGTAATATCCCTTGTCTCCCCACGGATTCTTACTTGGCTATGAGTATATGCCGCGGATATCCAGATGTGGCTGCTTCTTGGCTCGCCCATCCCCTCTTACGTTCCGATGGCCAGGCGCTCATGCGATCAAAATCCGACTCAGCATGAAATCGTATCTTGTATTTTCAGGCTGGAGCACAGAGATTTGAGAGGATTTGGATGCGACAGCATTCACGATGCCAAGGCAGTTCACATTATATTTCTACCGTGCCAGCGGTACTACGCGCGTCTACATCGCACGCCTGTCGGGCTGCGTGTATGTCGATGTATTCCGCATCTGGGGATGAAACGTGACGAGTGAGTCAGCCGAGTCGTTTTGGGGCTTGTGTCGATGTGGCTTGTTGGCCACTGGGGCTCTGATTGTCGCCTCCACCGTGTAGTTACATCTGGTCGAGTCACTGGGGCGTAATTTCAGTAACCGTACAGTGAGTGTCTCATCGAACCCGTCTAGTAATTGGTGGCATGTGATATCCCAGTTCCAAAGTTATGGTCCAGAATGCGACGTAAAATGTCCGAGGGCTTTCTTTAAAGGGACGAGTGACAGTATATTTGTAGGATGCAGGCCACGTAGATTGCTCGAAGCAGGGATCGTCAGGACACGCTTTTACTGGACTCATAGCAAAAATAACTATACCGCAAGGACAGGTCACGTAGACGATTCGAAGTAGGATTGAGCTAGACCCCTTGGCACAGTCATACCAATGAGAAGCGAACGTGCATTGTAACCATATAACGTCTGGTTTTAGAGCGATACCCAAGTCGGGTGATGGTGATTATTCGATGCCTCTGCGACTGGTCCAGCTCATATCGTCGATATCGTTGACGTCGATTAACCCACTTCTGAGTACTTGGAGCATGTGAGCAGACGTGCTAGATGTTCCGACGGTTGTCAATATGTTACACGATAGTGTGACTGTGATTGCGCCGTAGCACGCAGGATTATTTGTAATGCATTTAAGAGCTCGAGTAGGCTTACTATGCCTAATATTGATAGCGATGGGGGCCGTTTCTCCACACAAGTACTCTGGTATGCCGTTTGGATGCGGAACGAATTGATTCCGCCGGAAATTAATACGGCAGTTTGCACTTCCGAGAGGAACCATTGCACCCTGATGCTTCTCCCGCGGCTGATGCCAGCGCTGATGAACTCTATTAAGACAACTACAAAATGTATGGATCATGGATGTGACAGGGTATATAACGTCAACATAGCCCTGCATAGCCTACGGGCACCAATACAAATGACAACACTGCAATGTGAAGCAGTAGACAACAGTCCACACTGCGGAGTGACAATGATATGACACCTATCAAGAACCTAGTAGGTGACATTTCGTCAGGTACTAGTACGTCCGCGGTCAATCCTCTACCTCATTCGTGTCTCCACAGGACTTGCCAGTGAAGCTCTCACGATTTAAACGGTGACAGCAATTCTCATGTGGGTCAGGACGTCGCATTGCGTTCTAATCGTGTCATGACAACCACACCTTGTTACTGAGGAGGCTAGGTGTACGTAAGTGTAAGTAAGGGTCACTGGCGACAAGGTGAGGAACTCACGATGAACCCAAGGACAGTTCTCGGGATCACGATGAGAACTGAATCGGTCTTTTTCCGTTGTATGGTGGTGAGGTGATATGCGATACAACGTGCGATGCTATTAGCCTGATATCAATCAGGTTTGGCGGCTTACTTATCGGTGCGTGATCATGGTGGAAAACCGTTGGCTGTGACAGAGTGTTTTCGGCATTGGCTGCAAAATCATTGGCGTTGTCATTCTTTTTAATTTAAAAATTCAATGAAAACAATGAAAAGGTACTGCGGAGTTTATGGACGAAAGTTAGCCGTATGTCAAAAAGGATCGGCACAGGCAACATTGAAAAGAAAGGTTTGGCCTGAGGGAGGGAGCTGGGGACGCCGCCGTCAGCAATATTATCATTTGGTGGCTGCCGCTGCTTGAATTGATACCCCGCGCAAGTCTGCCCTGACTCAATCAGCGTCGCCCATTGGATGATAAAACAAAGCACAGCTTAGTCATCAAAACTCCCTTATCTCTTGCCAAGTAAAGCTTAGAGCGCTTTAAGACGGTATGAATTCACGCACGGTAACAGTCCGACGTCCAGGTCCCACAGATATTCGTATATCTACCCACAAGGCGCCCTTTTCCTCCCTTTTTCAAGGACGCCCATCTTTCATTTGCAGGAACATTATTTCGCCGCACCCCCCATCTCATCATCAGCGTGTATTAAGGGCAAAATGGTGAACGTCACCTACGACTCTTGTAAGTCCCCTACGTGATTCTTCTAAAAAATACTGAACCTAGCGCTGGACAGCTGGAGACCTGATATCGTCTACCGGAACTGTGTTTAATGAGGGCGATATTGCCTGGACATTAGCATCAACCGCCCTGGTATGGATCATGATACCTGGGGTTGGCTTCTTCTACTCCGGTTTGCTGAGGAGAAAGAATGCTCTCAACATGATCTACCTCAGTATGATGACCATTGGCGTGGTCTCCTTCCAGGTCCGTTACACTTTATGACATTTTAAGCGCCCTCTGTACTCATCGAGATTGTAGTGGTTCTTCTGGGGCTATTCTCTAGCTTTCAGTGAAACTGCCAGCCCTTACATTGGCAACCTTAGTATGCTTTTCCCTCAGAATTCAAAGTTTCCGCGTTTGACTGCTATTCGTTAGAATACTTTGCCTTGCAAAATGTACTTGACCAGCCTTCTATCGGTAGTGCGAGAGTACCGGCCATTGTATTTTGTGTCTTCCAGCTTATGTTCGCTGCCATCACGTAGGTCATGACTGTCGTCTCTCATTCAGGGCGCTCACGTAGCTTCAGTCCCATGATCGCCATTGGTGCCGTTGCAGAACGCAGCCGCTTGGGTCCTCTCGTTGCATTCGTTTTCGCTTGGTCTACACTCGTCTATGATCCTATCGCATGTTGGACATGGAACACCCAAGGCTGGTCCTACGTCCTTGGCGGCCTTGATTTCGCTGGTGGTACCCCAGTGCACATCTCCTCTGGCACTGCCGCACTTGCCATCTCACTCTACCTTGGCAAACGTCGGGGATATGGCACGGAGCGCCTCGCCTACAAGCCTCATAACACAACTTATGTCATTCTGGGTACGGTATTTCTATGGTTTGGTTGGTTCGGCTTCAACGGCGGCTCTGCCCTCTCCGCAAACTTGCGTGCAACTGAGGCGTGTATTGTTACCAACCTTGCGGCAAGCGTAGGCGGTTTGACTTGGATGTTCTGGGATTATCGTCTTGAGCGCAAATGGTCCGTTGTCGGTTTCTGTTCTGGGGCTATCTCGGGTCTCGTTGCCATCACTCCTGGTTCAGGCTTCGTGGGTGCTCGTGAGTCTTATTTCTTTTAGTCTCCATTGAAAAAAATCCTGAGACATGATTAGCGGCTGCTGTTTTGTTCGGCTTTATGGCTGGCACCGTCTGCAACTTTGCTACCCAGCTCAAGTTTATTTTCAAGTTCGATGATACGCTCGATGTAGGTGAACATCTTATGGGCATGAAATCATCGATGCTCATTCTACATTAGATCTTCGCGTCGCATGCCATTGGTGGTATTGTCGGCAACATCCTTACTGGTCTCTTTGCTCAATCAAGTATTGCTGGTGCTGATGGGATCACTGTGATTCCTGGAGGCTGGCTTGACCACAACTACCGTCAACTCGGCATCCAACTTGCAGATTCTGTCTCCGGGCTTTCTTACTCTTTCGTCATGACTGTCAGTCTCGTAGCCATATTCTCTGCACTTCTTTATCTGACTCTTTACTCGTCTGTAGACCATTATATTGTGGATTATGCACTATATTCCCGGTCTCCGACTCCGCTGCGACGAGGAGACCGAGATCCTTGGTGTCGACGATGCGGAGATGGGCGAATTCGCATACGACTATGTTGGTATTGAAACTGAGCTCGTTCCCCGTAGCGAGTACAACATAGGTGCGTCTTCCGGCAGCCGCGAGCCGCAGCACACCGCCGCGACGACATCGCAGATAAGCGAGGAGAAGGTTATTAGTGGGGAGGAGAGCGTCAGTCGTGTACAGTGAGGTTGTGCATGGGCTGCATCGTGGACTTGGGGTCGGGGATAACACGACTGCAAGAAAGTCTGTCACTCGTTTCATTAATTTTTTTCATCCTAGCGTATTCACTACATTTCTGCATGTTCTGATTGTTTTAACAGTAATGTGTGTGTTATTTAGATAACTGGACTTTTTCGAGTCACTTCTTGATGGATTGACGTGAAAACATGCCCCTGCACGGTGGCATAATATTCTCCAAATTAGTTACTTGGTTCATTTAGTGGTATACGTATCATGTGTATCGATGCATATTTCAGGACAGTAAGAAAACCGGAGACACAGTTTACCACTCCACTAATTGTGGGAGTCCGCAAGGCCTCCGGCCATCGATCGGTTTGTAGTGAACAGTATTATACAACCGTGCATTAATAATGCTTTGAAGACTACGTACTTGTTATGGCAGTCTCTTCCTCGGGAAATATTGAGACCCAGCAGTTCCCGGGTGTAAAGGAGGTCCTATTTTTCAGGCACAATAATTTATCCACATCGTGGATGAAACCAAAGAAGAATATGCTTGACGGCGGGGTGCAAGGTCGAGACTCGTATATAGTCATCCAGATAAGTTACGAAATCGATGTTTTGGTGCTAGCGGCATTATATAGCTGCAGACCGCAGTCAAACTTCATAGCGGCGCACCCGAAGAGGCACACTTCCAGCCTCAACACTCCCTACAACCCTCGGTCTTGGTACAGTCCCCAAACTCTCTACGATCGGCACGCCAGGGCCATCTGCCATCTCGAACACAAAGTTTCGCACAAGGACGAATAGTACAGCCTAGGATACATCCAAACTCGGTCAAAACGCTCCGGAATCAATTATACTTTGAGTGCGCAGCTGCGTACCTTAAACTCTGTCAACGCAAATAGCCTCCCTAAGCACATCCGCGCCCCATCGCCAAATGTCATTAAATGTCGATAGCCCTGAAGAGTTCTGGCACCATGCGTACCCTCGTCCCCTTCGAGCCAGCGTGAAGGCTTGAACGTCTTCGCGTCAGGGCCCCACATGCTAACAGAGCAATTAAGTGCGGCAAGTGGGATAACGACCACCGTCCCCTTCGGGATGCATACGCTCTCGGTAAAGTCACCAGTAGCTGTGCGCAAGGGTTCACTGAGCGGGATCACGTCTTCTTGTATAGCCTGTCATAGTCAGTTCGAGTGGTTTGGATTAAATTTCTGTCGAATACGCACCGCTCGCTCGATTTCCTTGGCTGCTGGGTGGAGGCGGAGAACTTCATTCACTACAGCATCCAGGTAGGGAAGCTTATTTGTAAAGTCGTCATATGAGGGAGATGGTCCGAACTCTAGACACTCATCGCGAAGCTTCGTCTGGATGTCTGGATTCCGCGCAAGTTCTATATAAGCCCACTGTAAAGTTGAAAAAACACATTGAAAGTAGTGGACTGTTTGAAACTTACTGTCATGGTGACTGATTAAGATGCAAGGAGTAGTGAGAATGCGCATGCGCTCTTTTGTTAGATGAATGTATGTTACCTGCAGTGGTCTCAAAGCCGGCGAGAAGTAGAATCTTTGCCTGACGGTGGCGGATATCAGTGTCACATCGTTAAGTAGAGTTCTGTAATTCGTATACCTCGTCTAATACTTTTTGTGGAGTCAGTCCTTCGCTCTCGCTAGATTCCTCCGCTTCCACTAACCGACAATTTCAGGGTTTACGATTTGAATCAGAAGGGCAGGACTCACAGAGCGAATTCAAACATGATTTGTCCCCTTGTCCAGTACCGCCAGTCTCTTTTTCCTTGCGCGTCCGCGATACCATCTCCTGGCATATTTTTCCAACGATCAGATTTAGCTTCTGGGAGAACTGTATGCGAGGCAATGGTAGCTTTAGGATGGAAGGAAAATTCTGTGCCAGGGTGACCAAGTTGTAGGAGACGTTGGTAGATGAACTAAAGGCATTCAGGACATGCACGACGTCAGAGTTATTTCCATGGAGTGCGCCGAAATCATGAGATAGAGCGGCTATCCCTACACTGTCAAGCCTACGTGGCGAGTGTTGCATGAGTCAGCAGCCTGGTGGAGAAGAATGGAACTGCATACGAGACGTGATTCATCCTGCATAATGTGTCTGAGTTCGAGAGTCGGAAACTTATCGGGCGAACAAATACCATTGTTGAGCATCAATTACAGCGCAATCAGTTCCTTGATTCGATTCTATCTCACTGTCCCAAGCGATCATTGCCTGTAACAGATTTTGAGTGCAATGCAGCCGAACGATTAGTGACTGACCTTGTGAGCGGTATCGTGGATGAGAGGCATCAAGCTACGAATAGCAATTGAGGTAAAGGCAGGGTTGAGAGCCTTGCGCCGCCTGATGAATAAGATAATGACATGGATTTAGTTCAGCACGACTTGAAGGTCATAACTCCAACATTCTGTGATCTTCGTCATCGGCCCATAACACTCCTCTTCCGACCTGTCAATTGCAGAAGCGCACCATCATCTTATAGCTGCAAGAGGAGGTAAAGGGACATACTGTCGTCTGAATGGCAAGCTTGTTGAATGGAGTCTGGTTATATAACCAGGTGTCTCTTGCAAAGAAATGAGAGATCGCCTTCGGGTCCCACAGTATGACTCTGGACAGTCCCAAGACGTGGGGTACCTTGTACACTAGTCCGTACTCTTTGGCCCAGTGTTCGTACAGTTCAGTGATGATAGCGGCGGAATTCACTGTCTTGGCGAAGCCAAACAACCAACTTGGGCTCTGAGGTCCTCGTACACGTGTCGTTCGTTTTCTTTGACGATACGCTTGCAGGAGATAGATAAACACCAGTATCAGAACTGAGACGCATGTCGTTGAGCCCATCAGGAGCCATGAGAGACAAAAATCCTTGAAAGTAAACCACATATCCCTACCGCAGTGCTTGTGATGCAACCATCACGATCAGTAAGCACTTAAGTACTAGAAGCAGACAACAGGTAATTGAGATGCAGAGCTCATATCTCATGGGGAGCTAGGAGGAGCTAGGGTGAAAATGACGTGGCCGTGACGCGACACCGACGCGGCGCTCGAAATGAATTCCAAATACTTTTGATCTTGAATCATTATTGATGAATGCCCGAATTGCGTACAGGCCCCGGAGTGCTGAAATACGCATATAGATCTAGATATCACCACATTTACAACGCTTATCCTCCACGTGCATAAACATCGATGATGGATTAATCTATATGTGCCTTGGAGTTGGACCACTGAACCGGACGTTGCGAATCTTGCGATCAGTTCAGCGATTGGGCAGAACGCTGCACCGAACGTGTTTGAATGCGTTAAAGACGTTCTGTTCTGCGCTCGAGCACCGAAGAGTCAAGCGTCCGTAATTCATGGAAAAGAAAGTGCGTATAGCGTGTGTCTGTGCATGTAGAATCAAAGCAAGGCCATGAAAACGAAGAACGTGTGGGTCGTGTGGATCCCAGAGATGAGCGCGAAAATCACACTGAGGTGCATTGATCTCGCGTGCACTAGGCATAACAGAGTGTACAGACCAAGTTCGGAAGAGGCGTATTCAGTAATGGGTTTGAAGCGCAACTAAGAATAGTCACGTTGGATATACGAAGAATTGGTTAGCGGTGAAGTCTGCGAGAAGTATAGCATCAGGAGTTCGAATGTTGGTCATCAGAGGGCGGGAGTGCACGATGGTGCAGTAGTGGTAGTAGTGGGCGCGGCATGACCACTCGATTCGATCAACACATTTAGTAGAAAGTGCGATGGCACACGTACCTGATATCTAATACCAAAACTCAAACTACAGTTACTACACCAATCCATATTCCTGCTTGAACCTATGATGGCAGCGATTTGGTTTTAGACTAGGTGCTGTTATCCTTAGCGTTACGTTTGGGGGCGAGCGAGTCCACAAGAGCCTTGAGGGCATTACCAGTATTGCGTTCTACACACATAGATCGTTAGAAAAACTCGCCTAAGAGCACCAACAAGACGACTAAATAAATAATATACGTCGGAGTAAAGACCACCATGGCATAGTCAGTGATACCAACGACTACCGATGATCGAAGGAATGAAGCCGTTGCAGACCAATGTAAACGTGAGCCGAGTCGCCGAAGAGAGAAGAACGACTCTAAGACCCGAGACTGTGAAGAAACTAAGTGGGAACCTCGCAAGCCGACAAAGCAGCAACGATAACATACGTTACTGCAGAATAGACCGTGGGAAATCGTTGAGTTGGTCATAATGATCGTGAGACAGTAGTACTTTCAAACATTTATTAAGCTCATGCTTCATCGGGAACATATCAAACGTAGATCTGAACCCTCGATTCAGTGCATCTCAAATGGTGATCTAATGATGGTCTATGATGCATAGATGTACCATGTCGAGCGTCGTCCCCACCTTGTCACGGACTCACGGTCAAGCCCCAACCATTGCAAGCTCGTCCCTAACATCTACGCAGTATGATGGCAAATAGTACATGCTGCGTCAAGGTTTACCTGCCGCGTCAAGGCTCAGCGCTCACTCGTGACGTGTCAGCTCCGTATCACGGCTGGGCCATCCCTCAAGGCCTCACCAATCATCTATGCCGCGTCAGCGCCTCGTAAATGCTGCATCACGCCTCCCACACGCCACGTTAAGCCCATCCTATGCGTCAGCAGTGCAGCTGCATGTCTGACACTTAGGTATATTTTCTGTCTACCATATTAGTCAGGTTGCTAACATTAGTGTCCCCTTCCATCCCAACAGTACTAGACATCGTAGGTACTGTAGGAGGCAGTAATGCTTAGTTGCGACGATCCAAGAAATCTTGTCTTAAGCACTCCTATGATATAGAGAAAAAATAGCATCGTACTTTTGGAAATCCATATATCTTATGGTCATTGTGAGTGCTTCGACATATGGAGTGAACACATTCAAACCGTCATCTAGGAACTAATTCAACATAAAATGTACTCTAGTTCGTGTCTGGACCTCATAACCGATCGGTGTTCTGGGAGACCCACACTTTCACGACCACAGTATATTCGCTCTTGTCGTGTGAACTGATGAACGAGATGTCGCCAGTGCTGGATCGGATGAAGCAGCACAAAACAGCAAAGTGTGAATTCCAAGACATCCTGTATGTCGTTTGTCATCACAAATGCCTGCCCTCTTTGATATCATTAACATAAATATGTAGAGATACAATACTGCCCCTCCATCTGAGGTACAAGTGGGCGCAGCTATGCAATGTATATATGGCAGACGATCGACAATTCGACGCGATAAGATCAATAGCAGGGGCACGAGGGTCTCAAGTCGGTATACAAAGACAATCTTCCCAGCCACAAGGCTCAACTGGCGGGGCAGGAGAAACGTTCGTGTCGTCGTCCTACGTTGCGTGAGTTATGAAGACATTTGTTGAAACCCTCCTTTCAATAATTTGCTTTCCCTCTCGCAATAGTAGTTATGCGGACAATTTCTCACTCGGCCAGTGTACCTCGTACTGTGTCATTTAATTATCTGGATGAAGCGTGTCAGATACCAACGGAGTAGTTCTCTGATGCGTTGACAATGATGTTCATTGAGAGAGATGTGGACTGAGTACTGAGTATTCAAATGATGCGCTGACAAGATAGCGTTCAACAGAAAGACCAATCCGACAGTGTCGACATGCCCCCTACGAACGACGAGCCCTTCCCCACCAATGGACTGCTGCGGGTGGTGCTATCGAATGACGCGGAGCAGAATCAGCAGATGTGTGCGCCGTCCTTGGTCCAACACAACGACAATACCAAGTTGTCATGTCCCTTGATCTCGATGAGCGGCTCGCTCATCCTTTGACCACTCGCGGACCATCTTGATGATCTGGAACCTCCGAATCAATGACAATAAGCTAGTCCAAAACCCACTCTTGCACGATAAACTCTTGGGTGTTGCCATGTCCCTTGCTGGAAAATATATCATCAGTGCTATATAGATGTGACGCAAAAATCTACGCATGGAGCTCGGAGGGTAGCACTCGAGTAGCAGAGTGGTGTCATTCAGGTGGATTTTCTTTTAATGTAAAACTCCACGTGAAACTCTGAGGCAAGTCATCTCAGGTTCCTTTTCGCATGCATTCACACTGCTTTATCAAAGACACAACGTAATCTACATAGAGACGTGCGCCCATGATCAGCTGATCCTTCATCCATTGATCTTTTCAGGTCTCTGACAGTGACACCTGTCTTGTGTCGAAACAGCATGTCGACATTTGTCAGTGTAGTTCCATCCTGCTTGAACGTTTGCTAGTCTGACGCCGATACAGGAACACGACTGCTGGGGGGATGATACAAGCTTGCAGGCCCATCAACCTCTTCATAATGGGCGCAAATTCTGTGGCGTCCTTCGATTTGAACCTACAAATGCACGAATACCAATACGGCTCCAGCCCTGGCCTGAAAATTCGGCAAATTATATAGATAGATCCTGAGATTGAAAATTTGACGTTAGCACAGTTTTCTTACGATACCATTACATAGTCACACAGCAGTCAAACCTCATAGCGGCGCACCCGGAGAGGCACACTTCCAGTCTCAGCACTCCCAACCACCGCCGGCCTCGGTAACATCCCCAAACCCTCCACAATCTGCACCCCAGGGCCATCCGCCATCTCAAACACAAAGGTTTGCACAAGGACGAACAGCACAGCCTGAGACGAAACCAGACCCGGTCAAAACAATCCGGAACCAATACTCTCAGTGCGCAGCTGCGTACCTTGAACTCTGTCAATGCAAATAGCCTCCCTAGGCACATCCGCGCTCCATCACCGAATGTCATTAAATGACGGTAGCCATGCAGGGCTTCTCTGGCTCCATGAGTACCATCGTCCCCTTCGAACCACCGGGAAGGTCTGAACGTCTTCGCGTCAGGGCCCCACATGCTAACAGAGCAATTGAGTGCGGCGAACGGGACAACGATCACAGTCCCCTTTGGGATGCATACACTCTCGGTAAAGCTACCGGCAGCTGTGCGCATGGGCTCGCTGAGTGGGATGACGTCTTCTTGCGTAGCCTGTCATAGTCAGTTCGAGTAGTTTGTGTTGCATTTGAGTCTAATACGCACCGATCGCGGGATCTCTTTGACTGGTGCGTGGAGGCGAAGAACTTCGTTCGCCACAGCGTCCAGGTAGGGAAGCTTATTCGCGAGGTCGTCATATGAGGGGGGTCGGTCCGAACTCTAAACACTCATCGCGAAGCTTCGTCTGCACGTCTGGATTCCGCGCAAGTTCTACCAAAGCCCACTGTGGAGTTGAGAAAAACGGATGGAGCAGCGGACGGTTCGAAACTTACTGTCATGGTAACTGATAAAATGCATGCAACGGTGAACACCTGATTCTTTTGCTAGACGAATGCACGTTACCTGCAGTGGTTTCAAAGCCGGCGAGAAGGAGAACCCTTGCCTGGCGGAGATGGACATCAGCGTCCCATCGTTCAGGAGAGTTATATGATTCGTGTACCTCGTCTATTACTTCTTGTGGAGTCAGTCCCGCGCTCTCACCAGATTCCTCCGCTTTCACTACACAACAATTTCAGGGTTCACGATTTGGAAAATGAACGGCAGGACACACAGAGCAAACCCAAACACGATTTGTCCCCCTGCGCAGCACCGCCAGTCTCCTTGTCCTTGCGTGTCCGCGATAGCATCTCCTGGCATATTTTGCCAATTATCAGGCGAAACTTTCGGGAGAATTGTGTGCGAGGCAATGGCAGCTTCAGGATGGAAGGAAAATTTTGTGCCAATATGACCAAGATGTTGGAAACATTGGCGGATGAACCAAATGCATTCAGGACGTGCACGACCTCGGAGTCATTTCCATCTAGTGCGCCAAAGTCATGTGACAAGACGGCTATGCCCGCACTGTCGAGTCTATGTGGCAGTGTGGATAAGACATCAGCCTGGTAGAAAGGAATGGATATACATACGAGATATTATTCATCCTGCATAATGTGTCTGAGTGTGCAGGTACAAAACTTTTGGGGAGAAAATTTACCATTTTTGAACATCAATTACTGCACAATGAGTTCCTTGGTTCGATTCTATCTCATCGTCCCAAGCGATCACTGTCTGTAACACGTTTTGAGTGAAGTGCAGGGTGAATCGTTTAGTGACTGACCTTGTGAGCGGCATCATGAAAAACAGATGTCAAGCTGCGAATAGCAGCTGCGCTAAAGGCAGGATTGAGAGCCTTGCGCTGCCTGATAAATGAGAGAAAATGACATGGATTTAGCTTGTCACACTTCAATAGAGGTCTTACTTCCAACCTTTTGTGACTTTCACCATCGGCCCATAACACTCCTTTTCCGAGCTGTCAGTCGCATAAGCCCACTGTTACACTGTAGCTGTACAAGAAGGTAAAATGACATACCGTTGTTCGAACGGCGTTCTTGTTGAACGGAATTTGGTTATACAACCATGTGTCTCTTGCAAAGAAATGAGAGATTGCTTTCGGGTCCCATAGTATAACCTTGGACTGTCCAAAGACACCCGGGACCTTGTACACTGGACCGTACTCCCTGGCCCAACGTTCGTACAGTTCCGTTGTAAGGGTGGAATCTAGCACTGTCTTGGCGAAGCCAAACACCCAGCCTGGGCTCTGAGGTCCTCGTATGCGTGTCGTTCGTTGTTTTCGCCGATATACTTGCAGGAGATAGAGGGACGCCAGTACCAAAACCGAGATACATGTCGCTGAGCCTGGCAGGGGCGAGACGATGCAAATGTCCTTGAAGGCATGCCAAACGTCCCTGCCCCAGTGCTTGCTTTGCAACAAACTCATGGTGATGGTTGTTAACAAGATCGATCAGTACCCACTCTTAAATGTGAATGCTAGCCACAGCCTACCGTGACAGGGCAGCAAAAAGGCAGGTGAGATGCCCGAGGATAATGCCCGCTGACATGCCGGCCGCCTCTACATCAAAGCCCATCAGTGAAGTTGGCAACAGCCAGCGCCTGGGGAGCTTATATCTCATGTATAGTACTACTTGCTGGCAACCTGCAGACTGCAGTGCAGTCCAAACATGATTAATGCACGATTTCTATCAAACGAGAGAGATGGGGACAACTTTGAATTGCCAGCGGGTCAACAGCTGTCAACAGTTCGCCGATATATCCGACCCGGTTGAACTGACCTAGTTTCACAGGGTTCAATCGCGACATATGGCTGACGGCTGACCTCCATGAAGCTATCTGAAAGACTGGCGACCGTTGCTCGATTCCGAGTCTGTCATCTTGTATGCTAGTGACTCGGATGTGAGTGCTTCACGCAGCGGGACAATTTGCAGGTACTAGAACTGCGAGGAGTAAATTTTTGTTGGGGTGCCACCATGGGTCCTGGGAAGGAGGTATCAACGTTGATGTTTTCACTGTACAAGACGGCAAGACAATTGCATGCAGGAAGGACATAAAAATGATGACCAAATATCTTAGACTCAGCATTGTGAGGCGGGTATGAAGGTCGACAGTTCAATGTAATCAAGTCAAGCGGCAGCGGCAGCACAACGATCTCAAGTGTCTATGCAAGGATGACCAACACAAAACAGAAGGTGCACTGTTTGCTCAGTACCTATTTCCATACGATATGCCATTTTGCACCACCCTCCGACTTCTAATTCTGGAGCGAAGTAACCAAGTGCCTTCCTTTCGGTATCGCTAAAGGCTGAGCGCTCGAGCGCTGATACGCCTGTTGGAATAACATCCGAGTCGATATCACGATTACTTACGTTTGTTCCCAATATCAAACCCTGTGCCTCATTGTGCAGGAAGTGCTCCTACCGATTAGCGTAAGAAGCTATAATTCATCGTAGAATAGATGCGGTACGTTGATTGTGAAGTGTATAGATAAATGTACCACTGGTGGAATTTGTTCGGCCAGTAATATCTTCCTCTGCGCAGGACCTCTTACCACAAGTTGACCTGAGGAACACGTTTGGGGCACTTTATTGGGGTCACCCTTTCAGCAGTGCTTGTAAATTATTTCCTCTACCGACTCTTCCGTTGATACAATCGGTCTTCAGATCCAGCTATTGGACTCTGGAGGTTGTTGATTCGCGGATGGCTTTGAAACCCCTTCATCGACTTTTTGGCACACGTAACTTTTTTCCTCTTCATTGTAGGCTAACCAAATGTCGACAGTACATCGGGTATTATACGGTAGTAATATGATCAAGTTTGATGAATAAAAAGTGTCTATTGGCTTGTACCTCCGGGGTGTGTGTACGAATACATAAAATTGAGTACTCGACTGACGGCAAACAGTCTGAGCACAAAACTGCCGAATACGATCTCCATTAATATTAGTGTCTTGGAGAGCAAACATTAGTGGGATCCCTCGCAACTTTTACTTGTGCTTGCAGTGCAGAGGAGTGTTCTCTTCGTAGTCGTGAATTCGTTAGACTTCTTTCAGGACACTGCCATCATGGTATTTATGCATCTAAGGAGATACGAGTCTGTATGCACTATCGTGCAACCATCGTGGGACTTTACATCATACAAAGTGACTTATATAGCACCTATGCTGGAAATTCATTCATGCTTGTACGTTACAATCTGAGACATGCCTCTACCGTCATGCATCAGCGCTCAGCATCAGAAGTCACGATTCTCTCACAGAACAAATGGCAGTGCAGTTACTCTGGGGTATATAGTGTGGTGAACCTACTGCTGGTAGACTCGTCACGGTTCAGTCAGCGACAATGTCTTCCTTGGCGCAGGATCCTATTCCGCAACTTGATCTGGGCAACACGTTTGGGGCGCTTTTTATTGGGGTTATCCTCGCAGCAGTGTTAGTAAACTATTTGCTCATTATGCAGTCAAAAGCTGAGCGCTTCATGTGAACTGCCGTCGTAACATATCCAATGAACAGTCTCTTTGGTCTAACCAACGTTCAAGCTTTCATCTACTTGCAGGCGCATACAAGCGCGGGGATAACATTTTTCAAGCTGGTTGTACGTCCATGCTGCCTTGTTATTGGTTCTGGTATTGATGTCACGTTCTGGCAGGTTACCTGGCTTTGGTATGTGTCCTTTCGAGTTGCAATTATCGATCGCGTAGAGATTTTCCCCAAAAACTTTTAGGATATTTGATGCTCTGCACCTGGCCTTGACAATCCATTGCGTCTATTACTATCTGGTAACCAACTATGCGAACTTTGGTGTGCTCGCGGAAATCGTATGGAGTCTCAAAGTGAGTTTTTATATTGGCTCTCTGTGCAGCCTCTAATGGGTCGGGACAGCTTCAGTTAGTAATCAACGTAAGTTGTGTTTCCTGTTCTCTGTGATCCGCCCACAACACGCATTGCACAGATTTTCATTATTCCTACGGTACATCTGTAAGTTCAATAACTGTTACTGCAACATTCAAGTCACGTTTTGGTCGATAGTTTGTATGTCCATCGCATATGGAAAGGTGGTTATCCCCCTACTATCGTGAATTTGCTACATCTACTAAATGAAACTAGTAAGCAAGGGCCGATCAAGAGCTCTCCCGGCCATAGCATTGGTGGGTTTGCCATCGGGATTCCATCGCATTTCATTCTGTTGATTCACTGTCAGACCATAGTCGTGGTCCTAAGTTCAGGCGAGTCTGTTGCCTGCAAATGTTCTTCATACGATCTTGAACCTCTCCTCAGGTGTCGCCATCCGTGAGATTTCAATGGTTTTCTTGTTATTGGCTCATCATTTGACCTATTGATAGCCCTTGTGTGGGCGCAGTGAGTCGAGCGGCTCCTTAACTTCAGGAAATGCTGATAGTGAGTAGATATAGGGTCAATTTGTTCAAAGATTTGGTTGGAATCGAGTGGTCAACATACCTGTCCTTGGGGGCGGCTACTTTTGTTGATTTTGTCATCGCATCATCGCTATGCTATCTCCTCGCCACTTCGCGTACTGGGTTCTCTAGGTACGGAACAGTTCGTTCCCTATCGGCCTGATATACTAACGCAGATTACTCAGGACCGATTCATTCATAACAAAGCTCGTGGGCTATACCATCAGTACTGGCTGTCTGACAAGGTATCCCTCCTTCCAGCCTACCTCATGGTACCTTGACTAATATTTCGACAGTATATGTTCTATGTCAATCATAATCACAGTGAGGTTATATTCATTGTATTGTCTACAACCGAGGTCTCTGAGGGTTGCCTGCAGTGTGCTGTGATGCCGACAACCTTCATCTTCATCGGTCTGCAATTTCTAGTGACTAAATGTATGACCAACAATTCATTCTCTCACGATCGTGCTGACAGCGGTATATACCATTTCAAGTATATGTCAACTCGTTTATTGCATTCCTGAACGCGCGATACTACATGCAGGCCAACGCGATTGTCGATTCTCACCAATTGTATGAACGCCACGGTGCCTACCACCCGGAACTCCCCATTAGTGCGTCGCAAGACGAAGAGTTTCAGAAATCCCAGAAGGGCCCTAAGGATGAAGTGCTGCATATCACGCAACCTGCTATGGTTGGTGATTGTGTCATCGTTGATAGAGGAGGGCTAATTTACACACCCCTAGCCATAGTCGCCGACAGTGGAAATGAAGTCTTTCTCGTTATTGGTAGGCATGGATTATTAACTGCGTGCCTAATTGAGAGAACACTCGCAAACATCTGAGTTCGTAATAAATCATCATTCGGATCCTAACAGTATTTGCGGGAAGTAAGTCGTTCTGTTCTCTTGTAGGTGTATGACTAGATTCGATTTCACACCAGGTTCTGAAATGAACAAGCACAGGCTCCCTTCTAACCATGATGGAATTCGAAATATGTAATTTGTAAGCCAGCTGCAGGGTCGTCGGACTTTAGAAATGACGACGTCCTTTTGACGTCCTTGACAATTGTATTGATACATCATCATGCGCCACTAGATCCAATTGAAATTTTCTACCCGTTTAGAACAACTCGCGGGGAAAACGTGAGTGCCAGGACGAGCGAACCCGAGGAGGCTGGCAAGGTTTTGTTCGCGAGGCATGATGGTGCAAGGTTCAAACTTCAAACTTACGGTTTTGAAAGGATGGTGGAAGGATGAGATCTGTCCATGATGACTCAAGTACCGACTCATTCGCCGAGGGCTTCATTCTGTATGCAGTACATGGATTAGAAATGTATTGGTGCACCGTCCTTATAGATGGCAGTGCCGCGCTGACAAGTACTGCCGCTAGGTGCCTCATTCATCATGACCTCACAGTACAGGATGCATTCCCACCATCAATCCATCGAAGAGCAAATGACAATGCCGCCTTATCGCATTCTGGATCATATATAACAGAATGGCAAATCCACATCACTGCCAACAGAGTTAACACAGCCCACGATGTCTTCCTCGATGCAGGATCTCCTCTCACAAGTTGATATCGGAAACACGTTTGGGGCATTTTTTATTGGGGCCGCCCTTGCAGCGATGTTAGTAGACTTGGCAGGCTACTGTTTCTGACTAATTACATAACTCGCGAGACAGCTTCTTTGGTCTAACCAACGTTCAAGCTTTTATCTACCTTCAAACGCATAGGGGGACAGATATAACACCGTATAAGCTGGTCGTACGTCTATACTGTCTTTGTCAATTCAGTGATTCAATGGCTCTGTATCAGGTGTTCTGGCTTTGGTAGGTATTCCTTCGAGTTATAATTCCCGAGGACGTCGATTTTATAGTACTACCTCGATCTTGCAGGATACTTGATGCTCTACACCTGGCATTACTTGTCCATTGCACCTACCATTATCTAGTGACCAACTACGACAACTTCGGTGCGCTCACGGAAATTGTGTGGAGTTTCAAAGTGAGTTTCTAGTTTAGCCTTTTCCACATCCTCTATCAGTATTAATGGGCTTGTAGCTTCAAGTGTTGGTCAATGTATGTTGTATCTACTACGCTCTGTGATCCACATCTGACACATTCCACAGGTTCTCATCATTCCGATAGTACATCTGTGAGTTCGATTTGCACCATTACGTGCAAAAGTCTGATTTTGACCATAGTTCGTACGTTCATCGCATATGGATATGTAATTGTTTTCCATTATGAATTTGCGCATCACCTAATATGATCAACCTAGTGAGCAAGGGCCGAACAAGAGTACTCCCGGCTATAGCATTCGTGGGTTTGCAAATTTGATGTGATGTTTCATTCTGTTGATCCACTACCAGGGCATACTTGTGGTCCTATGTTCAGGTGAACCGTCACCTGGAAATGTTCTTCACTTGATCTTGAACCAATTTCCTCAGGTGTCGCTATTCGTGAGATCCTAAAATTTTAATGGCATTATCATTATTGGCTCATCATTAAACCCTATCATAGCTGTTGTCTGGGCCATGTGAGTGAGATGGCTCCATTACTTCTCGCATACACTGAGAAAACGAGTAGGTATAAGTGTCATTCGTTCGGGGATTTGATTAGAATCGAGTTCTGGACATATGGGGTTGTGGGCTCGGCTGCCTTTGTGGATATCGTTATTGCATCATCACTATGTTATCTCCTCGTTACTTCTCGTACTGGATTTTCAAGGTAAGGAGCAATTGGAGCAGTCTGCGTCTGATATGCTAATTGCGATTGCTTAGTACCGATTCATTCTTAGCGAAGCTTGTGGGTTATACCATCAGTACAGGCTCTCTAACGAGGTATTCGATTCTCCAGCTACCCAATAGTACCTTGACTTACATTTTTGCAGCGTATGTTTAATTATGGTTATCATTACAGTGAGGTCCCGCCTGTTGTACCATCAAATGTCTCTGACGCTCTCCAACAGTGTGCAGTGCTACCAAAGACCTTTATCTTTCTCGCCGTTGATTTTCTAGCGGCTAAATGTATGAACAGTGTATCCTCCGAGGATCGTGCTAATGAGGGGTACCGTTTCAAGTATATGTGAACTCCTTCTTCGCACTCCTGAACGCCCGATACTATGTGCAGGACAACGTAGATGTTGTCGATTCTTCTGAGTTCCATATGCGCCATGGCACCTATCGCCCGGAGCTGCGCATTGGCAGTTCGCAAGACCTGGAACTACAGGCATCCCGGAAGGACTTCAACGATGACGTGCTGCATATCACACACCCTATTCAGGATGTCGCGGTTAGTAGTTGGGGTATTGTTGATGGAAGAGGGTTAAATGACATGCTTAAATCACAGGCACCAGCAGCATCGTCGATGGAGATGCAGTCTTTCTCGCTAGCGTGATGGATTGATATGTATATATTGTTATTTCCTTGTGAGATAGCGCTCACAAAATCAATTGTGAGTTCTTGGTTACTTATTATCATGCTGTCCATATCATTTAAGGGGACCAGAACTCGCTCCACTACATCTTACGTCATTACATGCCCGGTTGCACTAGACAAGAGGGCCATCCATTGACAACACTGGACCATTGTATGTGAAACAGAGGATCTGCGTCTGGCACCGTTTACCGAGCACTTATGCTCAAATATGAAACGAGGCTGTCAAGCTTTTTGCACCCGAGGCGCGATGGTCCTCGGTCCTCGGTGTGGTGTTTTCTTCCACTGCGGACACTGCATCACTGCATAAGATGTGCTCCCACCACGAGTCAGCATCACGAGGTACCCATCATGGAAGATGATCACAGAGCAATGACAATGCACGTCCTTCGTTGCGGGACTCATAATACACTTCAGCGGGTTCAATTGTGCTACAGAGCGCTACAGAGCATTCTGTAGCGCTCTGTAACGAATTACGTTTTCCTGATGCATAGTACGGTGAATCCACTTCGTCACTGACAAAAATGGCTCAGGTAGCGATGTCTTCAACGCAGGACATCATCCCACAAGTTGACCTGGGGAACGCATTCAGCACACTTTTTATCGGTGTTGTCCTTGAAGCAATGTTAGTCTTAATCGCGAAATGGGTTTACGACGTGTACGAGCTGTCGTACGTGCCGCTACTTGTCATTTGATTGAGAATATCAACACATCATACTCGGCGGCGTGGTGCTCAAGCGCTTTATAGCGTACATCGTCCATTTGACCTTTATCTTGTGTCGACAGGCAGGACTTCTCGTAGGGTTATCAACCTGACGGTTATAATCGGATTCAGGGGTACGATAGGAAATTGACGCTTCTGGAACGCGTGGACCGCGATACCGTGGACAAAATCATCGAGCTGATGGAATTATACTGCGGTAATGTCCGCTGTTCGGGCACAGATTCCGACTGTCGATTCGCCTTGGTGAGATGTGTCTACAAGGTGTGGTTTTACCATGTTAGCGGGTGTTGTGAGATTGCAGCTTTGTTAAGGAGCGCTGAGCTTCCTCGTGACTCAGTACCCTAGTCTCATCCCCATCGACTTAATGGTGCGTGCGGATCTGTCTGTCTGGATCTCTTATCTGCAGTCGTGGCCATGTTTTAGCTTGAATGATGCAACAGAAAACTTACAAAGTGGTCGATAGTGGCCAGCTAGGTGGGTTGCAGATGCTTTAATTCAATGTTTTTGATCGATCTTCTTCTGCAGCCACGTTGTACTCTTCTCTACTTCGATTCTTGCCATCATGCACATGGATGCCCCTTAGATGTTCATCATTGAATTTCGGAGATTTCATAGGATAATGCAGTCATTCGCCCGCGGAATGGTCTTCACATAATGCAACGCCGTATCATCGCGATGAATAGCCCTCGGTTTCGCGGACTTTCGAGAAGCCCGGTACGTACCCTCCAGTTTCTGGTTTGGTCGATAAGACATATATATATGTACTCTCTCACTCAGTTAATCATCTAAGTACTAATTGCTGGACCAAATGGATGATCTTCAGTATTCTCTTGACCTTTTCAAACACTTAGGGCATCGCTCAGTTTTACCTTTGGTTTCGCACCCTATTTCTACGACACGCCAAGCTGCAGCGACTGGCGACCTTCCTGATCTGAATAACGTCCAAGGCGATGTTATATATCTCTTTCCTAAAGTAAACGACCAGTTCAATTAGCTCTTTTTTCAAGCATCCTCAAACATGTCCGCTGACAATTTATTCTAACAGAAAGCCGAGAACTTCGTATTCTTCAGGATCAACAGCGTAGTATCGTTCAGAACTGCTCTGCAATCCTTCAAGCCAACGACTGCGGAAGACGTGAAAGACAATCTTATCTCGATCGCTGTGGCAAAGGCAAACGCTCATGAACCAAGCAGTGTCCCGACAGTCGATATCGCGCAATACCAGATTTCATTCAGCCGTGCCGGCCTGTATTTCCTTGGCGTGAACGAGGACACTGGAGATGTTCGCTTCGACAAGCGCTGCATGAATGACGACAAGGAACTCATTGGCGACACAAAACAATGGGACCCTATGTTTGTCAAAGCAAAATCTGACCCGGTGAACGGATCAGTGCGTGACGATACTGGAGCTCTGCATGGTGTCATTACTGTCGCCGGAAGCAGTGAGTATTTGTTATTTTGAAGGAACTGGTCTTCTTGACGCACATTCAAGGCGCCGAGACTTGCACCAAAGCTTCAAACGAGGTCATAGACCTATTTGGCTCATCGATAACGGTTTGCCGGCGGCAAGCCAGTGGAAGGAAGGGCTCGACCACCCCCTTACAAAGGGCATGAGCATTTCGGCTTTCGAGATGGGATCTCCCAACCTTGTCTACGGTGAGTATTTCCCGGACATCGCGTTTGTGCAGTAGGACTTCTACATTCCCTCAGGGGTCTTGTTATTCCTCGTGCTGGCCAGCTTCAAGTTGATCCTGGAGTGATTATAATGGGATATCCAGGAGATCCTGTACGGGACGATCCGACTACCAAGGTGAAACGTCCGGCCTGGACCAAGGATGGGACGATTTCGGTGTTCAGGAAGCTCGAGCAATCCGTCATCTCTTTCGAGAATCATGTGCAGAGGAATGGGCCTCGTTGGCGCGAGTTCATTCCAGGAGGCGATATATCTCCTCCACTCAACAACAAGAAGCTGAAGATCTCTTCGGGGCACGGTTTATTGGGAGGTGGAAATCGGTGCGATTCGACGATGCAATTTACACTGATGCATCGAACTCATTGAATACGTGCTTGTGACAGGGCGCACCCCTTGCTAAATGCCCCTTCCGCGACAATCCAAGGTGGCGCTTGACCCAGACCTCAACAATGACTTTGACTACGTCGTTCGCGATAAACCGAATATATCACAATATGAACCTAGTGATTACTACTGCCCATTCACTTCACACACACGCAAGATCGCGCCACGTAATTTGTATCCTTACATCGACGCTAAATTCCTCGGATCGGGTTCGATAGTACGTGCAGGGCTCCCGTATGGTGATGAGGTGAGAAAATTCACAGACATTGTGCATCATTGCTCCGCCTGATTTGTGCTGTCTCCTGCCTTCAGGTTACTGATCAAGAACGACGCGATGTAGCAAGAGGAAACCCTGAGTTACCTCGCGGGCTTCTGTTCAATTGCTATATGTCCAGCTTGGACTCAGGATTCGTTCGTCATATGATTGGATACGCGAGAAATGATTACTGGCCCATGACATCCCTAGTGCCACAGAAGAAGGGTAACTAATTCAAAGAAGTTCTTTACTTGTATGTCACTAACCAATAGATTCTGATTCGATTAGGTCAGGACCCTGTCATTGGTAGCCCGCCAGTATATACACCTGCTCAGCTCGAAGGCCCATCTCCCTTAGTAAATTCCGGGGATAAAGTCGACCTACAACTCGCCGGTGCGGATGGTGCAACGTTCGAGGTGTGCGGATTCGCTAAGGTTACCCCTGAGGGTGTGATTCCACCACCCGGTGAACCGAACCCCTTCTTCATTGCTGCGAGGGGAGGAGAATACTTTTTTGTTCCTTCTGTCTCGACCTTGAAAAGTTGGGCTAGTGCAACCACTACTACTACAACTGAAGTTTGCACACTGGCGAAGGAGCAGAAAGCAACGGTCGATGATACCAGCAAGGATTTATATGGCCGTTTGTCATCCTCTACTCAGGTTAATACCTTCGATGTCGAGGACATATACGTCACGAATGAGCAGTGTGACAAGAACGTTCAAATCCGTCTCAACGCAGAACAGATGGACGACAACACGATATCCCAGATCAAAGAGGTCAGTCTTCCGATTTCCGTTGGCCTGCTAGACATGACGGCTGGTGCAGGTTATTGGTTTCCATCTCAAACACGAGTACTGCCAGGGTGAGACACCGGCAATGAGTTCAAAGATACAGCCTGTTATCCTCAACCAGGTATGTGATTTTTCTTACTCTCTGGTGCCCAAGTGACGTGGTATGTTCTGTGACAGGTTAAAGTAGGTTGAAAGAGTAGTGAGGATGTGTTTGGCGAGGGCGACGTGAACCTTCTGTTCACGAGTAAATGTTAATACAATATTTGTCTCTCTTGTAACACCGTCTGGTTTTCAATGTCTTAAGTGTCAAAACAGCGATACGGCTGGCGACGTAGTAACTACATATTACACTTAAGAAAACAACGCCTTGCCTCCTGACCGCTCCTTCCGAGATAATATGGTGACTGCTGGAAGTACCAGCACACATCGTTATACTCCCATTAATACACATCACTGATCGCTTTATATGCATGAGCTCACCAAACTTAACGTACATCCAATGTACGGTCTCCTGCGGAGCCATAAACCGAACCATGGTCACGACCCATTCGATCATTTCCCGCCTCTCGCAGCTCATATGTGTATCCACATCCCTCTTCTCCACCAAGTTCTACCACACCCCTCCTCCACCATTCATTCACTCATCATTCTCTCCCGATGTCAGCCTCGTGTGCTGATCGTCCCGGCCGTGTTTCGTGCTACAAAAAGGCTGTTAGTCCAACGCGTTGTTGCCTTCCAGATGATTCCCACGTGTCAGACCGCAGTGAACTCTTCACGATATGATTCACCCATATATCTTCTCTGAAGAGAGACCAGCGCGGCATCCTGAGCATATTACCTAGTATCTGCGACATTGTTTCTGTCATGAAACGTAGATGATTGCGATTATGAGTTACTTACCTCCCGATGCATATGGTCTATGTTGAGAATACCTTGCCCGCCCTGCGCTACTATTTTGCTTATGAATGGGCGTGTCACCATCTAGAATCCAAGATCGACGAGTGATAGACTTGTATGCGAACAAAATATCCGGCTTTCCATTCTTCTGCGAAATCCTGCAAGCCTGATGCGAATGCAATTGGACTAAGAGAATTTTAGTCGAACGTAAGGATATGCTACCTGCGAGAAGCAATCCCTTACTGAAGATGGATACCTGGCGAGTGACTGTACTGTGCCATTCCAGGACGGCAAATAAGCTGGCGTCAATTCGCGGAGGTCAAGTTCTTCGGTATTCGTCGTGGTCGAACTCGCTGGTGTTTTTCAAGGGATGGCAAGCTTGAGCTATGACGGGAGTGGGATGGTGTTATCAGTAGGTGTGTGGTCACATGGGAGTATCAAGTGTTATCCTTCAGATCTCTATTCTGAGATACACGTGAACTTCACTTGATGGCTGACTCTGCGATCACTACAGTGCGAGCGCGAGTCATCGAAGACACGCCAATTGAATTGACGTTGCCCGTGTCAGGATACGTAGGGATCAGATGTCATTCATCCGAGAAAAAATTTGCGCTACTAAATAGTTGCTCAGATATATCTGAGCTTTCATTTAGCAAGACAGACGAGATGGCACAAGCAAAATACGTACACGATATTGAATTTAGTGTCGCACACCTGTACAGGGTCTCTCCTTCGTAAGTACTACTCAGTAGCTTCACACATGCTCTGGCATAGGGCCGCCAGCCCGCCACAGGCCCATGTATACCATCCACACGTAGCAGCAAGGGAGGAAAAAACGTTATCGGCGATGAGCATCAGGAAATGTAGAGGTACCAAAAACTGAACTCAGGCAAGTTTGAGGAGTCGTCAAAGAGCCACGCATAGAATTTGATCATGCCAAAGGCAAATTTATCCGGCTTCTCCCGAAGGACTGAACAGGGGAAAGCGTGTAGCAAGATGCAGGAGAAAGTGCAATTATCACACGACTCTAAAATCGAATGTGTGAGCGCATAGCATCAAAATCGAAGAATTGGGTATCACATACCAGGGGGTGTCAGTGTTATCCCATGCCAAAGCTTGTAAGCTGTGAAAATACTAGGGACTGACCTTGGCCTATACACGATGCACCTCCAAGGGCACTTTACTCACTGAGGACCCTGTGTACCGAGACCCACAAAGGTAAATCAAAGGTCGTACTTACATCTGACAAAGTATGAGCTTTGTGATCATATATCATTCATGTAGTTGATACAGGGACGGGGACGGGGACGGGGACGGGAAGTAAACCGAGTAATGTAGTGGCCACACAATAAGATTGACCTTATGGCGCATACGATGAGCATTAAGATGAACATCGAAATATAAAAAGATACAGATATCTGTGGAATTTAGAAGCCGCACTGATAACTGGCTGCTTCCGTGCTCTCCGGTGATAAGCTGCCCTGCGTGTAAGCAGTTGAATCAGAATTCGGCGGATGACGGGAAAGAAGGTAGTCCTCGCTATATAACCAGCCCTCATCAGTTTAGGGAGCATCTGCTGCAGTGTCGCGCTACAGATGGATGCATTAAACCGGAATACAGTATGAAAAAATCGACCAAACGCACTTCTTTACCATGGGCGAAAGGGACATTGACAATAGGCGATAACGTAAGACCTACACGAATGGGCCATAGGCGGCGTGTGCGGGTTTTGAAGGCAGCAGATGATGATTAGGCGGTGGGCGGTCGAGACTGAAAAAATCTAAGTTGAAAGTGCGATGACGGCAGTCGACACTTACGTTCTGGTGGGGTTGCATATCTGGTGCCCGAATTACAGCATGCACCGAGGGAGAGTGATTGAGAAGTAGGGGTGACATAGCAGGGAACTTGAAGGGAACTGTCAGGTCGATACCAAAGAAACCATGACGGGTAGATCAACGTACATCCCGGGATCACGAGGCTGATCGTTCCGAACAGGAGCAGCTGCGTTTGTGCGAGAGGAGGAGGGAATGAGTCTGCGAATGTGACATAGAAGATGGGACTTTACATCATACAAACTTATATATATATATAACATCTTCGCTTGTGTAAACTTGGAAATTAATTTATACAAGGACTCGCTTTCGGTCTTTTACTATAGGTATGGTTGTTGATATTGAATGCGTCATAGCGCCATAAATTCTTTTTATCAATCTGATACGTTTTAAAGACCGACGACGCCGTGAAATGAAGCAGAGGTCGCCATGGTGCTGAGCAAAGAGCTGCAAAAAGGAGACGGAGCATGGATGCGTAACAACACAGCATGTCGCAGCAGACGGAAAGAGCTATCGGAAAGAGGGACAGAACGCAACAACACAGTATGACGCGGTGGACGCCATCGCCGGCGGCATCTCGTGCTTATATATGTTGTAGATGCTTATACGTTTTATAATAGACATGCCTCTACCATCATCCATCATCCATCATCGATTCATCCATCAGCACTCAGCACGATTCTCTCACAGAAAAATATGGCAGTGGAGTTAGAGTACTCTGGGGTATATATATAGTGCGGTGAACCTACTGCTGGTAGACTCGTCACAGTGACGAGTGGTTCAGTCAGCGACAACTTGAATGTCTTCCTTGGCGCAGGATCCTATTCCACAACTTGGTCTGGGAAACACGTTTGGCGCCCTTTTTATTGGGGTTATCCTCGCAGCAGTGTTAGTAAACTATTTGCTCATTATGCAGTCAAAAGCTGAGCGCTTCATGTGACCTGTCGTCTTAACATATCCCATGAAACAGTCTCTTTGGTCTAACCAATGTTCAAGCTTTCATCTACTTGCAGGCGCATACAAAGCGCGGGGATAACATTTTTCAAGCTGGTTGTACGTCCATGCTGCCTTATTGTCGGTCCTGGTCTTGATGTCACGTTCTGGCAGGTTACCTGGCTTTGGTAGGTGTCCTTTCGAGTTGCAATTATTGATCGCGTAGAGATTTTCTCCCAAACTTTTAGGGTATTTGATGCTCTGCACCTGGCCTTGACAATCCATTGCGTCTATTACTATCTGGTAACCAACTATGCGAACTTTGGTGTGCTCGCGGAAATCGTATGGAGTCTCAAAGTGAGTTTTTATATTGGCTCTCTGTGCAGCCTCTAATGGGTCGGGACAGCTTCAGTTAGTAATCAACGTAAGTTGTGTTTCCTGTTCTCTGTGATCCACCCACAACACGCACTGCACAGATTTTCATCATTCCTACGATACATTTGTAAGTTCAATAACTGTTACTGCAACATTCAAGTCACGTTTTGGTCGATAGTTTGTATGTTCATCGCATATGGAAAGGTGATTATCGCCCTACTATCGTGAATTTGCTACATCTACTGAATGAAACTAGTAAGCAAGGGCCGATCAAGAGCTCTCCCGGTCATAGCATTGGTGGGTTTGCCATCGGGATTCCATCGCATTTCATTCTGTTGATTCACTGTCAGACCATAGTCGTGGTCCTAAGTGCAGGCGAGTCTGTTGCCTGCAAATGTTCTTCATACGATCTTGAACCTCTCCTCAGGTGTCGCCATCCGTGAGATTTCAATGGTTTTCTTATTATTGGCTCATCGTTTGACTTATTGATAGCCCTTGTGTGGGCACAGTGAGTCGAGCAGCTCCTTAACTTCAGGAAATGCTGATAGTGAGTAGATATAAGGTCAAGTTGTTCAAAGATTTGGTTGGAATCGAGTGGTCGACATACATGTCCTTAGGAGCGACTACTTTTGTTGATTTTGTCATCGCATCATCGCTATGCTATCTCCTCGCCACTTCGCGTACTGGGTTCTCTAGGTATTGACCAGTTTGTTCCCTATCGGCCTGATATACTAACGCAGATTACTCAGGACCGATTCGTTCATAACGAAGCTCGTGGGCTATACCATCAGTACTGGCTGTCTGACAAGGTATCCCTCCTTCCAGCCTACTTCATGGTACTTTGACTCATACTTCGACAGTATATGTTCGATGTCAATCATAATCACAGTGAGATTATATCCATTGTATTGTCTACATCCGACTGAGGGTTGCCTGCAGTGTGCTGTGATGCCGACAACCTTCATCTTCATCGGTCTCCAATTTTTAGTGACTAAATGTATGACCAACAATTCATTCTCTCATGATCGTGCTGACCAGCGGTATATACCATTTCAAGTATATGTCAACTCGTTTATCGCATTCCTGAACGCGCGATACTACATACAGGCCAACGCGATTGTCGATTCTCACCAATTGTATGAACGCCACGGCGTCTACCACCCAGAACTCCACATTAGTGCGTCGCAAGACGAAGAGTTTCAGAAGTCCCAGAAGGACCCTGAGGGTGAAATGTTGCATATCACGCAACCTATCCAGGCTGCCATGGTGGGTGATTGTGTCATTGTTGATAGAGGAGGGCTAATTTACACACCTTTAGCCATAGTCGCCGATAGTGGAAATGAAGTCTTTCTTGTTATTGGTAGGCATGGATTATTAACTGCGTGTCTAATCGAGAGAACGCCTGCCAAAAAACGGAGTTTATAATAAATTATCATTCGGATCCTAACAATATTTGCGGGAAGTAAGTCGTTTTGTTCTCTTGTAAATAGATGTCCAGGTTCGATTTCACACCAGGTTCTGAAATGAACAATCACAGGCTCCCTTCTAACCATGACTCTTGTGATGGGATTCAAAATTTGTAATTTGGTGACGCCAGCTGCAGGGTCGTCGGACTTTAGAAATGACGACGTCTTTTGACGCCTTGGGACAATTGTATTGATACATCGCCTTGATCGTCACTGGATCCAATTACAATTCTCTACCACTCCCGTTTAGAACAACTCGCGGTTAAAACAGGGTGCCGGGACGAGCGAGGAGGCTGGCATGAAGCTTTTGTTCGCGAAGCGTGATAGTGCAAGGTTCAAAGATGGCAGTGCTGACACTGCCGCTGTGCCTCATGCATCGTGACCTCACAGTACAGGATGCACTCCCACCATCATCATTCCAGGTTACTCAAAAATGTCGATACACCTACTATCTCGTTCTGGTTCATATAGAACAGAATGGCAAATCTACATAACTGCCCACAGAGTCGGCGCAGCTAGTAATGTCTTCAATTCGCCCTTGCAGCGATGTTAGTACAGGCTACTTTTTGCATTCGACAAAGCCACTTCCCCACTAATGTGGGAGTCGGGATTACGTTGTTCCCGATGTCAAACCCTGTGTCTCACTGTGCAGGAAGTACTCCCACCATCAGTGTAAGAAGCTATAATCCACCATAGAACTGATAGTAATGCAATACATTGATTGTGAGGTATATAGATAAATATACCACTGGTGAAATTTGTTCGGCTAGCAATGTCTTCTTCCCCTGCGCAGGACCTCTTGCCACAAGCTGACCTAGCAAACACGTTCGGGGCACTTTTTATTGGGGTCACCCTTTCAGCAATGTTCGTAAATTATTTTCTCATCGCACAATCAATGCTGAACACTTGTCATCGTATTATATCTCACAAATAGTCTCTTTGGTCTGACCAATGTTCAAATCTTCATCTACTTCCAGACACACAGAGATACGGGGATGTCGATTTTTAAGCTGATTGTACGTATATCATACCGTCCCATTTCTCAGTTCAGTCATTGACGCTGCGACAGGTTATCTGGCTTTGGTAGGTGTTCCTTCAATTACAATTGCTGAACACAGCAATCTTACACTGTACCCCGATCTTTTAGGATACTTGATGGTGTACACCTGGCACTGATTGTACATTGCGTCTATTATTATTTAGTGACCAACTACGCGAACTTCAGTGCACTCACAGAAATCGTGTGGAGTTTGAGAGTGAGTTTCCTACTTTGACCTTCTATGCAGCCGGTAACACGTATTATATTGATGGTCTTGTGCAGGTTCAGCTAATACTCGATGTAAGTCGTTTCTCCTGAACTTTGAGATTTGCACCAGACACGCATTTAACAGGTTCTCATTGTTTGTACGGTACATTTGTAAGTTCGATGTGCAATGTTACATGCAACATTCTAATTGGTGCTGTCTCGGTCCATAGTTCGTATGTCTATCGCATATGGATAGGTATGTTAATATTCGTAGTGATGATTTGTTCCTACTAATATGACGAATTTAGTCAGCAAGGGCCGATCAAGAGTTCTCCCAATTATAACAATGGTAGGTTTGCAGTCGGTGCTCAATGGTATACCGTTTTGTTGACACGGTGTCAGTGCATAGTCGTAGTCCTATCAGAAGGTGAGTCTGTCACTGGAAATGCTCTTCACTCGATCTTAAAAATCTATCCAGCTGTCTCCATTCGTAAGACTTCAGTGTGCTACCTTTGTTATTTACTCATCACTCAATGTAATGACAGCTGTCGTTTTGGCGCAGTGAGTCAGACAGCTCCCTGACTTACGCGAAATTGCTGATAGCCGGTAGATATCGGGTCCGCGTGTTCCAGGACGTTGTTGCAACCGAGTGGGCAACATACCTGACTTTGGGCTCGATCACTTTTGATGATATCCTTATTGCGTCATCGTTATGCTATCTCCTCGCTACTTCCCATACTGGATTCTCTAGGTAAGGAGTGCTTCGTTTGCTGTCGTGATATGATATACTAACGCGGTCATTTAGTACCGATTCTCTTATAACAAAGCTCGTGGGTTATATCATTAGTACAGGCTGTCTGACGAGGTATCCCCCTCTCCAACACACCCCATACTTCGACTAATATGTCTGCAGTGTATGTTCAATGATAGCTCTAATCACTGTGAGGTTCCTTTTCTTGCACTGTCCATGATTGACGTCTCAGACAGCCACCTATAGTGCGCGGTGATGCCGAAGAACTTCATCTTTCTCAGCATTGGATTCTTAGTGACCAAACGTAAGATCAACACATTCTCTCAGGATCGTGCTGACTAACGGTACGGTTTCAAGTATACGTGAACTCGTTCTTGGCACTTATGAACGCAAGATACTACCTGCAGGCCGACACAGGCAGTGTGGGTTCTTCCGAATTTCGTGTCCGCCATGACGTTTACCGCCCCGAGCTACGCATTAACACGTCGCAAGACGATAAGCCTCAGACAGATGTGTCCGATGATGTGGTGTTGCATACCACTCGACCTATCCAGGCTGTCATGGTTGGTAATCGTATTATTGTTGATGCAAGAGGGCTAACGACAAAGTTTGTCCACAGTTGCCAACGATGGAAAAGGATTCTTTCTCGTTGGCGTGATAGACTACTAGTAGGCATGCATTATTATTTGCGTGTTTCCTCACGAGTAGCTCTCACAAATAACTTATGAGTTCGGACTAAATTATCACTCCCTACCCACCATATTATGGATGTACTCAAATTGCTAGCTGTGAAACATCGACATTCTGTCTGACTTGCATTTCATATGACCTGCACTATCCCAAGCCACGGCTCCTGGTCTTGTATGTTCGTCCGTACTCTTCCCCTAAGCATTCGTTTTTATAATTCAGTGGCCGCGGCGGTATCCAGCTTGGCCAAACACCCAACTTGGGCCCTGGGCCCGAGGCGGCGCCGCGGTATGCATGTCGTTCGTTGGTGATCTTTGGCGACACAATTGCAGGAGATGAAGCCTGAAGGGACACCATTATCAAAACTGAGATATCTATCGACCGCGCGACGTAGAGGTCCGTCAAATCCAACCGAAAGTGCTTCACGCATTGCTTGCTTCGAGAGAAATGAATGGTTGCGAACAGGGCTAAGTGCTACATGGGAAAGACCCTGCCACAACAGCACGGAATCGTGTTACCTACTAACTCGTCTCGTTTATGCGTCGTTTTGTTCACAATTCCTTGCCGAACTCATACCCAGCCTTACAATTTTGTCTATTATTATTTAGTGACCAACTACGCGAACTTTGGTACGCTCACAGAGATTGTACGGAACATCAAAGTGAGTTCCTAAGACATTCATTTTTCTCACTATTGAATTTTTAGTGACTCGATGTCAGAAGAATGTTCTTCGATGACTGCTGACCAATGGTACTGTCGTTCATCGCCGGGCACACCAACGCAGACATCACTGATCCTTCCGAATTTCAAGTGCGCCAAGGCGTCTACCGCCCGCACGCCCGCAGTTTCAGGCATCTCGGAAAGATTCCGATAATGAAGAGCTGCATATCATCATTGTCAAGAGCAGCCTATAGCGTCCGCCTGACCACCCAGACGTCACGACAAGTGACATATATATATCAGAGACACCTTACAGTACCTGACTCCTTTTCCCCTTTTTCATCCTACTTAAGACATCGAGCAACCGTCAACTCACCTCAGTCTCTTTACCCGTGACTGAGGTGAGTATTGTTAGTTCCCTCTCTTCGTTATATCATTGTACTCACTATATGCATTCATAGGCTCGTGTCTAGGTTCGTAGTAGTACACCAATTTAGTCTCTTTACCCGTGACTGAGGCTCGTGTCTAGTTCTCACCTTTGATAGGTTATGAGCCCTGCCTAAAGGATAGCGGCACTATCTCCCATCTCTCTTACTCGGACTGGTACTTCTCGAACGCTCGTTCACCCATCGCAGTTCCTGACTGGTTCAAACCAATATCGGAACTGTCACTCCTCATTGACCCCCTTACTATCACTATATTACCATGACGTCATCTTCGGACTCTCTCCCGAAAACTGAAAAGTACCCGCACGAGAAGCTTACCCTCGACGGCTCAAATTACTCCCAATGGGCAACTGGATTCAAGATGTGGGCTGGTGGGCTCGGGTTATGGCCCTATATCAGTGGGGATGAGAAGGAACCCTCACCTCCTGCTCCACTCACTGACCCGGACCAGAACGTCCTCCGGAAGGAGAAACACGACGAGCGCGTAAGGTTGTACAAGCAGCGTCGCTTGCTCGCCCTCAGTGCACTGTCTACTGCTATAGATGCCCAGGATTTTGTGTACCTCCGTGACACAGAGGACCCGAAGATAGGTTGGGACGCCCTGGCTGGTAAATATTTACCCCAGAAGGCTATCCGATTTAACCAATATCTTGATTGGCTCTTCACAATTCTGAAGGCACACGACAGTGCCTCGATTGCCGAGATGCTCCAGAGGCTCGTTGTGCTAAAATCTGACCTCGCAGCTCTCTCCATTAACCCTCCATCAGCTACAGCAGCAACCACCACGGCCACCCCAAGTCCGAACGAATACAAGGTTCCGGATGCCATATTTGTCCACATCCTGCTACGTGCACTCCCCGACTACTATGACCCCTTTCGTCAAACCCTCATCAACAGTAGCACGCCCCTCGACCTCAATGACATCGTCAATCGTCTGAAGACCCAGGAGCTTCATCGCACCGCGAACGGTGGTAACACTGAGCACGCTGCGATGTTCTCCGGACATCGGGGTGCTGTGAACGGTCCCTCCAAAACTGACCGTGTCCCTCCCAAAGGGTTTGATGAGTCGAAGGGCGATGGATGGGTGCTTGGGTGGCGCCCGAAGTGTGGACACTGTACCAAGGCTGGTCACATCTGGCTACAGTGCCGTGCACGCCTATCAAAGGAGGAGAAGAACCCGAAGTCAGCCTCACCCGTTTCTTCCACTGCCGCTATCGCCACTAACATGGAAGTCTCTCCGGCAGACCAACCTAATGCGAATGCCGTATCACACCCTCCTTTCGTCCTCTCCCTAAAAGAGCACTCTGCCAATATCTCATCATCTCTTAATGTACCCGCAGGTTCCCTACATGTAGACTCTGCTGCAACGGCTCATATGGAGCCTGATATATCACGCTTTGCTCACTATACGAGGCTACATGAGCCAATCCGTGCGAAACTCGCCGACAACCATGTAGTCATGGCCCCTGGCTGGGGAACAGTAAGGCTTGCCCTGCAGTACGAAGACACCTCAATGGACCGGGACTTTGACTTCCTCCACGTCCCTGACCTCCGGTGCACACTCATTTCGGTGTCGTGTCTCGCGTCTGAACGCATTTCCTTCATCTCTACCTCCAAAGGAGGCATGCTTAGTGCTAACGATGGCCAAGGGCCACCACTTGCTCATGTTCACCCTCATAATGGGCTGTACATGCTCGACGCTACATACGCTACCAGAAACGCTGATGCATCCGCGATGCTTGTCAAATCAGTCCTCCGCTGCCTTGTCCCTGCACACTTGGCATCGAAGATTGGGTCACGCCGGCTTCTCGACTGTCCTGAAGGCTAGTGAGCATGCTGATGGCATCTCCATCGACCCTGCATCCCTCCTTCCTGTTAGTGATGGTGCCGACGCCATTCATTGTGTGTCATGCATCATGGGCAAGCACAAACGCTCACCTTTCCCCACTTCTGCGCGGCGCGCTTCTGCCCCTGCTGAGCTTGTGCATTCGGACGTTTGGGGGCCCGTGAACGTCACCTCCTCCTCAGGTGACTCCTACTTCATTGTCTTCACTGACGACTACACCTGGTATTCCCTGGTGTACCTCATGAAGGCGAAATCCGACGTCTTCGAGCTCTTCAGGAAGTTCGTACCTTGGATGGAGACGCAGTCTGGGGGACGTATTAAACTGCCTCCGTAGTGACAATGGCGGGGAGTACGTGTCGCAAGAATTCCTTCAGTACTTGACAGGATCGGGGGATCGAGCATGAGGTGACAATGCCCTACACACCCCAGCAGAATGGTGTTGTGGAGCGCGGTCACCAAACTGTCGTGACCCGCGCCCTCAGCTGCCACCACCAGAGCGGATTCCCTCGTTCTTTCTGGGGTTGGGCGATCCTGAACTCGGCGCACATCAAGAATGTCCTTCCCTCCTTGGCCCTTGGTGGCCGTTCTCCTTTTGAGGCCTTCTATGGCCGCAAGCCTGACATCGCCTACCTGCGCCCATTCGGCTGCCTTGCTTACTCCCACATCCCTGACGACACCCGCCGCAAGTACGAGTTCGTCTCTCGTCGTTGCTTCCTGCTAGGCCACGTACGGAACGCTGGCTATGTCCTCTGGGACATGTCAGCTAAGCGTGTTGTGTGGTCTCGTCATGTACACTTTGATGAGTCCGTCTTCTACGGTGACCCTACTTCGTCCCCCCTACACTTGCTTGTGGGTGCTGCTAACCCCATACCTGTTGTCAGCACCTCAGTGGGAGATGCCCCTCCATCTGGTGAGCCGCCAGTGACCCCTGCTGTCACTGCTGTGCCGCAGGTATCAGTGGGAGGAAATGGCCCACCAGACGCAGACACAGACGCACCACCAAATGTGCCAAATGCGCAAAACGCACCACCAGCTCTGCCTCCCAACGCACCACCAGCTCCGCCTCCTGATGCACCAGCTCCTCGCCGAAGTGCACGACAGCGCCAGCCAACCCATCACATTGACCCAAGCGAACCCAGCACAACGGCCATACCCACCAGACGCGTCCCCGTAGCCGAGCGTTGGACCTACGTACCAGTACCAGCAGAGCCTGCACCAGACTCAATCGAATCCACAATGCACACATCAACAAACGCACCTTCCACTCCTACACCCACACCTTCGCCCTCGCCTTCCATCCCTACACCTCCCAAACCTATCATACCAAACTCCATCAACACGGCACGAACCCTACCTGAATGGCCACTGTGGTCAGACGCCTGCAAGTCGGAACTGCAGTCCATGCAGGACTTGAAGACTCACCGCCTGATGCCACTTCCAGAAGGTAGGAAGGCCATTGGATCCAGGTGGGTATTCTCTGTGAAGTCAGACGAGGACGGCAACGTCACTCGGCACAAGGCCCGCTTCGTCGCCCAGGGTTACACTCAGGTTGAGGGGATCGACTATACGGAGACATTCGCAGCTGTCGCTAAGTACGACACTGTCCGAATCCTCCTCGCACTCACTGCAAAGTTTGACCTTGAGCTGGATCAAATGGACGTACGTACGGCTTTCCTTAACGCTGAACTCAAGGAGGACATATACCTCAAGCAGCCAGCTGGCTTCGAGGACCCAGAACATCCGGACTGGGTTTGGAAGCTGGAGAAGGCGTTATATGGGTTGAAGCAGGCGGGCTATGAGTGGAATCAAACACTTGATGAGTATCTGCGGAAAGAAGGTTTCAAATTCGTTCGAAGCGAGGCTGATCACAGTCTGTACGTCCTCCACGAAGGAGACAGAGTTATCTGGCTCGTCGTATACGTCGACGACATGCTTACCGCGTCGAATTCTCGCGACTACCTCAACTCCTTCAAAGAACAGCTCAAGCAACGCTTCGACCTCGCAGATCTTGGCCCCGCCAGACATTTTCTCGGCATGTATATCACTCGTGATCGCGAGAAACACCTCCTATCCATCAGCCAAAAGACTTACCTGGAGAACTTCCTGGAGAATGCGGGAATGTCTCAGTGTAACCCAGTTGGCACGCCCATGACTCCAGGAATCGTACTCCAGAAGGCCACTCGAGCCCCCACTGTAGACGAGGCGATCACCATTGCATCCATTCCCTACCGCCGCACCATCGGTGAGCTCAACTATGCCATGAGGACAACTCGCCCCGATATCGCGTTTGCTGTGTCCTGCCTCTCTCGCTACATGGAGAACCCTGGCATTGAACATCACCATCAGCTCAAGCACCTGCTTCGGTACATCCGTGGTACAGCGGACCTCACCCTCGTCTTCGGCTTAAATGATGAGGGCCTCATCGGCCACTCTGACTCAGACTATGCTGCAGACCGTGATGACAGTAAGTCCACCAGCGCATACGTCTATCAGCTGTTTGGTGGTCCCGTCAGCTGGAAGGCTCAAAAGCAGTCTGTTGTTGCGACGTCAACAACGGAAGCAGAGTATATTGGACTCTCGAATGCCTCCCACGAGGCGCTATACCTCATCCAACTACTTCACGACTTCCGCGTCGACCCGGACCTATATGATCCCCCTCTCCTCTATGGTGACAACCAAGCTAGCCTCGCCCTATCCAAGAACCCCAAGTTCCACGAGAAGGCTAAGCACATCCGTGTCCATTACCATCTCATCCGCAGCCTCATCGACACTAATCAGATCAAACTCGAATACAAGTCAACGTCGGAGATGCTGGCTGATAGCCTCACGAAGGCATTGCCTCGTCCGGCCGTGGCGCGTCATCGAGAGGAGATGGGGCTCTGTCGTCCGGTTGGTCCGGCGAGTGGGAGTGTCAAGAGCAGCCTATAGCGTCCGCCTGACCACCCAGACGTCACGACAAGTGACATATATATATCAGAGACACCTTACAGTACCTGACTCCTTTTCCCCTTTTTCATCCTACTTAAGACATCGAGCAACCGTCAACTCACCTCAGTCTCTTTACCCGTGACTGAGGTGAGTATTGTTAGTTCCCTCTCTTCGTTATATCATTGTACTCACTATATGCATTCATAGGCTCGTGTCTAGGTTCGTAGTAGTACACCAATTTAGTCTCTTTACCCGTGACTGAGGCTCGTGTCTAGTTCTCACCTTTAATAATCATCTGTCCTATTCAGGCTCTCATGCACATGTTTGGTAGTTGCATCATTGTTGATGGAAATGCTAAATGACGCACTTTAGCCACATCAACGAACGACACGCATATGGCCTCGGGCTCAGGGCCCAAGTTGGGTGTTTGGCCAAGCTGGATACCGCCGCGACCACTGAATTATACAAATGCTTAGCAGGAGAGTACGGACGAACGTACAAGATCAGGAGCCGTGGCTTGGGACAGTCCAGGTCATATGACATGCAAGTCTCAGACAGAATGTCGATGTTTCACAGCTACCAATTGAAGTACGTCCATAAATATGGTAGGTAAAAATAGGGAGTGATAATTTACTTCGAACTCATAAGTTATTTGTGAGCGCTACTCGCGAGGAAACGCACAAATAACTACTAGTCTATCACGCCAATGACAAAGAATCCATTTCCATCTTCCCCGTCGTTGGCCACTGTGGATAAACTATGTCATTAGCCCTCTCGTATCAACAATAATACAATCACTAACCATGACAGCCTGGATGGGTCGAGCGGGATGCAACACTACATCATCGGACACATCTGTTTGAGGCTTATCGTCTTGCGACGTGTTAATGCGCAGCTCGGGGCGGTAAACGTCATGGCGGACACGAAATTCGGAAGAACCCACACTGCCTGTGTTGGCCTGTAGGTAGTACTTTGCGTTCAGAAGTGCCATGAACGAGTTCACGTATACTTGAAACCGTACCGCTGGTCAGCACGATCCTGAGAGAATGTATTGATCTTACATTTCGTCACTAAGAATGCTATACTGAGAAAGATGAAGTTATTCGGCATCACCGCGCACTATAGGTGGTTGTCTGAGACGTCAATCATGGACAGTGCAAGAGAAGGAACCTCACAGTAATTACAGCTATTATTGAACAAACACTGCAGACATATTAGTCGAGGTATGCGGTGTGTTGGAGAGATGAATACCTCGTCAGACAGCCTGTACTAATGGTATAAGAAACGAGCTTTGTTACCAAAGAATCGGTACTAAATGACCACGTTAGTATATCAGATCGCGATAGTGAACGAGCTGCTCCTTACCTAGAGAATCCAGTACGAGAAGTAGCGAGGAGATAGCATAACGATGACGCAATAAGGATATCATTGAAGGTAGCCGAGCCCAAAGTCAGGTAACTCGCCCACTCGGTCGCAACTATGTCCTGGAACACGTGGCTCCGATATCTACTGGCTATCAGCAATTTCGCGAAGTTCGGAAGCTATCTGACTCACTGCGCCAAAATGAGAGCTGTCATTGCGTTGGCTGATGAGTAAATAACAAAGGTAGTAACACTGAAGTCTTACGGATGGAGACACCTGAATAGGTTTTTAAGATCGAATGAAGGGTATTTCCAGTGACAGACTCACCTGCTGATAGGACCACGACTATGCACTGACAGCGTGTCAACAAAACGATATACCATCGAGCACTGACTGCAAACCTACCATTATTACAGCCCAGAGAACTCTGGATCGGCCCTTGCTGACTAGATTCGTCATATTAGTGAAAACAAATCATCACTAGGAATAACATACCTATCCATATGCGATAGACATACGAACTATAGATCGAGACAGCACCAATTAAAATATTGCGTGTAACATTGCATATCGAACTTACAATTGTACCGTATCAACGATGAGAACCTGTTAAATGCATGTCTGATGCGAATCTCAGAGTTCAGGAGAAATGACTTACATCGAATATTACCTGAAGCTGCTCGATATCATAAGTGTTACCAGGCTGCGTAGAGGGCCAAAGTAGGAAACTCACTTTAAAACTCCACACGATTTCTGTGAGCGCACTGAAGTTCGCGTAGTTGGTCACTAAATAATAGTAGACGCAATGTGTGATCAATGCCAGGTGTAGAGCATCAGTTATCCTAAAATATCAGGGTACAGCGTAAAATTGCAGTGTTCAGCAATTGTAATCGAAGGGACACCTACCAAAGCCAGATAACCTGACGTAGCGTCAATGACTGAACTGAAAGATAGAACAGCATGATATACGTACAATCAACTTGAAATTTGTCATCCTCGTGTCTTTATGTGTTTGGAAGTAGATGAAGATTTGAACGTTAGTCAGACCAAAGAGACTATTTGTGAGATATAATATGGCGACAAGTATTCAGTATTGATTGTGTGATGAGAAAATAGTTTACGAACACTGCTGAAAGGACGACCCCAATAAAAAGTGCTCCAAATGTGTTCCCCAGGTCAACTTGTGGCAAGGGGTCCTGCGCAGAAGAAGACATGATTGCTGGTCGAACAAATTCCATCAATGGTACATTTATCTATATAACTCACAATCAGCGTACTGCATTGCCATCTATTCCAACGTCAATTATAGCTTCTTGCGCTGATGGTTGGAGCACTTCCTGCACAACGAGACACAAGGTTTGATATCGGGAACAGACGTGATCGTGATATTGATGTTGTTCCAACAAGCATATCAGCCATTTTTAGCAATACCGAAAGGAAGGCACTTGGTCACTTCGCTCCAGAACTAGAAGTCGGAGGGTGGTGAAAAATGGCATATCGTCGTATGGAAATGAGTAGGTGAACCATCTGTTTGTGTCGGCCATCCCTGCACACACACTTGAGACCGCCGTGCTGCCGTTGCAGCTTGACTTGGTTACATTGAACTGTCGGCCTTCATGCCCGCCTCACAATGCCGTGTCTCTAAAGATGGCTGTTTGATCTCATTAAAAGGGGAAGTTAAGGGGCGATGATCGGGGATCTCACAAGAACTCCGCACATCGCATTTACAGGTTGAATGCTGATGTACGAGCGGAGTCAAGACGTGTGGTTTGTATCTGTATCAGCATTATTAGCGCTGGTGCTTCACATGACAAAATACAAGTAATCGTACTGTAACTTAGTATGGTTCATGACGCGTGACCCCCGATCATGCAACAGGCTTGAATGTATTAGCTGGTGATTGCCGGGAGCAAGACCACACAAGCAAGTGTGGGTGTACTAACGTCGAGTTAAGGTAACGCAAATATCGACGAAGAACTGACTCCGTGACTCTTCTTTGAAAAAGTTGTGAACGGGGCGAGTAGAGGGGATATGTTAAGAATTGGTAATGCCGGTGAGAAGCGAGTATAGTGACTCGACGGCATCGTCGACTGTAATGGTCGTCCGAAAATACAACTGAATCGATGGAGCCATGGCAAGCGGTTCCAAGGATCCAAGGATTTGCCCTAGCATCATAGAAAGACACGCGGGAATCGTTTGCTAGCGTTCTTTGGCATGATTCTGCGAAGGTGCATCAATACAAATGATCCGACGGGCGTGTTCCATTGTAGATGCACCAAAAATGATGGCCTCATGAGATTCAGACCATACCCTTTATGGACTCGCAGGTAGTAAGATGCGCCCATTACAAGCCGCCAGATATGTCGATCAGAAGACTACGGAAGTGTGCGCCGCCGAAGACATTCTTCATATTTGCTAACCTGGTAAAGTTCGAACTAAACCTGGATGAATCACATTCTTTGGAGGCCCATGAGAGATAGCATCCAAGAGACATAACGAACATGAACAGCCTGGTGAAGCGGGGTATGCCTTGAAGTGGATGGAAAGTAACGATAATCCAGGAGTTCGGTCAGCTGCAAGGAAGGAGTGCTCAGCTTGCAATTGCCAGCGACCGAATGCCCTGCTTTGTCTCGATCGGGTCCCAAAGATGTTGTTCCAATGCAACTGCGCACTAGCCTGAGTGCTGGAAGGCGGATCCAACTTGAACGTCCTCGACGAGTGATCATTAATTAATTGATGATGAATATTTGGCGTACATGTAAGTTATTTGGTCATCATTTTTTCTGCCCTTCCTGCATGCAATTGTCTTGGCGCCTTGTACAGCGAAAACATCAACGCTGATACCTTTTATCCTTGCCTTCTCATGGCACCCCAACAAGAATTTGCTAGCATTCATCGCCGGGCACACCAATGCAGACATCACTGATCCTTCCGAATTTCAAGTGCGCCAAGGCATCTACCGTCCGCAGTTCCAGGCATCTCGGAAAGATTCCGATAATGAAGAGCTGCATATCGTCACCTGTCCTATTCAGGTTTCGTGGTTGGTAGTTGCATCATTGTTAATGGAAATGCTAAATGACGCACTTTAGCCACAGCCGCCAATATTCTCCATTAGCGGGAAAGCTTCAAACTACTATTTATGAATTAGTATGTTATCCTTATGAGTGCGTGGTGTTATCCGAGTAAATTATCATACATACCGCAACAATTATCGGAAGGTACCTGCTTGAAGTTTGGTATTGCGGTACATTGTCATTTTGCCGGAGCCTAGTCGGGCCATAAGATCGAACAAAGATATGGAAGGTGAGCCCTTTCAAATATGTATATGATGCCGCAAAGTCGTCAAGGTAACCTTACTGCAGTATAGAAGGAACGACCGTCTTCATTCATCTATGGTCCTGCGAGCTGTCATGTCACAGACCTAGGCTCGATGGCATCTTCCGACTCCAGACACCTGCTGTGAGAAAAGCTGATATACTTAGCACCAGTACAGCACAATTCGAGATCTAAAATAGTGATTGGCGCCCGCCACGCGATCGGTATGCCACGAACGTGACCAGCCCAGAAGATCTTCTCCTACTGATAAGTTCGCGAGGTTATTATGGACTGCGTGTACACTGCCAGCATGCGCCATACGGTATACCGTGACAATCGGGCATATACGGAAGCTTGCGGAAGACCATGATTAAGGAGATGAGTCAGACAGGATTGCAAGCGCTTTGTCAGCGACTTCGCCATCGAGCTCGCATTGCGCAATCATTAATCATCCCAAGCAGTTGCAATGGAGGTAAAATTTCTCTCTTTAAATTACTGGCGTGCGTACATATAAAGGCTTACCTATTTCTGCATCGCTCAGCCTCCATTTTCCCGCACCTTTATCTTCTACTTCAGGTTTACCCCACGTAATTGATACCCCAGTGTGATATGACCATCTCCATTTCCGCCACCAACGGCCATGCAAATGGCGTGAAGCATCACTTGAAGCGCTCGTCTGAGCACGGTTTTTCTACGCGAGCCATCCATATAGGTTCAGAGCCAGATCCCTACAACTGGCGCCGTCATCCCTCCTATATCTCTTAGCACGACATATAAGCAAGATGAAGTAGGTGTACACAAGGTTGGTTCAATGTCTTTTACTGCCATGCCGTAGGATACTCATGACGTGTATGGTGGATAGGGTTTTGAATATTCTCGTTCTGGCAATCCAAACCGTGATGCATTAGAGCGCACCCTTGTAGGCCTGGAAGCAGGCGCAGGACACGCTATAGCGTTCGCTTCTGGTAGTGCCACGACAGCAACTATCTTGCAGTCTCTGGGTCCAAACGCGCACGTCCTAAGTGTGAACGATGTCTATGGCGGTACGTTTAGGTACATGACGAGGGTTGCGAAGGAAACTACGGGTACCGAGACGACGTTTCTAGACCTGGAGAACGCAGCAGACGATGAAATACTAGGTGCTATAAGGGAGAATACCAAGGTTTGTCTTCCAGCATTTAAATTTAGCCAGCCACTCACACGAACCCTTCAGCTTATTTGGATCGAATCACCAACAAATCCCACCCTCCGACTAATTGATATTCCGCGCATAGTAGGTCTTGCGCGCCAGGCTCCATCAAAGCCGCTCGTGCTCGTAGACAACACCTTCCTCTCTCCGTTCTATGGCTCCCCCACTCCTACAGGGCGCTGACATTGTCATTCACTCCCTAACCAAATACATTAATGGCCATTCTGATGTCGTGATGGGCGCTGCCATCGTCCCCTCCTTGTCCACACCAGACAGAGACTACGACGACCTCGTCCAAAAGCTCCGCTTCCTCCAAAATGCCCACGGCGCCGTCCCGAGTGCATTTGACTGTTGGCTCGCCCAGCGGGGCGCCAAAACTCTCGCGGTGCGGATGAAGGCTCACGGTCTGAATGCACTTCGCGTCGCCTCTTTCCTGACTTCGCACCCCGCCGTCGAGCACGTCATCTACCCCGGTCTTGCCTCGCACCCGCTACACGCCCTAGCACGCGCCTCCCTCAGCCCGCATACACAGCAGTTCCTCAGCACCCTATCGGCATCGGCCCTTGCGCACGGTATACCTTATGGCGGGATGGTGTCATTCCGTCTACGTGGTGGTGCAAGAAGTGCAGAGGCCCTTCTGCCGAAATTGAATCTGTTCACGCTCGCTGAGAGTTTGGGTGGTGTAGAGAGTCTTGCAGAGTTACCTGCGCGGATGACCCATGCGAGTATCCCGGCAGCAGAGCGCGAGGCATTGGGTATTGAGGGATTGGTGCGCCTGAGCTGTGGGATTGAGGAGGCGGATGATCTGGTGGAGGATTTGAGGGGATGCGTTGGATGGGCTGGAGGATGAGGATAGCGGGTGCGAGAGTGGGCTGGTGACGCCGTCTGATGTGAGTGATGATGGGGTTGGTGGGGCTGATGGTGCGAACGGGCTGCATTGATTGTAGATTTTGGTATTTATTACCGTAATCGTTTATATGCCTATTAGTAACTAGATGGTATACTATTGTGTAGGTTAACTTTTCATTGTGCATCAATGTACAAGCTCCGTTGAACGTCTCGAGAACATGCGATCAGTGAAATGTAATACACTGGATATGCAGAATTTCAAGAGCGTGCGGCTGAATCATGTGTATATCGGAGGACTGGCGCGGCTGGAAATGTGCCTGCCTCTGGCAGACAGAAGCTGGTATAGCCTCGACTTGATGTTGAACGCTGCCTTCGACAACACTCTACCGCAAGTACTGACCAAGCTACGCCATGGACTCCAGTAAGAATTGACGCCTAGGTCACAGCATCATCTGTTGCACAGGTTATCGATTATCACCTAAGCGGGCGCCTGCAAGTACAGCAAGCGAAAAAGCATATCTAACAGGTCTCTTCATTACCTCCACTATCACTAACGTCCCCAATCATCATCATGTCAGCGAAACAGAAAGAGGTAAATAAAGAACTGCTGTCAGACTCATCAGGACCAGTTGCTCCCCTGAAGCGGGAAAAGGATCCGCCACCCTATGGTGCACAACACCGCCAGGATGCACTTTGGAAAGCACTCAATGTCAAGCAGGAGGGAATGAAGCACTCCCTCCCATGTGGTCTAAGATGGAGATTGATGATTACTTTCCACTATATCGCGATGGGACACTCTTCATGATGACATATGTCCGACCTTTACCGGGGGTGCGACTAGGTGAGCGACGAAGAGTGCGACGAGAGCGAGAGTCTCACGGTCAAGCATAGATGATGCCGGGCATCTCATTCCTGGATGTGAATGGCACATCTCACCAGTCGGTCGGTCCTACTTTGTCAACCACAAGACTCGGACCACATCGTGGCAGAAACCAATAGCAAAACTTCCAGCAGGGAGTTTGAGGCCAGAGTGCGCCATCAAGTGTAGTGGCTCGTGGTACAGCCATGAAATTGCCTACCTGGGCACCAGTAGCAATATATTGAGTATCCTGGATTCTCAAATTCGCCAGTGGACAAGAGATGGACGGCCGGTGGGAAAGCCTCTCGGCAGCGACGTAGGAGACGTATTCACAATAGCAGTGTCTCCGGATGGATTGATGGTTGCAGGTGAATGTGGAGATGGCACAGTCCGACTGTGGAACATAAAGGAGGGGAAAGTGGTAGGTCACCCATGGGAGGGGAATAGAGTGAGGTGCCTCGATTGGTCACCTAATGGGGCGGAGGTAGCAGGTGGATCAACTGACGGCACTACGACGATGGAACCCAGTCACTGGTCGACAAATTGCACCCCAAATAAAGAGAAGCGATGGAGCTGTGTGGACAATCAAATACTCTCCACAAAGCGACAAGTTTGCGAGCACCAGTGATGCAAATATTATTCGCGTGTGGTCAAAGGACGGCGAGATACTCATTGAGATCAAGGGACATGACAGCTGGGTGATGTCGCTATGTTGGTCCAAGGATGGCGCATACATCTTCTCTTGCTCAAATGATACCACCATCCGAAAATGGCAATCGATTGACGGGGAAGAACTAGTCGTTTTTCGAGGTCATACCGGAGCCGTTAAATCCCTTTGTCTGTCTCCCGATGGATGTCATCTTCTCAGCGCATCAATGGACTGCTCAGTCCGCATCTGGGACCTCGAAACCAATCAGCAAGTTGGAGACCCATTCTGGCACGACGACGAAGTCTGGTCTGTCGCCATGTCCTCCGATGGTCAATACTTTGCCAGTGCTATCTGTGGACCAGATACAAAAATCTATGTGTGGAGCCTGGAAGGAGCCCTCAAGCGCGCTCGTGGGATTGGCGTGCGTGTGTACATTACTTTTGTTAGTGTCTTTTCTAAATAGGTTTGCGCATCGGTCAGGGCGATGCAGAGTCCAACGCGAAGCCCAAGGCGAGTTTTTATTTATTTTATTTCATACCTCTTCTAACTTCTTTATCAGGGATGTGCACCTCGATATAAAGATGTGTGCTAGTTAATTTCGATTGATCTGATCCTTCGCTTATTTATCTCATTAGATTTCTTTCACGCCTAGACCGCAAAACAACAACTTGAACAGAGGCTTGGCGAGATATGTGAGTTTAGTTCTTTCTTCCTGCCTCTTGCTAGCCTGACACTGATGCAGGGCAATGATTTCTGGGGTGATGACGCAAACCACACGCCTCGTCGCTCAGCGGACATATCATCTCCGCGTCGTCTGCGTGACTTCTTCGGCTTCCTGCGGTCTAGCACCCGACCTGCAAATGCGCCGCAATCAATACTGCTTGAGCCCCGGAGTTGGAATTTTAACTTATTTTCAGCAGGAAGCTCTATACGCACCATTGAAGTAGCTGCCGGTCGCAAGAAGAATGTGAGTGGCTTTCATCGCTCCTTTTGATATCATTGAAATCAATATATTTGTAGAGAATTTTCGTTTCCCCTCCCACCGCAGCAGAAATGGCCCGCGCAGAAGCGGCTGCAGCTATGCAACGTACCAATGGCAACGAGGCTGGCAATTCGACACAAGCAGGTCAACCTCACGCTGTGCCGGGGATACAAGTGTCTCAGAGGACGACCAACGGAAACGCAAGGCACGGGCAGTGGAATGGGACATATTTCTTATGAAGTGAGCTGCTGCGGATTTTTCTTTGGTCGTCGTCGTCCCACCTCTCATCAGTCATGATGTCGTCTACTAAACTAGTTGCTTCAATGTTTTTCTCTAAGTTGTGGGCGTTACAGACTATTTCGTACCCATTTATACACCTCGTAGGTGTTGCATTTTACTTGTCCATGTACTTGTAGATGAAAGCCATACACTAGCTTCTCAAGTGAAGACGAAAAGTAGTTCTACCAGCAGGCTTCATTAGCATACTAAGGTAGAGGTCAAGGAAACTCGACGAACCGTGGCCCATGGTATAATTTCTAACCACAACTGCCACCAGTGTCGAACCCGACTAGTATTTCGCGAACTGTTCAATTTAATGATCAATCTCACCATTCGTATTGCAGTTCAACATCAATGAGTTCGGTTCAATGTCAGTGTTTCACTCTCTGACCCCAGTAGCACTTCCTGGTAGTCCCCGGTCATATGAAGATTCCATGAACGTCCCTTCATGTCTGGAAGGGACCCACGTAGAGCTTTTCAACTCTATCACACGATTACTGGATAACCGAGACAACGAGTGGGATCATTTGGCTGTATGGTACGGCGGGTGTCAGAAAGGCTGCCGTTGCGTTCACTATGACTGAAAGGATGAGAAGTCTGAAAGCAACGGAGCGGACGAATATCGAAACAAACGGTTTACAGGAATATTCTACTTCATGAGGCATTGGGTATCATATGAGGGGCTGGGGCGCTTGAGCTGTAGGATTGGGGTTTGGCGGAGGATTTGAGAGATGCGTCGATAGACCAAGGGTAGTGGGTGAGTTGGATGAGAGCGATGGTGGGCCTGGTGCGGCTGATCACGGTATGAATGGGCTGCATTGAATCCTGTACCCGTTGGTGTTAGGGCTAGATGCAGAAACGAGCACGCGGCCGGGGTGAATCATGTATAATGATTCAGCCTATTCGCCAGCAAGAACTCACCGGTCCACTGGAATAGTGTTCTGCAGACGGTTGATTGTCGGAAGTTGAAATTTGACTTGGCCTGGCGCCGCCTGGGCCGCTTTACGGTTGACTTGTTTTTTTCCATTCTTTATGGGGACTGGCCTAGCGTTCTGCCGCAAATGGCTGTAATATTAACACAGAGATGCAGACTGATACAGGTGTGTTCGGGGTTGCATCGTTTAAAGATGACTAGGAGAACGGAAAGGGCAGAGGAAGCCAGGTATAGTTATTATAGTCATAACATTTTGATAGCTCAACTGACCTTTGAAAGAAGTAACATATACTATACATGTGGCACCGACAGCATCATGATGACTTGCGATCGAGTGAATGGCTGCCCCCAACTGAGATCATACTGGCAAAAAGTTGATTTATGTCACTATCGCACGTCTATTAGGCGTAACGGCGAGTCGGGCTTTGTTTGACGCGTCGAGACGGTCTCCATCGCCTCAGACCCACCCACGACGACTCGGAGATATACAATGAGTTTCAGGGTCTTTTTCAAAGTAATCAATGGCCATGCGCTTCGAGATTCACACCTGTATGGCCTGCTCTGACCTGCTACATCGACCTGGACCAGATATAAATCGAGACTTCTTTTGAAGCTGGTTCCTTGGATCGTATTCTCTCACCGGACTAATAACTGTACAATGAGGCGTATCCTTGCAGGTTTGGTGCTCTCAAGCACGCTTGTTGCCCGCGCGTGGGCTGGGCAACCAGCTCACATTCATGGTGTTAATTTGGGTTCATGGTAAGCGATCCTATGCGCCTCCAACCAACTATTTAACTCAAGTGGCAGCGCAGGTTAGTCCTAGAGCCATGGATGCTTCCTCAAGGTGATAAACCAACGGACTTTGCAAATACGCGTTCACTGAACAAGTTTCTTCAGAGTGGTCGGATATGGGTGGACAGGAATGCGAAGTTTGTTCGACGTGCATTGCATCTGAGTCGTACGTTCCAATTCTACACTGTGTGTATGTGAAATTTAATTTGTTCTAGGTCGTTTGCAAAGGCGTATCCTGACACCGTTGACACTACATTCGCTCAACACTGGGACACATGGTTTACGCAAGACGATGTCAATACACTGAAGGCGGCCGGTATCAACACCGTCAGGATTCCTGTGAGTTGATTATAAGGTGCACGGCGAACTTGGCTAAACACGCGTTGGACGGTTTGATCTGCTTTATTCCGTGCAAACTTGAATGTGTTATGCAACGCGTTCATTCATAGCTGGGGTACTGGATTGTGGAGGCTTTAGTCGATAGGCCGAACGAATCATACCCTCGGGGTGGTCTTAATTATTTGGTGAGAAGCTCTGATGTGGTTCAAGTCTCTAGTTAAACTCGAGGGTGTAGCGTCGGGGCTTGAGCTGGCTGCAAGATGCCGGGATCCAAGTGATCCTGGATCATCACGCATTACCCGGGGTTCAAATGCCTGGGCAAATGTTCACTGGAGAGTAAGTTCTCGTTTGTTTGCTATCTGTTCTGTACTGAGAGTGATTTTTACCAGTTGTACTACCGATGTTCAATTCTACGTGGGTTATTTTGCAGCTGGTAAAAGCAACAACTACAAATTCTTATATAGACTCCATACAACTACCGCCGTGCACTGGTGTGGACAGCGGTCATGACTGTGTTTTCTCACCTGGACCCTGTTTTTGGAAATGTCTTTGCGATCGAGGCAGTCAATGACCCCATTACAGACGCGACTAACACACCTGACTATGGCACTTGTATGTATCACTCATCATTCTTTTATTTGTACCCTCACAATTCCTGAACCTTCGTACAGTCCAAAAGAACTTCGTCCAAATAACCCGTGCAATTGAGCTCACACTCGGAATATCTGTGCCATCATCCAATTTATCGGTATCGGTATCACCGTCCGTTTCGAACAACTTCACCGCTGCACTGATTGCGACATCTTCAGCAACTGGAATCTCGACGGAGGTGCAAGCAGCACTTTTAGAAGCCGTTCCAATTTTACGAGAGATTGGAGCAGCGAGTGGTTTGCAGACTACATTGGAAGCATCACCCTTCAAGCAGTCCGGTCCTCCATTAGTGGCGAAGTGAGTTCACCACAAGTCCTTGCTAAGATACATTGACGATGGTATGCATAGCTTCATGGATGTGAACTACCAACACAACAACCCCTCTAACCCAGCTGACGTGGCGATTGGCCCCCAAGCTTATGACAACCATGTGTCTTACTCGTGAGTGTGCAGTTGACTACATCAAGTTTTCGTGGTTTTCTTAATCTTCTCTTTACAGGCATGGCGTATGTCATGTGCATGTACCTTATCGCTTTACATTAATATTTTTATAGGGAATTGCGGATCCTGACCCGACATCTTACATGAGCAGTATCTGCAGTGCGTCTTTTTCGTTAGTTCAGCAATGACATACTCATTTCTGGTAAAGATTTTAAACGTCTCCAGGCTGACGCAGCGGTCGGTAACTCTCCGCTCTGGTTCGGAGAGTGGGAACTTGCGACACAGTTCGATGCCACGGACGAGTTCCTCTGCAAGTGGGCTGACGCACAGAAGTTGGCGTATAGTAAAAGTGCTGGATGGATTGTATGTGTCCAATTGCATTTGATCGAGACGTTGCTCAAGGAAGAACTTGGATACTTCAGTACTGGAACTTCAAAATCGAAATATCGAACCGTACTGACGGGAACGCCCTTGCAAGGCAATGGTTAGTCATGACGCATCCTGGGGTGCTTTACTATTGATCGGACGGCTGTCTGTGTAGGTCTTACCTTGAGGGGTTGAAACTTGGGTTCTTGACCCAGGACCCTGCGGCGCTCCATGATCCGAACGTGTGCGTTTCATACATGAACAAGACCACTGATGACACCAGTTCATGATGTGCATTCTTGGTTAGTACATAAGTAAGCGATAGCGCAGAGCGTACCTATACCGATTCCTGTTGACTACGAATGGTGGGAAGTGCAAGGATAAATTTGAATATATGCGCTTCTTCGAACCTCACTATTGTCAGTTGTGTACATTGTCATTATAGCAGATTGTCTACTAGGATTCGAGCTACAACCGTTCTGCTGCCCACTTGTTTCCCGATGTAGATGTTGTATGTAGATATTAGTGTACTCATTTCGAGTGCCTATTAGATGGCATACTGTTATCTGAAGGTTGATTCCTCACTGTGCACTGCACGTGTTGATCTGAACGTCTCAGGAACATACGATCAGTGAAAATACGATTTGCTGAATATACAGAAACGAGAGTGCGATTGAATCACGTAAGGGACGGTAGACTCGGAGGGCTGGCCCGCGATTGATCTATGAGCTGGCGCCTGCGATCACAGCACAGGTTATCACCTAAGCAGAGTGCCTGCAAATACAGCATGCGAAACGGCATATCTAACAGGTATCTTCATTACCTCCACTATCACCCACATCCCAATTATCGTCATGTCGCATCCAAAGACCGAGTTAAGCACATCAGCAAACCAAAGAGAGGTAGATCGAGGACTGCCATCAGACTTATCAGGATCGGTTGTTCCCCTGAAGCGTGAAAAGAACCCGCCACCCTATGGTGCACAGCACCGCCAGGATGCACTTTGGGAAGGTGAGCCAGCATGTTGTGAACCCAATCAACCTACTCAATATCAAGCAGGAGGGAATGAAACACTCCCTCCCATGTGGTCTAAGACGGAGGGAGATGGAAAACCACTATATGACGATGAGACACTCTTCATGACTACATATCACCGACCTTCACCGGGAGTGCGACTAGGTGAGCAATGAAAAGTGCAATGAGAGCGAGGAACTCACGGTCAAGCATAGATCACCCCGGGGATCTCATTCCTGGATGCGAATGGCACATCTCACCCCTCGGTCGGTCCTACTTCGTCAACCACAACACTCGGACCACATCGTGGAAGAAACCAACGCCAGAACGTCCAGTAGGGAGTTTGATGCCAGAGTGCACCATCAAGTGTGGCGGCTCGTGGTATAATGACAACCTTGCTTGCTTGGGCACCAGTGGCAATATATTGAGTATCTTGGATGGTTCAATTCGCCAGTGGACAAGAGCGGGACGGCCGGTAGGAAAGCCATTCGACAATGACGAAGGCGTAGAGACAATGGCAGTGTCTCTGGGTGGATTGATGGTCGTAGGTGGATGTATTGATGGCACAGTCCGGCTGTGGAACATAAAGGAGGGGAAAGTGGTAGGTCACCCGTGGGAGGGGAATAATAGGACAGTGAGGTGCCTCGATTGGTCACCGAATGGGGCGGAGGTAGCAGGCGGATTCAAAGACGGCACTTATACGACGATGGAACCCAGCCACTGGTCGACAAATTGCACCCCAAATAAAGAGAAGCGATGGAGCTGTGTGGACAATCAAATACTCTCCACAAGGCGACAAGTTCGCGAGCTGTAGCGGTAATGAAGAGATCATCTGCGTGTGGTCAAAGGACGGCGAGTTACTCATCGAGATCGAGGGATATGACCACTGGGTGACATCATTATGTTGGTCCAAGGATGGCGCATACATCTTCTCTGGCTCAAATGACACCACCATCCGAAAATGGCAATCGATTGACGGGGAAGAACTCGTCGTTATTCGGGGTCATACCCAAGCCGTTCAATCCCTTTGTCTCTCTCCTGATGGATCCCATCTTCTCAGCGCATCCAATGACTATACAGTTCGCATCTGGGACCTCGAAACCAATCAGCAAGTCGGAGATCCACTCTGGCACGACAACCAAGTCTTGGCCATTGTCATGTCCTCCGATGGTCAATACTTTGCCAGTACTAGCTCTGAACTAGATGCAAAAATCTATGTGTGGAACCTAGAAGCGGCACTCAAGCGCGCTCGTGGGATCAGCGTGCGTGTGTATATTTCTTTTGTTAGTGTCTTTTCTAAATAGTTTTATGCCTCGGACAGGGTCGTGCAGAGTCTAACGCGAAGCTCAAGGCAACTTATTTTCCTTTTCTTTCGCACCTCTTCTGACCACTTTATCAGGAACGTGTAGTTCGATCTAGAGATGTGCGCTCGTTAATTGCGAATAACCTGATCCTTTGCTCATTCATCTCATTAGATCTCTTTCACGCCAAGACAGCAAAACAACAACAGAGGCTTGGCGAGATATGTGAGTCCAGTTCATTCCTTCCTGAGCTCTTGCCAAGCCTGACACTGATGACAGGGCAATGACTTCTGGGATGATGACACGAACCGTACGCCTCGTCGCTCAGGCAGACATATCATCTCCGCGTCGTCCGCACGACTTCTTTGGCTTTCCTGCGCTCCAGCACTCGACCTGAAAATGCGCCACAATCAATACCGCTCGAGCCCCGGCGTTGGAATTTCAGCTCGTTTCCTGTGAGAATCTCCAGGCGTCCTGTTGATGTTGCTCCGTGCCGTGAGGAAGATGTGAGCCACTTGTCATCGCTACCCTTTGTGATATCACTCAAATCATTTTGCAGAGATATGGCATTACCCCCCGAGTCAGATGCAGAAGCAGCTGCAGCTATGCAACGTACGAATAGCAACAATGTCGACAGCTCAACTCAGCAAGTGCAAGCTGTAGCGGGGGGCACAAGCGTCTCAAGGACAAAGTGCCCAGAGGCAAAGTTCTGATTTTGGAGAAGGAGAAGCTCTGATAGGATGTTGTGGATTCTATCTTGTTCGTCGTCGGCCCGCATCGAACTAGTCCTTCCGTTGGTCTGAGGGGGAGGCTAGTATTGTGGTTCTTACTAGTGATTTCTTACGTGCATGAGCCAATGCAATGATGTCTCGTCTCTCACTGGCTCATATGAACTTCTAATTACAAACTGTCGAACTAGTATTTCCCCGAGCCGTTCTATTCAATGAATCGATCTTACCCTTTGTTTAGAATTGATCATTGCCAATGAGTCCGGATCAATGTAAGCACTTCCATCTCTCATCACCTTTCTTATTGTCTGACAAGTCATGAAAGCATAACGCACATGCACATTACGCAGCATATGGACGAATCGGGATCTCCTTGAGACCAACTCACGGGATTGCAGCCAATTCATCAACACCCCCAGCCTCATCGAGGTTTCAAACTGAGTTTTGCACACGGAGTACATCAGGCACTCAACGTAACATCCCCCAAAACATTTTAACTGATGTCTGTTCTTCCCGTTGTTATATTTCCAGGATCTGATTTGCTCTACATAGCTGATATACTCGCTGTCTCGATATCCACCACCAACGGCGATGCATTTAAAACCAGAGATTCAAAGCGCCCATCTGAGCTTCGACCCCGTTTTGTTCCAGCCAGACCCTGCAACCTTCTCTCCCATACACCTCAGTGCGACGTACGGAAAAATGCAGTAGACATACACAAGATTCGTGCATTACATTATCTTACACATCACGGCATAGTAACATATGCATGTTCTGCTCAGGTGAATAGGATTTCGCGTTCGGGCGATTAGAACCGTGATACATTAGAATTCACACTTACATATCTGGGGGCAGGCACAGCACACGCATGTCCCTCGGCCCATACACACGACAGTTCCCCAGCACATTACCGCCTTTGAGCCTTGCGCGCGGGATATCCTACGGTGGGATGGTCTCATTCCGTCTACGTGGTGGTGCAAGAAGTGCAGAGGCCCTTCTGCAGAAACTTGAGCTGTTCACCCTTGCTGAGAGTTTGGGTGGCGTAGAGAGTCTTGCGGAGTTACCTGCGCGAATGACCCATGCGAGTAACCCACCGGCGGAGCGTGAGGCGTTGGGTATCGAGGGGCTGGTGTTTTGGTGGAGGATTCGAGGGGTGCATTGGATGGGCCGGAGGATGAGGACAGTGGGTGTGGGAGTGGATTGGTGACGCCGTCTGATGTGAGTGATGGTGCGGCTGAAGGCGCGAATGGGTTGCATTGATTAGATCTTGGTATTTATTACCGTAATACGCAAATGGTGGCAAACATCCGCCTGCACCTGCTGAAGCGCTGACGGGGTACCCACTGCACCGTGGAGGTGATAATTGACGCCTAGATTACAGCATCCTCAGGCTACTACTGCACAGGTTATCAATTATCACCTAAGCGGGCGCCTGCAAGTACAACATGCGACACAGCATGTCTAACAGGTCTCTTCACTACCTCCATTATCACTAACGTCGTCCCCAATCATCGTCATGTCAGCGAAACAGAAAGAGGCAAATCAAAGACTGCTCTCGGACTCATTAGGACCAGTTGCTACCCTGAAGCACGAAATGAATCCGCCACCCTATGGTGCGCAGCACCGCCAGGATGCACTTTGGAAAGGTGAGCAAGCATGTTGTGAAACCAATTGACCAACTCAATGTCAAGCAGGAGGGAATGAAGCACTCCCTCCCATGTGGTCTACGATGGAGATTGATGATTACTTCCACTATATCGCGATGGGACACTCTTCATGATGTCATTTCACCGACCTTTACCGGGAGTGCGACTAGGTGAGCGATGAAATGTGTGATGACAGCGACGAACTCATGATTGAGCATAGATTACCACGGGCTGCTCATTCCTGGATGCGAATGGCACATCTCACCATTCGGTCGGTCCTACTTTGTCAACCACAATACTCGGACCGCATCGTGGAAGGCACCAACACCGGAACTTCCAGCAGGGAGTTTGATGCCGGAGTGCACCATAAAGTGTAGTAGCTCGAGGTACAGCTATGAACTTGCCTGCCTGGGCACCAGTGGCAATATATTGAGTATCCCGGATTATCAAATCCGCCAGTGGACAAGAGCTGGACGGCCGGTGGGAAAGCCTCTTGGCAGCGACGAAGGAGATGTAATCAACATAGCAGTGTCTCCAGATCAATTGATGGTCGTAGGTGGATGCATTGATGGCACAGTCCGGCTGTGGAACATAAAGGAGGGGAAATTGGTAGGTCACCCATGGGAGGGGAATAATAGGACAGTGTGGTGCCTCGATTGGTCACCGAATGGGACGGAGGTAGCAGGCGGATTCAAAAAACGGCACTATACAACGATGGAACCCAGCCACTGGTCGACAAATTGCACCCCCGATAAAGAGAGGCGATGAATGGGTGAGGACAATCAAATACTCTCCACAAGGCGACAAATTCGCGAGTGGCGGTGATGAAAAGATAATCCGTGTGTGGTCAAAGGACGGCGAGCTGCTAGTCGAGATCAAGAGACATGAAGACTGGGTAACGTCGTTGTGTTGGTCCAAGGATGGCGCATACATCTTCTCTGGCTCAAATGACACCACCATCCGAAAATGGCAATCGATTGACGGGGAAGAACTCGTTGTTTTTCGGGGTCATACCGAACACATCACATCCCTTTGTCTCTCTCCTGATGGATCCCATCTTGCTAGCGCATCAACAGACTACTCAGTCCGCATCTGGGACCTCGAAACCAACCAGCAAGTCGGAGACCCACTCTGGCATGATGATAGAGTGTCTGCCATTGCCATGTCCTCCGATGGTCAATACTTCGCCAGTGCTATCTCTGGACTGAATGGAAACATCTATGTATGGAACCTGGAAGCAGTACTAAAGCGCGCTCATGGGGTTGGCGTGCGTGTGTATATTGCTTTCGTTAGTGTCTTTTCTAAATAGGTTTGCGCATCGGTCAGGGCGATGCAGAGTCCAACGCGAAGCTCAAGGCGAGTTATTATTATTTTTCTTTCATACCTCTTCTGACTTCTTTATCAGGGACGTGCAGTTCGATCTAGGGATGTAAGCCAATTAATGGCGAATAACCTTACCCTTTCTCATTTATCTCATCAGATCTCTCTTGCACCTAGACTGCAAGGCAACAACAGAGGCTTGGGGAGATATGTGAGCCTAGTTTCATCCTTCCTGAGTTCTTGCTAGCCTCACACTGAGACAGGGCGATAACTTCTGGGGGTGACGACACAAGTACGCCTCGTCGCTCAGCAGACACATCATCTCCGCCTCGTCTGCGCGTATTCAGCTTCCTGCGCTCCCGTACTCGACTTACAAATGCGTCGCCATCAATCGACCTCCAGCCCCGGCGTTTAAATCTTAGCTTATTTCCTGTCAAACTTTCCAGGCGTTCCGTCATTGTGGCCCCTTGCCGTGATGAAGATGTGAGTAGTTCATCATCGCCAATACATGTTCCTTTTTGATGTCATTGCCATTAATTTACAGAGATACGACATGCCCCACGAGACTGACGCAGAAGCAGAAGAGGCTATGCGACGCATGAACAGTAACACGGCTGACAGCTCAACACAGCAAAGACAAGCTGTAGCAGGGCCACAAGGGTCCCGCGGACGACCAACACAAAGTTCTCAGGGGCAATAGAGCCTTTGATAGGATGCTGTGGACTTTATCTTGTTCGTCGTCGGCCCGCATCGAACTAGTCCTTCCTTCGGTCTATCATGTAGGCCATCGTGGGCCTTGTGGGAAATTATTCCTCGACACGCATGAGCCAACGTAAGTACCTGAGGATGGAAGAGCGGATGTAGTGGAGGATTCCAGAGTGCATTGGATGGGCCAGAGGATGATGATAGTAGTGAGAGTGGGTTGGTGACGCCGTCGTATGTGAGCCTGGCGCAGGTGATGGTTTGAATGGGCTTTAGATGTCAGTAGAGTAGAATCATCGTCATTATCAGAATTAGTGAATACTACCTTGTTGTCAAACACGCCAGTCTGTAGACGAGCTGCCGAACAGGGGTGCGTAGACGCCCGATAGGTCAAGTCAAGTTGCAGTGGACGCAAATTGGTCCCACACGATGTTGACGGTGCATGTTGTATGACGAGAGCTGATAGTGTGAACGAGTTTTGGAGTGCGTAACAGATATCACATGTACAATCTCGTGAAGCCCGTGGCTGTACGAAGTCTATAGACGTCTGACGAGAAAACAGGAGGTGAATGAAGGTGAAGAGAGCTTCATATCGGCCTGCTGTCCTCTACTTAGTGATAGTCTGCTGCAGTACGTTTGCGATAGGGTGGTCAACACCAGACGAACGCCACACAAATTGAAACTGAGGAGGTTGCATGTGATTCTGACTTGGACGCGTCAGCATGGAACACGCGGGGGGCACAAGATGCTAACTCGTGTAAGATATCGGTTCTGCAAATCCAAAAGCGTCTCATATCGCACAGTTCTAGGACAATGCATTGATCCCCAATCCCATCTGTGGTCCCACAGTCAACTCGGAAGTGCTCATTCCTTGAGATCGTTACTGATTCTTGGATTAACCATAGCATTTACGTAGCTAGTTGGTGTCGCCAATGTTGTCTGAAAAGTTTATTGCATAGTATAAACGCCTGCGAGCTTCCAGGCTTCAGGAAGGCAGTATCAGATAATATAGACGATCACGAACTATAATTTCTTCGTCAAAACCAACACATGTCGGGAGAGCAAGGGCAACCGAAAAATATACGAGGGGAATATGGAGCGGTGGACAAAGTGATCTTGATGGGGTACTCCAGAATGCGAGAAAATGGCAGGAAGATCAGATGTTCTCGTGTACAAAAAGACGCTGGAGTCCAGACAATGCGCAGTACATCTTGTCCGAAAAGCTATACCTGCATTTGCGACATGCTTTCAAACCTCTAGTTCTCATTCTCCAGACCATCCAGACCACTCAAGAGGACGACTGCTGGGCCAAGTTCCTGAAATATGTGTAAGACGGACCCAACAAGTTTCGTGACAACTTACCTACGTGAGGATTGCGACAGCGACGAGCAAGGCGCATGAACACGAACTATTGAAGGTAAGCTTGAAGACACAGTCGAAAGCACAGAATGAAGTGATAGAGTCATGAAAATGATATCTGCAAACTCTAGATTCGTGAACACATAATCAAGTCCACGGCTGAGGGATACGCCCATCCACGGAGACGCGAGAAGGGGCAGAGCCCTGCGTTCTGGATAACGAATGTAGTTATTAGGTCAAAGGAACGAGTGGCAATAAGTACGACGAGACTAGAGTGATAGTGGTATCTAATATATACGATGACTGGACTGAATCCATGTCTTCGTGAAAGGTGGGCTCAGTTCCCAAAGTACTGCGATGGTGTGAAATCTACCTGAACGATACCCCTACGTCTAGAAATATGCCCCGCGAAGGCGGACTACACCATCTTTGAGTCGCTCCGTGATTACAGGACTCGCTGCTGGGCGGTATTTGAAATCCTTCGAGTACCTATGCAAGATGAGAGTCAGACTCTGCACCATTCATCGGAGCGCGAAGGGAGGGAAAAGTTTGTGCACAAAATGACAACTCACCTTTCAGCATGAACGATTTTGGGTTGTGATCTTTGGGGCTGCAACTGGAATGCAGCCCAGAAGAGGAACACAGTCACGAGAAGGAGTGCAATGCGCTTCCAGAGCGAAGGTGTGGGGCGGTTTAAAACGGGGATCTGCATGGAATTGCTTGATTTGAGACTGCAGTTGTGGATCAGCTTCGATTTCAGCGGGATCGTTGGTTGAGAGTGCCTGATATTGGGCCGACATGGCGCCGCTGGTACAGTGGCAAGTCGAAAAATGAAAGGTGGTGTCGTGTATTAATATTTGGTACCGTGAATGCGGGTGTAACGGTCGGAGTTTAAATTTGTTCTACGTGGCTGGCGGCCGCTGAGGGAGATCTACATGAGTCTACATGTAGCGCGGGTATACTGTATTGAACCGTCCAATACAAACCACCATAGTTTAACGTGTATACAGCTTCGTACATGTGTACTATGCTCGGTGATATAATAAGGCCCGAAAAAAAGTAGCATGTTAATCAAGGTGATCGAGATACTCCCTTGATATATACTAGTAGGTGAGCCACAACCGCAATCTATGTCCAAAGCGTACCGTGACATACATCGCTGAGTTAGTTGGACAGGGAAGATCTGGCACTGTTCAGCTCGTTTTCCACAAAGGAAGCAGCATCCCCAGTGGAAGGACGATCCTTGGGCTTGGCTGACCAACATTTCCGCATGAAACCCAAATGCTGGCGGCTAACAGTCACACTGGGTTCGAGCCGATATGGCTCTACATGGTTGAACTGAGCACCGAATATCTGTGTAACATTATTAAGCCACCAGAAGGGAGGTCTACCCGAGAAAACCTGTGAGATGCAAAATTCAGGTGAAAACCCGAACAGGATCTAGCATACGAGACTCACGTGTAGCATGATGCAACCGAGCGAAAACACATCGCTCTGACTGTTCGGTTTCGGGATGTCGATGGCGCTGTTACTGTCACCTGGAATGCTTTCTGGATCCGGTGAGCTGATCAATTCGGGCGCTAACCACCGGACAGCGCCTTTCGAATACGACTGGTAGTACGATCTGTCACTCTCTGCGAGAGCCAACGAGAGACCGAAATCTGCCAAAAATGCATTGCCATCCCGGTCGATCACAACGTTTGTCTTCAATTATAGAGTTAGCAGGAACTCCAAAGCATCGAACAGTACATACACTGGTCAGATCCCCGTGAATTACTCTCTGTTCATGAACTAGAGAGGTTGTCAGTGAGAAAACGTATTCGGAACGGCGATCTCATACGGTATCTCAAGCCATCCACCACCTGTTTCAACTAGATAAGGGCACCCATTGAGTAAGGACTTATGTTTGACATGATGAATCTCACCAGCTTTAGTTTCTGTTCCATGGTGAGGCTCGTGCGCTTCAGGTAACCATCAAGTGCCCCGTTATACATCCACGTAGAAACAAGAGCAGGCAATGGTCCAAACCCGGAGACCGTGCCACGAAGAGTGAGAACGTGCGCATGCCTCAGTTTGATCCACACTGCTACTTCGCGGCGAAGTCTCTGCGAGCGAGCATTCAATGCACTTCACATTACGGAATAAATGTTACTAGCATACCCTCTTCGCTTTTTGGATGGCGTCTTCGTCGCGCGTGTCCGCTATCCTGATATTTTTGACAGCAACCTGACAGATATTAGTCGGCGAGATTCGCAGGCTAACATCGTATGTACCTCAGTAGAGGACGCCGGACCAGTGATCATTGAGCACTTCCAGATATCGCCCAAGCCACCAGATAATATGGCATAATTTGATTGCTTCCTGATGGATGCAGACGGAATGGCATATGGGTCGATATCGAAGACCACTCTGAGTCTGTGCCTCGTATTTTTATACCTGCAGTTTATGAGGAAATTTGCACTTACAACTGCGGTTCATTTGTACCAGGCGTAACCTGATGGCAAGGTCAGTGATTGAATCTAATGACTGAGATAATATTGTAATGCCTCACAATTGGAGGCCTTTGAGGTGGTGACGAGCGGTTACTCATGGTAATGAGCCTACTATTAGAACAAAGGGAGGTCTGCGGCGTTGCGCTGAATCGAAGGGTCAGCAGGAGTGAGCAGGTTTAAGAACAGCTGACCGCGCCTATTAAATAGAACTACGAAGCCCCATACCCACGAACTAAATTTACAAAGCACCTGAGTGTGCGGAAGAAATTAGCGCTAGCGCTTAAACCGCCACGGCATGCAGTGATCGACTCGGAAGAACGGTCGAAAGCATCAATGCATGCCTAAACTGCATTGTTGACAACCTTCTATACGCGGCAGCTAGTGCCCCGCGACATTGGTGCAATCATGGGCAGCGTCATCCAAACCTCACCATGATCTTAGATCTAGTCACTAGTATGGCTAGTTCTGCCCTGCAGCCTGATCTTCGGTTGATCCTATCATGATGGGCCTGCGGTGGATTTCATTAATTGAGTCGGATCTCAATGTTCAAATGCAGGTGAGGCTCAAGCGAGGTTACACGGGAAATCTTATTTTCTACCTTTATGACTTGTATGCATGTCGTTCTGAGCCCAAGTGACACTACCTGAAAGTACTGATGCAAAAACGCTGAAAGAAGCAAAAACATAAGTAAATAAGTAACATGCCTGATCGAGATACTTATTTGATGTCTTCTTTGATCACGGCTCTTTCCGCCTCCTGCGTCACTGTGCTCGGTCCTGCTCGGTCTTGCTCAATACTATGGCGACTTCTGCTTCATTTCACGGCCTTGTTGGACCACAAACTTCGAGACGACACCATCATTGACTCCCTCTTCCCATCGATTCTCGAAGACGCTGAAAGCTGTCTTGATCGTGCATTTCTTTCCCCTCCCAATGTCTATGTTGATGGATTTTCAATGATAAAATTCTAAGTATCGCAAGTGATATCACACATTTCACTCACTCAGCCATGCCATGTAGAATCTTATTTTAGTTCGGACAGCCTGAAAGAAACTGAGCAGACTCCATTGAACGCACCAGAATACACACTTGACTACCTTGCGAAGTTAATCCATCCTGGAGTGTGTAACCTCTCGGTAGAAATGGGATTCATATTGGTCAGAAACGCGCGTGTGCGCGTCGTCGTGCTGCATCGTCACTTCCTCAAAGTCCAACTTCTCAATACATTTGAAAGCCACTGCATCCCCCGCATTCCATACAAATCATTCGTCATGGACAGTGAATCGAAGACAGTTTCCTCTGCGAGCCGCATATGCAACTACATTTAAAGGTTTGACGCTAACGTAAACCGTGCTTGACCTCCGGACTGATCCCTTCACTCACGATCGATTGTGCACAGCGTTGTCGAAAGTGAGAACGCGAAGAGACACTGTCTATTTGCAGAGACGACGCTAATATAGTATTTCCTGAGTTGCTACTGTAAACACAATATAATGTCGTAGAGCCGACCGAAGGGGAGTCCCACAACCGCAATCCAAAGCATAACGTGACATGCATCGCTGAGCTAGTCGGACAGGGGATAACCCTTGCCAGTTCGTCTTCCACAAAGGAAGCAGCATCCCCAGTGAAAGGACGGTCCTCAGGCTTGGCTGACCAACCCTTCCGCATAAAATCCAAATACAGGTGGCTAACAGTCACACTGGGTTCGAGCCGATATGGCTCTACGCGCTTGGACTGAGCACTGAATATCTGTCCAACATTTTTAAGCCACGAGAAGGGAGGTCTACCCGAGAAGACCTGTACGATGCAAGATTCAGGTGAAACTCGAACAGGGTCCAGCATACGCGACTCACATGTAGCATTGTTCGGTTTCAGTAAGTTAGCATCGCTGCCATCGTTATCCGGAATGCTTTCTGGATCCGGTGAGCCGATCAATTCAGGCCCTAACCACAGGAAAGCGCCACTCGAATACGTGTTGTAGTACGATCTATCACTCTCTGCGAGAGCCACGGAGAGACCAAAATCTGCCAAAAATGCATTGCCATCGCGATCGATCAGAACATTTGTCTTCAATTATAGAGTTAGGAAGGACACCAAAGCATCGAACAGTACATACACTGGTCAGGTCCCCGTGAATTACTTCCTTTTTGTGAACTAGAGAAGTTGTCAGAGAGAAAACGGATTCAGAATGGCGATTTCATACGATATCTCAAATCATCCACCACCTGTTTCAACTGAATAAGGGCATCCATTGAGTAGGGACCTATATTTGGCACGATACATCTCACCAGCTTTAGTTTTTGTATCATAGCAAGCCTCGTGCGTTCCAGGTAACCAATAAGTGCCCCGTTATCCATTCATGTAGAGACAAGACCAGGCAATGATCCAAAACCGGAGACCGTGCCGTGAAGAGTGAGAACATGCGCATGCCTCAGTTTGATCCACACGGCTACTTCGCAGCGAAGCCTCTGCAAGTGGGCATTCAATACACTGCACATTACAGAATAAATGTTGGCATACCTTCTTCGCTTTTTGGACGGCTTCTTCGTTGCGTATGTCCGTAACCCTGATAGCTTTGACAGCAACCTGTCCAACAGATATTAGTCGGTGAGATTCGCAGGGCAACATCATATGTACCTCAATAGAAGTTGCTAGAGTTGCTGGATTGATGATCATTGAGCACTTCCAGACATCGGCAAAGCCACCAGATGACGTAGGAAGATCTGATTGCTTCCTGATGGATGTACGGATGTAGACGGAATGCATCGAATCCCACTGAGTCTGCCTCGTGTTTTGATATCTGCAGTTTATGAGGAAATTTGCACTTACGGCTGCGCTTCATGCGGACCAGGGGTAACCGGCTGTAGTATAGCCACGGCACCGCCGTTATCTTGTGGGGAAGTGTCTTATAATCTAGAGTTGCGTGAAATACTTACGGCGCAAGATTTTCATCTACGGTGTCGCATTAATTGGTATAGGAAGATCGAACTGCATCTGGACTTGCGGTGCAGATATTTGAATTGATGCATCTATGTAGCCTGCATGTTCAGTGCTGTCCATCATGATATCGTGATCAGACGTACGGATGCAGAGTAGTGATATCAGATACTTGCACTGGTGCGACTCCGGGTGTGACCATCGTCAACGGGCGGCTGTCATAGCATGAGAGACCATTTCTTTACGATCCTTGGTTTAAAGCTCACGTTGCGGAATCTACGGAGGTGGCAGTGCTGTCTACAGAATTGCCGTTTTCGATCTGCCAATATCATTGGCAAACGGTCAGTGATTGAATCTAATGACTGAAACAATTAATGCCTCACAATTTCAAGCCTTCGAAATACTGACGCGCAGCCACCCATGGTAATGAGTCTATTATTAGTACAAATGGAAGTCTGCATTGCGCTGAATCGAAGGGTCAGCAGGAGTGAGCAGGTTTAAGAACAACTGACCGCGCCTACTACAGTTCTTTGCGGTCTAGAATGCTGATATGTTTGGTCGTGTTTTTGGGACAAACATGTTAGTAATAATGACACGCAGCTCTACCTTGATCACGTCCGCTGAGGTATTGTCACTCGTACTTAGTCTTGCTGACGTGTAGCCTACGTCCTAGGTAGTTATGTATAATATAACGTTGTTGATCACGTCCAGTGAGACTTTCGTCCTAGCTCCACTACAGGCTTCACCTCTCCGATATGTCATCATGATGCCCAATTGCTCTCAACAGCGTGTTATTCAAGTCATCCGAAGAAGCCCTTGACAACTTAGAAATTCTTTCCAAAGCTGCATCCCTTATGTATTAGCTGAACTTGGACAGACAGAATTTCTCGGAAACCGTATACCAGACGCGTTGCGGAAGTCGAGCCTGTCACGCGATTCATTGTATGTATTGCATTCTTTCATTTGAATTGAACCGATAGCTCCTCAGGCCTCACAGATAATGTCGAGGAGGTCCTACGCTCGGCGTGTGACTCCTGTGCTGTCAAACTCGAGATCGCCTCCATCCGATGCCAAAAAACGCTTTGGAACCGCGTCAAAAGAGACTGCGTGACTTGAGGCAGAGTAGCACTACACGAACTCTTTGTTAAACATAACAGAAGGAGCAGCAAATGAGTCAAGAGCACCTTTTATCAATCTGAATCATGACCTTCTTGTCAAGCCGAACCCCGACCATGAGGTAAGCAAGAAGAGTGCAATTAACTATGATTTGGTCTGATAGAGAAGACGGAGATGATAGCAGTCTTGATATCACCTCTATTCACTCGCCCAGTGACAAAGTGGTAAGGAAGAGAATGTGACAGCCATTTGAGGACAGAGTTGGGACACTCGTCTAACCAAAAGTCTGCCATTATCCGTCATTGTGACCTTCCGGAACACAAAAACGCTTAGCCGGGGCAAGCACCGTCTTGTTGACTGTACCAATGGACCACTTGGTCATCATCAAACATGTCGTAGTCTTTTCTCCTGCGCCCAAGAAATTCACCACAACGAGGATGTGTCTGAAGAACGCGGCCACGATATAGATGACTCAGAGCCATTATACAAGCTGAGGCCTTCTCCTCCAACGACGGTATAATCTGCCCATGAATATCAGTGCAGCTTGTGGAGATATCATACAGCCGAGGTAACATGTCTGAGACGTCAAGATCTAGGGGCCATTCGACCAGGGGAACAAGACTGACAGCAGTGAGAAACACTTCAGGATCCTTAGATGTCTCCAGCAGCCACTTGATGCTAGGTGCTTCAAGATTGGTGGCGGGTATGTCCGGGAGGTCGAGGGAAAGGGTGACATCATTCCTCGCCAAAACATCCAGATCTTGGTCGAGCTGTTGCGCCTCTGAGTCTCCAACATTTTTCGAAGAGCGTAGAACCAAAGAACGCAGCCCGTTGCGAAGCGCAGCGGATAACAACTCATGAGAACGTCGTGCGAATTCGCCAGTAGCGCACACAACGCCTGGGGAGTGAAATGAGCACTGGGTATCCTGTGCAAAAGTAGGTAACAACGTCACCTATTAATGCTTAGACAATCGGATCCATTTCGGACCGAGGGCACCAAGCATTCGTTGCAACACAGCTGACAAGAAACGGTCAAAACCTGTGCACACGAGAATAGAAATCCGAAGGCCGTTGTGGCAATTTGTGGCAATGGTCACCTAAGCGATGTTGGGCTGCTTGTACCACATGTGGGCGCCGAGGGCGATCCCAAAGAGAAGAAGGGAGATTTGAAGCAAGACGGGAATGAACTGCAAGTAAGCATCGAAATGCCAAATGACAAGGCCGTTGAATACTGTTGTCTGTGCTTCCCTCATTCCTCCAGCGAGCCGCGATCATGTCTCTTCGACTTGTAGTACCTGAGCCACTGCCCGTCTAGTACGACCCCGAATGTTGCTAGCAAGCTCATGAACAAGCTTGCGTATGCGATAAGTTGGACCCTCACAGTCGGCGACCACGTAGGTGCTGGGTCCGCGGGAGTGGAGCCCGCTGCAATGAGGTTGCCGAGTCCAATATGCACGAGTTGCGTGAGAAGGGCATTCGTGGTGTCGCTGGGGTCGGGGCTGAGAATAGACTCCATCGCGATAATGAAAGACGTGATGGTAGCGGAGAAAAGACCAGACCGATCAAACATCAGTCTCAAAACGGATCAAAGATAACCACGCGAAACCTACGATGAGCAAGATATCATTAATGTCGCCGCGGTATTGCTCGAAAGACTGGCTGTCTTGTTCTTCTGCAACTTTTTTGTTTGACTCCCAGAAACGAGACCAATTGTCCTTGTCACTCTGAGTCTTCGGCACAATCGTCGAGTTATGGAGAACTTCCAACACTTTCTTCATGGTATCTGCTCTGCATGGAGGGTATCCTCAGCTGCGATCACTTGGCTTATTTTTTGCTCACAAATCGCTTAGAGTTGGCTGGTCCATATCAGCCCGGCTGAGACAATTTATGAGCTTGTTTAAAGTAGCCACTTACGAAGCTAAATCGCCGTCCAGAGCAACTTTGGAAGCACTTTCTTGTTCGTGAGGTTCTGATGGCTGGGAAGGCCCAGTGTTCGAGCTGCAGTTCTGGTGAGGAGTTACACAAAAACATCAGGACAGAACCACTTACATCCCTGATGGTAGCTTCACCGCTGAAGGTCCACTATTTTCCTTCTCCCCATCTCGCTGTTATATGGGTGACAGATGGCAGGAATCGGCCACTTACATTGAATCCTCCGGGGGCCCTAGGGTACCCTGTTCTGGGGCAGGCTGCTCGGCGGTATGGATGCACTGGTCCTCGGCATCATCAGTGCTCGATGCTTTTGACATGAGTAAGTGAGGGCTATAGGTATTTGGATCCAAAATAAAAGCCAGTGGAATTGGGAAGAGTCTGAGCGCTCAGCGCACAAAGATAAGCCCTAGTAGTACACGTGTTTGTTGACGCTGAGGGTGTCCGTGAACATTGCCATCCTAGTGTAGGCCGCGGGTTAGTTAATATAAGTCAAGCGAAGTCTAGAATCTCAATAATTCCGACTCATCACCTTCGAAATTCGACACGTTCTCGATTTGTTCTCGATCACATCGAGTAGGCGTCATCGCGTGTGTTGGATTCTTTCATTTGAATCACTCCTCAGGCGCTTTCTGGAGAAATCTTGGATGTCAAATATGTATGTTCAATGCAAGTCGCGTGCGAGCGCCGAGCGCGTGACTCAAGACAGATGTGCACTTACTACTACCCATAGTGACGGTTGTTGCTTTTTCCATGCCAGCGTCCAACCAGCGTCCTTCCTCTTTCTGCGTATAGAAGGAACAACTGTCTTCCTTCTCCTTTCGTCTGACTGGGAGAGACTATCTTTCTGCGTTTGCCGGCTTAAAGTCGCGTTCCACGTAAAGCGTAACATTATGATGCGTCCGATGGTTCTGCTGAGTCATTTTGAATTCGGCAGTTAATTTTTACATGCCGCACCCTGGCGCCGCTCAGTCATGCCGCATCAATGATTCATTGATTTCAGCATCCTAATCATATTGCATGGCCTTGCGCGTGGCCCAGTGATGCATGTCTTGTATCAAAAACCTATTGCAATACCAGGCAATCCGGGAGTCTGTTCTGGCTATGTGCAATTGTCCGACTTGTTTTGTTGTGCACCGTCTAATTTATAAATCCAAACAATTCTTTCTATCACCAATTGATATGATGCACTGGATTCAAACCGCTCCTCGCTTCCCCCTCCACACTCTCTGACTCGGCTTCCGACAAATCCTGCAGCCCACCAATATTTTCTTAGACGACATCGCTACGCACGGCTTTCTACATCAGCACAGAACCTCGTACACACTCCGTATCCCCCACAAGTACCTCGCTCTTTCAATGTTCAGGTCTGAATAGCTTCTACTTTACCGATTCTGTTCCACATGCAAAGGAGGGCTTTGAGCAGCTACGAACTAGCAAGTCCTACTCAGATACTGCGTATACGACCCCTTGGAGGCCTATGCCATATTCATATGGCATTTATCAAGAGTTAGCTTTGTGTACGGAGGACACCTGTCCGCTCTGACACCATATGGAAACGGGTGCAGAAAAAGTCCACTCGACAGCGTCCACACATCATATGCTATCATGCTATCAGTGTGCGGTACGCTTCATTTATCTATATACTTTATTATTCTGACTACCCTTTGTAGATTTAATCTGAGTCTGAGCGCCTCGAACATCTGCAAAAGTGGGTGTGGGACTGGCACCAAAAGTTCAAGGCGCATATCGAGGCAGTTATAAAGGACATAATAACTGTTGAGGCTAAAATCGGTGAGCATATATGCGCCCATCAGATGCCTGTATTGAGCTAAAAACAAGCTAGTACCCTGCATGGATCCTATCCTCTCCCTTGTCAAACATGAGAAGCTCGCAAGTTCTACTCGAATCCCAGATCAGGGTCAAGGTGGGGTCCTCCGCTTCTTATTATGTCTTTGCCTTCTCGTTCTCGCGCATCATCAAGTTCATCGCCTTTACGGGACAGAGCAGTCCCTGCATGCTTTGGCAGTCCAGTACTACCGGGGACATTTGTTGGCGACAGCCGCGTCAGCGGGCATGGCAGAGATTGATGATGCTCAAGCAGCTACGACGGTGAGTATAATCGCAGAGCAGAAACGCATTGTCTGTGACTCGTGTAACATGGGATCGGATAATTCTGATGAAGATAGCAGGAACACTGCTAGCTTTGATGTGCTGAGTATTGTTTTTTTTTTGAAATTCGAATTCTTCCAAGAGGACGACTGCTGGGTCAAGTACCTGAATATGTGTAAGATGAACCAACAAATTTTGCGACCAACATACCTACCCGAGAATCGTGAGAGTGACGAGCAAGACGCATGAACCCGAACTATTGAAGGTAAGCCTGAAGACACAGTCGAAAGCACAAAATGAAGGCACGAACTTGCTGTCTGCCAATTCTAGGTCCGTGAATAAATAATCGAGTCCGCGGCTGAAGGATACACCCATCCACGAAGACTCGTGGAAGAGTACAACCCTCAGTTCTGGATAACGAGTGCAGTTACCGGGTCAAAGGAACGAACGACGATAAGTACGACGAGACTACAGCTCGGGAATGATAGTGATATCTAAGATATACGATGGCTGGACTGAAACCATGTCCTCGTGGAAGGTGAGCTCAATTACCAAAGTACCGCGATGGTGCGAAAGCTACCTGAACGATACCCCTACGTCTAGAAATATGCTTCGTGAAGGCGGACTACACCATCTTTGAGTCGCTTCGTGATTACAGGACTCGCTGCTGGACGGTATTTGAAATCCTTCGAGTACATGTGCAAGATGAGAGTCAGACTATGCACCATTTACTGGAGCGCGAAAGGATAGAAAAATGACAACTCACCTTTCATCATGAATGACTTTGGTTTGTGATCTTTGGGGCTGCAACTTGAATGCAGCCCAGAAGAGGAACGCAGTCACGAGAGGGAGTGCAATGCGCGCTTCCAGAGCGAAGGTGTGGGTGTAAGTAGTCAAGACTGTCGTCCCTTAACGTTAACTAACCGTTACGCCGATTGACCGTTAGGCCAAAAGGCAGTGATAATCAAAGCTCAAGCGCTCACGCTTGATTACCGCAGACAGTATTTATGCGGATTATGGGAACTTAGGTAAGCCAGGGGGCTTACAGTGGGGCGGTTAAAACGAGGATCTGCATGGAATCGCTTGATTTGAGACTGCGGTTGTGGATCAGCTTCGATTTCAACGGGATCGTTGGTTGAGAGTGCCTGATATTGGGCTGGCATGGCGCCGCTAGTACAATGGCAAGTCGAAAGTGATGGCGTATTAATATTTGATACCGCGAAAGTCGGTGTAACGGTTTGGAGTTTTAAATTGCAATGAAGACGACGGTCGATCTACATGTGGCGCGGGTATAACTTGTCCAGCACAAGCTATCATAGTTTAACGTGTATACAGCTTCGTACATGCGTACTGTGTTCGGTAATATAATAAGGCCCGAAAAAAGTAGCATGTTAATCAAGCTGATCGAGATGCTTCCTTTATATATAGGTGAGCCACAACCGCAATCTATGTCCAAAACGTACCGCGACATACATCGCTGAGCTAGTTGGACAGGGGAGAGGAAACACTTTCCAGCTCGTTTTCCACAAAGGAAGCAGCATCCCCAGTGGAAGGACGATCCTCAGGCTCAGCTGACCAACATTGCCGCATGAAATCCAAATGCCGGTGGCTAACGGTCACACTGGGTTCGACCCGATATGGCTCTACGCGCTTGAGCTGAGCATTGAATACATGTTGAACATTTCTAAGCCACCAGAAGGGAGGTTTACCCGAGAAGACCTGTACGATGCAGAATTCAGGTGAAACTCGAAAGGGTCCAACATACGCGACTTACTTGTAGCATGATGCAACCAAGTGAAAATACATCGCTCTGACTGTTCGGCTTTGGGAAGTTGTCACTGTCATCCGGAATGCTTTCTGGTTCCGGTAAGTCGATCAATTCGGGCGCTACCCACCGGACAGCGCCGCCATTCGAATACGACTGGTAGTAAGATCTGTCACTCTCTATGAGAGCCACGGAGAGACCGAAATCTGCCAAAAATGCATTGCCATCGCGGTCGATCAGAACATTTGTCTTCAATTATAGAGTTAGTAAGAACTCCAAAGCATCGAACAGTACATACACTGGTCAGGTCCCCGTGAATTACTCCCTGTTCATGAACTAGAGAAGTTGTCAGAGAGAAAACGTATTCAGAACGGCGATCCCATACGATATCTTAAGCCATCCACCACCTGTTTCAACTAAATAAGGGCATCCATTGAGTAAGGACTTGTATTTGGCATGATAGATCTCACCAGCTTTAGCTTTTGTTCCATGGTGAGCCTCGTGCGCTTCAGGTAACCATCAAGTGCCCCGTTATACATCCATGTAGAAACAAGAGCAGGCAATGGTCCAAAATCGGAGACCGTGCCGTGAAGAGCGAGAACGTGCGCATGACTCAGTTTGATCCACACGGCTACTTCGCGGCGAAGTCTCTACGAGCGGACATTCAATGCACTGCACATTGCGGAATAAATGTTAGCATACCTTCTTCGCTTTTTGGACGGCTTGTTCATCGAGCATGTTCGCAACCCTGATAGTTTTGACAGCAACCTGTCCAACAGATATTAGTCGGCAAGATTTGCAGATAACATCATATGAACCTCAGTAGAGGTTGCTGGATCGATCGACATTGTGCACTTCCAGATATCACCCACGCCACCAGATGAAATGGGATACTCTGATCGCTTCGTGATGGATGTAGACGGAATGGCAGATGGGTCGGCATCGAAGGCCACTGTGAGTCTGTGCCTCGTGTTTTTATATCTTCAGTTTATGAGGAAATTTGCACTTACGGTTGCACTTCATTTGTACTAGGGGTAACCTGATGTAGTATAGTCGCAGCGCCACTGTTATTTCGCGAGGAAGTGTCTTATAACCCAGAGCTGCGTGAAATAGAAATACTTACGGTACAAGATTTTTATCCACGGTGTTGGATGCCTGGATTTGCGGTGATATTTGAAGCGACGTATCTCTGTAACCCGCATGTTCAGTGCTATCCATCATGATATGGCAACCAGACATACGACTGCATAGTCATACTAGATACTAACACTGGTACGGTTGGTATCGTCAACGGGCGGCTGTCATGGCATGAGAGGCCATTTTTTCATGATCCTCGGTTGAAAACTCACGTTGCGGAATCTGCGGAGGCGACAGTGTTGTCTACAGCATTGCCGTTGCCGTTTTCGACCTGTCAATATGATGGCAAGGTCAGTAATTGAATCTGATGACTGAGACAATTAATGCCCCACAATTTGAGTCCGCCGCTGAGGCTTTCGAAATACTGACTGATGATTACCCATGGTAATGAGCCTACTATTAGTTCAAATGGAGGTCTACGGCGTTGCGCTGAATCGAAGGGCCAGCAGGAGTGAGCAGGTTTAAGAACAACTGACCGCGCCCATTAAGTAGTACCATAAAGCCCCACACCCAGCAACGAAATTTGCAAAGCACCTGGGTGAGCGGAAGAAATTAGCGCTAGCGCTCAAACCGCATGCAGGGATCGAAGAACAGTCGAAAGTATTACTAATGCATGCCTAAACTGCGTTGGCGACAACCTTCCGAATACAACGCAGCTAGTGCCCTGCCACATTGGTGCAATCATGGACGGCGTAAACCTCCTCATGATCTTAGATCTAGTCATAGTTCTGTCCTGCACCATCTTCGGTTGATCCTATGAGACCTGTGGTGTATTTGATTAATTGAGTCAGACCTCAACGTTCAACATTCAATTGCAGGTGAGGCTCAAGCGAGGTTGCAGGGGAAATCATAATTTCTACCTTTGTGGCTTGTATGCATGTCGTTCTGGGCGCAAGCGACACTGCCTGAGAGTGAGGTAAAAACGCTTCATCTTGACGAAAGAAGTAAAGATACAAGTTATTTGTCCTCGCCAAGTCTCAGGGATCGCAGACAGCGAGGATATAGCCAGCAAATAAGGCGGGACCGGCGGGACCCTGCATAGATTCGGGAGACAAACAGCCCTACACACGAGACGAGAAACTAGAGTGAGAAAAGGCAAAGAGCCAATTCGACACTGTCTCGCTAGACATGAATTGTCAACTCCACTAAAGAAGGTGGCAATGACATTGATGAAGATTGCCTGCGGCACATTCGTCATGCCGATTTGCACGGGGAAAAAGCCGCAGGGGCAAAGGGCAAGGCCCAAGACAAAGAAACGTTGTGTAAACTAGATTAAACTCGATAAATAAGCAACACTGATCGAGATACTTACCTCGAATCGATCGGGGTTCGAGCCGATATGGCTCTACACGCTTGGACTGAGCACGGAATATCTGTCGAACATTTTTAAGCCCTCAGAAGGGAAGTCTACCCGAGAAGACCTGTACGATGCAAGATTCCAGAGCGAAGGTGTGGGGCGGTTAAAACGGGGATCTGCATGGAATTGCTTGATTTGAGACTGCAATTGTGGATCTCCTTCGATTTCAGCGGGATCGTTGGTTCAGAGTGTGCCTGATATTGGGCCGGTATGGTGCCACTGGTACAGTACTTGGCAAGTCGAAAAGTGAAAGGTGGTGTCGTCAGTCGTGTATTAATATTTGGTACCCGTGAATGCGGGTGTAACGGTCGGAGTTTTAATTTGTTGTACGTGGCTGGCGGCAGCTGAGTCCTGACGGTCTACATTAGTCTACATGTAGCGCGGGTATACTTGGACCGTCCAATATAAGCCACCATAGTTTAACGTGTATACAGCGTCGAACATGTGTATTGTGCTCGGTGATATCATAAGGCCCGAAAAAAGTAGCATGTTAATTAAGCTAATCGAGATACTTGATATATAGGTGAGCCACAACCGCAATCTACGTCTAAAGCGTACCGTGACATACATCGCTGAGTTAGTTGGACGGGGGAGATCTGGCACTTTTCAGCTCATTTTCCACAAAGGAAGCAGCATCCTCAATGGAAGGACGATCCTCAGGCTTGGCTGACCAACATTTGCGCATGAAATCCAAATGCTGGCGGCTAACGATCACACTGGATTCGGGCCGATATGGCTCTACGCGGTCGAACTGAGGTTTGAATACCTTATTAGCATTTTTAATCCACCAGAAGGGAATTGCGCCCGAGAAGACCTGTATCATGCAAGGTTCAGGTGAAACTCGAACAGGGTCTAGCATACACGACTCACATATAGCATGATGCAACCGAGCGAAAATACATCGCTCTGACTGTTCGGTTTCAGGATAGCGCCGTGACTGTCATCCGGAATGCTTTCTGAATCCGGTGAGTCGATCAATTCGGGCGCTGACCACCGGACAGCGCCTTTCGAATACGACTGGTAGTACGATCTGTCACTCTCTGCAAGAGCCAACGAGAGACCGAAATCTGCCAAAAATGCATTGCCATCGCGGTCGATCAGAACATTTGTCTTCAATTATAGAGTTAGTAAGGACTCCAAAGCATCGAACAGTACATACGTTGGTCAGGTCCCCGTGAATTACTCCCTGTTCATGAACTAGAGAGGTTGTCAGAGAGAAAACATATTCGGAACGGCGATCCCATACGATATCTCAAGCCATCCACAACTTGTTTCAACTAAACAAGGGCATCCATTGAGTAAGGACTTGTGTTTGGCATGATTTATCTCACCAGCTTTAGTTTCTGTTTCATAGTGAGGCTCGTGCGCTTCAGGTAACCATCAAGTGCCCCGTTATACATCCATGTAGAAACAAGGGCAGGCAATGGTCCGAACCCGGAGACCGTGCCGTGAAGAGTGAGAACATGCGCATGGCTCAATTTGATCCACACGGCTACTTCGCGGCGAAGTCTCTGCGAGCGGGCTCTCAATGCGCTTCACATTACGGAATAAATACTAACATACCTTCTTCGCTTTTTGGATAGCTTCTTCGTCGCGCATGTCCGTTATCCTGATATTTTTGACAGCAACCTGTCCAACAGATATTAGTCGGCGAGATTCGCAGGGTAGTGTCGTATGTACCTCAGTAGGGGTTACCCGATTGATGATCATTGAGCACTTCCAGATATCGCCCAAGCCACCAGATGACGTAGGATAATCTGATTGCCTCTTGATGGATTTAGACTGAATGGGAGATGGGTCCACATCGAAGGCCACTCTGAGTTTGTGTTTCGTATTTTTATATCTGCAGTTTATGAGGAAATTTGCACTTACTGAGGTCTTTGAGGTGATGACGAGCGGTTACCCATGATAATGAGCCTACTATTAGCACAAATGGAGGTCTGCGGTGTTGCGCTAAATAGAAGGGTCAGCAGCTGAGCGAGCAGGTTTCTTAAAGAACAGCTGACCGCGTCTACTAAATAGTACTATGAAGCCCCCATACCCACCAACTAAATTTGCAAAGCACCTGAGTGTGCGGAAGAAATTAGCGCTAGCGCTCAAGCACTTGAGCCGCATGCAGTGATCGAAGGACGGTCGAAAGCATCATTAATGCATGCCTAGACTGCGTTGTTGACAACCTTCTATACGCAGCTAGTGCCCTTGCCACATTGGTGCAATCATGGACGGCGTAAGCCTCATCATGATCTTAGATCTAGTCACCCGGCCAGTATGGTTGGGTCTGTCCTGCAGCATTTTCGGTTAATTTTATGAGGCCTGTGGTGGATTTCATTAATTGAGTCGGACCTCAACATTCAATTGCAGGTGAGGCTCAAGCGAGGTTGCACAGGAAATCCTATTTTCTACCTTGATGGCTTATCTGCATGTCGTTCTGGGCGCAACTGCAAGTGACACTACCTGAGAGTGAGGTAAAAGCGCTTCAAACTCCGCCTGCACAGGTTGATCAGGGCACGATGTTGAAGTATCCCTCGGCTATTGATCGTTATATCCAACACCAAAGGGGGAAAACGAATGAGTTCGCACTCAGCTCCGCACACCATCGAAGGATTCCCCGAGAACCATTCATTGAAGAAGCAGAGATACGCAGTCCAGGCCAAATAAGTCAGTGTATTAATGTTAGACCCTTTGTAGTGGAGTTCTTACACCTCACTACAACCGTCCCATGTCATGCTTGTTTGTTGGCGTCGCCACGTTTGAGCGTCAATGCCCTGGACAAATCTGAACTTTATCTCTGGATAGCACAACGTCACCTCCACTGCAAGTCATCATATCGCTCCAAGTCCGAGGACCAAGTTTGCCCGTCACCGCAGGCCCTCACAACTGTGACTTCATCGAGATTTCGTCCCATTCTCATAGGCTACCACCACTGCGATATCATCCATGAAGGTCTCAGAAATTCTCGCTCAATTTCAAGCCTGGCTGAAGAAGTGGGGGTTAGGCTTTCTACTTGCCAGCCTTGGGCTTGGTTCGAAGTCGGCACAAGAAGCGAACGTTAAAACAATACGTGACAGGAATGCGAAGAATGAGTTTGTTTTTTGTGTATTTGAATGTCACGCAATTTTTGCTGAGTATCTACGGGCTATTAGTCTGCTCGACCTCACTGAGAAAATCAGCAAGGAATCATCCCGATACCCTGTCGCGCAAGGCAGCTTTGGGGATGTCTGGAAGTGCATATACAAGCACCCTCCAATCACGGTTGAGGCGAGTGGATCTTTCAAGTTTGCGCCTGTTGTTATGCGCCCATAACTGACTGTCCCTGTCTACCAGGTTGCAGTGAAGTCTTTGCGACTTGAAATTCCGAACGATAGTTGTAAGAAAAAAATTACCGAGGTTCGGGTGGCTCTGCGCACGGGTACCATATGTTTATTTACTAATGTACGACACTTCAGAGGCTGGAACGCGACTTGCAGCGGAACGCTCAGCTGAAACACGCCAATCTATTACCTTTGCTGGGAATAACTCAAGGGTTCGGTCCGCTGCCTGCAATTGTCTCCCCATGGATGAACAAAGGCTCACTTACCATGCTTCTGGAACGTGATTTCCAGCAACTCACTCTCACTCGAATGCTCCAAATTGTAGGCGTTTTTTCGTGGTGTGGTTCGCATATTAATATTTGCCATTGCAGCTCAAAGATGTAGCTTCGGCTCTTCAGTACTGTATGCGACAAACGGCAGTATTCGGCGCAAAGCTAACAGGAATATTAGTGCACTCAAAAAACATAGCTACACGGTGATCTCACCGGCGTGAGTACCATAGATACCTTCTTCATCAAAGGAATTATTGACGCAAATCAGAACAACATTCTCATCGATGAGAACGACAACACCTTCATGGCTGACCATGGAATTCTCACTTTATGTGCCGAGCTCCATGGCACGTCATATATCAGAAGCAATGTGCGATGGGCCGCACCTGAAAACTTTCAAGTCCCGGAAGATGACGAGTCAATAAGCTCGCCCCAATTGGCATCAGACATCTATTCTTTCGGGTGCATCATGTTGCAGGTTTGTGGGCGGATCTTGGCGCCATGCAATGTGATTATTATTCTCTTTGTAGGTCTTCACAGGAAAAGTTCCATATTCCGAATTTCGAAGTGATCATCAAGTTACCGTGCAGATACTCAGAGGCCGGAAGCCTGCTCGACCAGTGACTCCGCCCATTGCGGATGCTTTATGGGATTTCATGCAGAAGTGCTGGCTTGATGAACCGGAACACAGACCTTCAGCCAAGGAAGTCCTGATATTTATACAGGCACAGCTGAAACTGCCATAGGAAAGCTCCCGACTCTCATGCAACTCGTGATACCATGACATGACAATTTTGTGTGCTGTATTCTCCGTCTTTTCTGTACAATTTACTGTTCACGATATCTCATACGTTAATATCACTCACTCCTGCTACTCCCAGGCTTAGAGTGACACAGATTTCCTCGATATAGGCTCGCAGTTTGTAGTTGTTTTTCGCATTGAATGGAGAGTAGTAGATACATGATATGCTACACCAGCGCACAGCAGTATCTAGTCCTACTATGTTGTATTTTATGTAGTTGTATTATCTTCCATTGTTCCTGACTACAGTTACTAATAATTAAATACTTAAGACTCAGAGAAAGCTATCCTAAGACTCCTCTGATACAAGTTCTTTACCACCTCCGTGAGCAGGACGTCAGTCGTTCGTAAGTAACATGCTAATCAAGCTAATGAAGATACTTGTATATAAGGAGCCACAACCGCAATCCCAGCCCAAAGCGTACCGTGACATACATCACTTGAACTAGTCGGACAGGGGAGAGGGGACCCTTGCCAGTTCGTCTTCCACAAAGGAAGCAGCATCACCAGTGGAAGGACGAGCCTCAGGCTTAGCTGACCAACATTTCCGCAGGAAATCCAAATGCTGGTTGCTAACAGACACATTGGGTTCGACCCGATATGGCTCTACGCGCTTAGACTGAGCAGTGAATATCTGCCGAACATTTTTAAGCCACCAGAAGGGAGGTCTACCCGAGAAGACCTGTACGATGCAAGATTCAGGTGAAACTCGAACAGCGTCTGGCATACGCGACTCACCTGTAGCATGATGCAACCGAGCGAAAATATATCGCTCTGACTGTTCGGTTTCGGTAAGTCAGCATCGCTGTCATCGTCATCCGGATTGCTTTCTGGATCCGGTGAGCCAATCAATTCAGGCGCTAACCACCGGATAGCGCCACTCGAATATGTGTTGTAGTACGATCTGTCACTCTCTGCGAGAGCCACGGAGAGACCGAAATCTGCCAAAAATGCATTGCCATCCCGGTCGATCACAACGTTTGTCTTCAATTATAGAGTTAGTAAGAATTCCAAAGCATCGAACAGTACATACACTGGTCAGGTCCCCGTGAATTACTCCCTGTTCATGAACTAGAGAGGTTGTTAGAGAGAAAACGTATTCGGAACAGCGATCGCATACGATATCTCAAGCCATCCACCACCTGTTTCAACTAAATAAGGGCGTCCATTGAGTAGGGACTTGTGTTTGGTATGATAAATCTCACCAGCTTCAGTTTCTGTTCCATGGTGAGGCTCGTGCGCTCCAGGTAGCCATCAAGTGCCCCATTATGCATCCATTTAGAAACAAGAGCAGGTAGTTGACCAAAACCGGAGACCGTGCCGTAGAGAATGAGAACATGCGCATGCCTCAGTTTGATCCATACGGCTACTTCGCGGCGAAGTCTCTGAGAGCGGACATTCAATGCACTTCACATTACAGAAAATTTGTTAGTATACCCTTTTCGCTTTTTTTACGGCTTGTTCATTGCGTATGTCCGCTATCCTTATAGTTTTGACAGCAACCTGTCCAACAAATATTAGTTGGCAAGATTCGCAGGGTAACATTATATGTACCTCAGTAGAGGTTGCCGGATCGATGATCATTGAGCACCTCCAGATATCGCCCAAGCCACCGGATGACGTAGCATGATCTAATTGCTTCCTGATGGCAGTAGACGGAATGGCAAATGGGTCCGCATCGAAGGCCACTCTGAGTCCGTGCCTTGTGTTTTGATATCTGCAGTTTACTATCAAGAAATTTGTACTTACGGCTGTACTTCATTTGTACCAGGGGTAACCGACTGTGGTATAGTCACCGCTCCACTGTTATCTCGTGAGGAAGTGACTCATAACTCAGAGCTGCGTGAAATACTTGCGGTGCAAGATTTTCATGGACAGTCTTGGATGGTATAGGAAGATCGAACTGCACCTGGACATGTGGTGCAGATGTTTGAAATGATGCATCTCTGTAGCATGCATGTTCAGTGCTGTCCATCATGATATGGTGATTAGGCATACGGATGCGGAGTAGTGATATTGGATACCGGCACTGGTACAACTCTGGGTGTGATTATCGTTGACGGGCGGCTGTCATAACATAAGAGATCATTTCTTCATGATCCTCGGTTGAAAGCTCACGTTGTGGAATTTGCGGAGGCGGCAGTGTTGTCTACAGAATTGCCATTGGCATTTTCGATCTGTCAACATAATGGCAAGGTCAGTGATTGAATCTAATGACCGAGACGATTAATGCCCCACAATCTGAGTCTGCCGTTGGGGCTTTTGAAATAATGACGCGCAACAACCCATGGTAATGAGCTTTCTATTAGTGCAAATGGAAGTCTGCGTTGCGCTGAATCGAAGGGTCAGCAGGAATGAGCAGGTCTAAGAACAGCTGACCGCGCCTATTAAATAGAATTGTGAAGCCCCCATACCCACCAACTAAATTTACAAAGCGCCTGAGTGTGTGGAAGAAATTAGCGCTTAAACCGCATGCGGCGATCGAAAAACGGTCGAAAGCACTGGCAATTGCATGCCTAAACTGCGTTGTTCACGACATCTACTATACCGGTGCGATGGATGGCCTCATCCAAACTTCATCATGATCCAGTCACTAATAAGTATGTCCCTGGAGCATCTTCGATTGATCCTATGAGGCCTGTGGTAGATTCCATCAATCAATTTGAACCTCAATTGCAGGTTCGGTTCGAGTGAGGTTGCACCGGAAACCGTTCATTCTGGGCGCAAGCCACAGCAAAAACGTTTCGAGATCGAATTGACGAAAGGAGTAAAAACTTGAACTCAGGACACATTGTTCACGTCATTTACTAGTGGTATTGAATATGCAGGACGGACGTTATTATTTGCTGGAGATATGTAGTCTAAGTGGTAGTGAAATGAAACCGGGATGCGGTACATGTGAGTGGGAAGCAAGCAAGTCAACAGACAGACCGGACCATGATGCACGCTGCTGTGAACTGTTGTACGTGCATCATCGCATTCAGAACCAGTCACCGCATTTTGAGTTACTCCTCGGATCCGGAGTGGATGAATTCCAAGATTCGGTTACAGTGGAGCAGGGTCAAGCTGCCACCTGAGGCTGTAATCTGTGTTCTTCGATCGAGACCTACAATCAAGTTATCGCTGTGCTCACGACTCACGAGTTCCTCTAAGTGACACTCCTAGATGAATGGAATGAGTTGAGCATGGTCGTTTGCCGACTCGCAATTGTGGGTAGTGTATTGGTAAATTCAAATTGAACTATGTCCCTGTGCCAGTGGATGCTTGTGGATGTCCTGTGTAAGGTATCTGGGTTTCAAATCTCTTTGGATCAATGCAACATGAGAAGAAGCGTGTCCGACGACGATGACGACTAGTGCAACGGTTCAACGTCTAGGTCTGTTATTCATAACCGTCTTTCTCCCCCTCCCACACCTCAACTGAAAATACCGTGTCTGCTCACTGAGTCACTGACTATTACAAGCAGATATGCAAATGTCGGATTCGGGCTCTGACGCGGAAATGGAGGTCGATGAGGTGAATCAGAAGCTCCAGGACGAAAACGATGATAATGAAGGAGAGGAGGAGAAACTAGAGCCTGAGGACGAGGAGGAAGAAGCTGAAGCTGAACAAGAGGTGTGTCGATATCATCTACTTCTGGTTATTAGCATACTGATTTTATGCGCTCAGGATGCTCCAGAGTCTGAGGAGGCTTCACCTCCTCCGTCTCCTCCCAAGCAGCCCCGTCTTAAGATCAAACTCAAGCTACCGAGCGTGCCCAGCACTGAAGATACTGCATCGCGTGGGCATTCTGGTGGTGTGTTCTGCGTGGTCTCTCCTCGCGCGCGCGACTGATTGTTGGGCGTATGACGCGTAGATATCAACGTAGAGCCAGAAGATGAAGATGACGAAGGGGAGGCGGTGGGCTCCACGCGCCCGATGACTTCCCGCCAAGCGGTTCTCGCGAGTGTTGTAGGCTCTTCGCATGTTTCTCTATGTGTGTTCCCTTGTTATTTGCTTCTTTATTCTCTCTTCGAGTTCCTAAACCTCGTCATTTCTCTGACGGATTGTTGTGTTCGTATCCCCATATGTTGCCATTTTTACTCATTTCATCTTCCTAGCTGCTGAACGCTAACCTTCATTGACGACCACTGGCGAATCCTCTCGAAAGAAGACACAGCTTACAGAGCGAGCTCGCACTTCGACGCGAAGAGACAGCACGAAAAGGTCACAATCTCACTGAGAAAAAGTCCAGGACGAAAAGGTTCGTCGGTTATATTTACTACATGTAGAGGTAATTGAACATTTTTCGTCACTTCACGCGCCATCAAATGAATATCCGGCATTCTATTTGACATCCCCTGCTGTGTACAACTCCACCCCTGCAGGCAGAGACTATCAACCGCCTCCTCAAAAAGCAGTTCAAGTCTAAGCCAAGCGCAGCGCGCTCTCCACCGCGGAGGCCAGTGCATCTGAAGGTGAGCGTGAGGTCGAGCAAGAGGAGGAGGTCGTCCTACTGACTCCTTGGCGGTGGGTGTCCAGTACACCACCTTTGGCGGATTTGTCTACTATGTCACAGAACGATGTTGCTCAGGGCAAGATGCACCTCACATTAGGCGTGCCCATTTCTGTCCTTTTCGGCACTTTGCTAGCTAGCGCTACAGCCACCTCTGCCGAAAGAGAAACCACAGTGTGACGTCCCTGGATGCACCGAAACATGAAAATACCGCCTAGTACGCGATTGGGTCCGCGGGGCATGTGGTCTCACGCACCTAAAGGTTCAGGGATGGAGGTCGCGTGATCAGGAGTCTTACGGCTGTCTATCTTACGGCACTTTAGGAGGTCCGCGCATTTTGTCTTGTAACGTCACTTCAGGACTCACGATTTTCAAGGTGTAGATCGTCGCCATTTGCAACTTGCTCTCGCAGTTACTTGTTAAGCTTACTCACTGTACTATGGATAATGGCGCTTTCTCTTAGTTTGTATGATTTTTAGGCGTTAAAATTTTGCAACGGTAGTTGTCTCTTCGTGGAGATTATCCCCTTGGAGGTCCCGTTGATTGAACTTGGGACCAGTCCAAAAATGACTTTACTTCACCCTCCATGAAGCGAACAGTGATTAACCGGGGAACATCACATCAGCCCATGGGTTCGCAGACTTTGCGGTACGATGAAATCGCGAGTCACTACAAAGCAGATCACTGCTTATTGTTTGTTCCACCACGGTATCGATATAAAACAGGAGTGCATGCAAACTACACACATCAGAACGATATGGCTCGGGCTGCCAGCTCATCGATGGACACTGATTCAGTTGTTAGCTCTTCCGATGCGACCGAGGATGACTTGAAAGCTAAAGTTACATTATTTTGCTGACCGTCAGACTCATTCTGTCCTTAGCTTGCGTACATTCTTCTGACCTCCGTCCCCATTAACATTTTCGTTTGGTGATGAATCCCGACAGTTTTTGTCTGTCTGTCAAGAATCTAGGTTCTGAGACGACCCCCGCGAGGCGTGAAGATGAATCCCTTTTCATGGACAGACTACCACATAAAAAGGAGTTTTCGGGGCAACGACTGGGCCTAGTTAAGATGGACCTCCAAAGATCTATGCACCGCAAAAATGTTGTTAGCAGGTTTCGAGCCAACTCCAACTTGAAGAGAAACAGATTGTGACTCTGTTGTGGTAGCCACTTGGCTAACACCAGTTAGATGGATCTCCGAGGAAACCATCCATGAGTTAATGTTAAGGCGTGTTCCGATAGAGAAAAAACTGTGTTCAGCAGGTTACTATCAGATTCATGCACAGTTCATCTCGAGAGTAACAGATTTTCAATCTGGTAGCCACTTGGCTAAGACCAGTTAAGATGAGCCCCTGAGGAAACCGTCCATGAGTGAATGTCAAGGTGCATTGTGATAGAAAAAAAAACTATCATGCAGCAGGTTTTAAACCTGCACAGTCCGAGAGAAACAGATTTCAATTCTGTTGTAGTAACCACTTGGCTAAGACCAGATGGGATGTACCTCCGACAAACCATCCATGAGTGGATATCAAGGTGTAGTATTTGGATAGAAAAAACCTCATCGTCGGCAGGTTTCGAACCTGCGCGGTCCAACAGAAACAGATTTCAATTCTGTTGTGATAACATCTTCAAAGCACTTTGGCCAGAACGCTTCCGAAGTTGAGATGAACCGCCGAAGAAATGTCCGAAGGTCAAGAGGGAAAATCAATTATTGGCACACTTACCACTTGGCTGGTCAAGATGGACGGAAGAACAACAATAGAATCACATGGGGTTTGCCAACGCAAAATGAAATAAAAGACTAGTTTGCGTTTATGTAAACAGACTTAGACTACGGCTTAAACCACACATGCGGGGAATTCAGACACGTCTGATCTCAACTAAACTCCATATCATATGAGTTCGGATTCGGTCATTTTCATGTTCGCTGGGTCACATCAATTAATCGAGTTTAACTTTATTTACACCAGGGTAATTGGACGAGCGTGCTCCTCAGCAGCCTTATACTTCGGGTCTTCCCGAAGAGATTACCTTTGTTTAGGGCCAGTCCCTTTGCCACCTTTGACCGATGCCCTGTGCATCTCCCAGCATGTCGTCCATGCCTCTTTTTAGGGCCAGTCCCTTTGCCACCTTTGGTCAATGCCCTGAGCATCTCTCGACGTATTATTCATGCCTTCTTTCGGGCCAGTCCCGTTGCCACCTTTGGCCGATGCCTCTGTGCATCATTCGGCATGACTAATATGTCTTAGGCGATCCTCATTGCCACCTCCTTTAGTGGAGTTAACAGTCTATGTCTAGCGAGACTGGGTGTAGCGGAGTTCCTTACCTCTTCTCACTCGAATTACTTGTCTCGCTAGGTACGCTGTTTTTTCAGTCTTGAGTTTTCAAACTCTGGGTGTTCTCCTGAAGAGGGGTTAGACGAAAGGGTAGGAGCGGATGCGCACTAATAATACATCGAAGTTCTTCTCATGTCTGACAATGCCAACGGATCC